AAATTAGAGTCATTGTCAGACAAAATTATAGCAAAAAAAAAAATTGATATATTTCACTAAGTAACCATTACCAAAAATATTAAAATTCCTTTTAAATTTGGGCCCAACATTCGTAAGAACTGACTTTCATTCTTATACAATGGGAGAATAACAGAACCTCCTTCTCTGTAGTCGGGTAATAATAAACACAATAATGCGTCGCGGTTCTTTATTTTCGCGAGTGTAAACAGTTATTAAAGAACCTTGTGGGAGTCACCTTGAACTTGACAGCCACGTTGTAATGTAACGATAAGAATTTGTATTAAAAATGTGTTTCATGCTTAAACAATGTAATGTACAAACACACACAATGACTAATATAATATATATACTTTGATAAATTATATGGTTTTGGATTAGAAAACCTGTTTATTAGAAAACGATCAGCTGGTTTATAAAAATATTTACATGAAAGTATGTTTGAGATTTTATTAAATGTTGTTTTAGATATTTTACGTATGTGAATAATGGCTGAAAACTGTTTTCAAATTTCATTTCAATGATGATCTGACAGAAGTTTGCTATCGTTTAAAAAAAAACAAAGTAGTTTTAATTTATAAACAATAATTTTAGTTCGTATCTAATAAGTTTTTCCGAAAATATGAAAACTTGTTAAAGGAGTGTACTTTCAATATATTTTAAACACAGACTGAATGACTTTCATTATTGTTTTAATATTTAGTGGACCGTTTAAAATTCTGTTTGTTGCGAATATTACAACAGATGAAGAGTTATACGAAACGAAATGTTCATTATATGTAATGAAATAAAACAAAACGAATACTTTGGAAACGAATGAAATATGAAAACATGAATGACTCGCGTCTCGGAGAGTTAATTAAAAACTTAACAAGAAAGCAATAATTGCATAGACATTTCAAAATGGCCGTTAAACATGTTTATAACGCCGATAATAATGAAATACAGTTTTAATTATCACATCGGAATATAGCAGCAGCAGGCAGAGCGATATATTTAATATATATTTTAATATAAATTGTATAAAATCTTTATTTACCGCTCCTGGGATCCTGAATGACGTCCCCAGCCTCCCGGTCATGATAACTGTATTAATTCACAGAATTATATTGTAAATCGTTCCACATTTACATTTATTGAACCGATTCACAGATTTTCAGAATATTCTGATTCTGACGCGACCTTTCAACGGGGTGTCATTTAGTTTTTTATATTAATTTTATTTTATGAGTATATAAAGTCGTTTCTTCTTATGTATTGATTATCGAATGTTTCAAATGTAAATAATGGTTTGTAAAATTGGTTGAGCGTCGATCGTAACGTCAAATAAATATTTTTTTAACAGCGGAGTGTAGTGAGTGGATTATGAACCGCAGTATATGATGATACCAAATGATACAGGCAAAACTTTTAGCACATTTAATTCGGTTCGTTAATGCTTAATAGGGACAAATTAAACATTTGGATTATATTTTAATCATAAACTTAATAAAATAACATTAAAATTTTTGATAAAATTACATTACTCTGTAAGAATATCTCGTTTAATTACATGCTACCAGATGATAGTGTAAAGTTATTTTTAATTAGCGAATCGTAAAAGGTACATTTAATATTCAGAGCATTCCTTGTGTTTAATGTGGACCCAGACGAAGCCAATGTATTGGAAAATGAGATGCCGCTCCTCGTTTATAACAGCACCGACCCTGTACCTCGTTGACTGGTTACGATAAAAATAACGAGTTGACGACCTTAAAACACATCGCGCTGTACATCGATTACTGACACTGACAAGGAAACACAAGACAATTAGCGATTATAGTATAGAGCACGCATGCTATCACAAACTAATAATTAAAACTATATACAGCTTCGGCCGCGTATAGTTTGGTTATATCACGTTTCCAAGAGAGCCGTTCAAAAGTCTGAGATAAAAACTATGTTCTTTCTCAAGGTCAACTCTATCTCTATACCAAATTTCATTAAAATCAGTTCAGTGGTTTAGTGTGAAAGCGTAACAGACAGAGTTACTTTGGCATTTATAATATTAGTAGGGATTGTGTTATGAACGTGGTACAGCAATAGCTTGTGAGTATCGTAATGTGCGCGTGCTGTATCCTCGCCTCTACAGATTACAGCTTTCATTCCGTCCAGCTTAGCAGCGCCTGGCCCCTGTCTACCAGTGACGGGACATTGAATAGTTTAACTCTCAGGATGTAATATGTACATCCAGCACTATAACACATCGTACAAGTACAGTTGGTTAAGTCTTTTCTAAGTAATTTCATCAGTGTACCTTGTCAATTTCGTTCTGATATTCTGTAGATTTCATAATTTGTTCCTTATTAAGAACTAGCTTTCCGCCCGCAGCTTCGCCGCGTGGAGTTCGGTTATATCGCGTTTCCAAGAGAACCTTTCAAAAGTCTGGGATAAAAACTATCCTATGTTCTTTCTCAAGGTCAACTCTATCTCTGTACCGAATTTCATTAAAATCAGTTCAGTGGTTTAGGCGTGAAAGCGTAGCAGACAGACAGACAGAGTTACTTTCGCATTTATAATATTAGTAGGGATTAGTAGGGATTATCTCGAAATTTTATAAGTTGAATAGTTTATGATCACTTTCGGAACTACCTACATTTGTTTGAAGGCTAACAAAGAACACTGAGCAGAGTACATACAAATTATTCAAGTAAATGTTTCAAGTGAAATTTAATATAATTTTAACAGATATTTTTAGAAAGAGTTCGCATATGACCGATTAATTGACAAATGTTGGTCTCTTTAGAATCTTTATTTAGATTATTTCGTAATAAACTCTCAAACAGACAGAAAATAACCAATATAAAACAGTTTATGAACATCTCTTTTCCTGCATGTCCGTGGTCAGACATTCATTACATACATTGTAATTACTTTAATGTTTTTCTTTATCTCAAGGAGAATATTCTCTAAGAAGTCAACATATCTTTATAAGTTTTGATAACACGAAATTCCCCGTCAGTTTTACTTTATAGATATGTTCCTTATTTTTACACAACTTTCCTTGTTCCAATAATATTTACAAATATAATATTTCATATACGAAAACGAATTATTTTAACTTTGTAAACAGGAAATAAAAAAAAGGTGAACTGTCATACAATCTTTACCAAAGATACATAAGACATGTTTAAAATAATTAATACACGAAGTATAATTAGTGTTCCTTCTATCTTCACCTTGAACTGCGTGTGTGTTATCACGAGTGCGTGACCTGTTATCAGTCGTCCTTGACCCTCGCACTACACTCCGAGCCACATTTAGCTCCAGGGCTGTCCCCGTTCGTTCACACACCACACTCTTATCTCTCTCCCCGCCGTCAGTGTGTCATGAGCCGCATCGTTTTCGTCACGATGCTTCATTTTTATTATAATAGTCGGCAAGTACTTTATTTGTAAACTTTCCCAAACCGCGTTCGCACCCAAAGATCACTTTCCCACGGCTCGAGGTCAACGTTCTGTCTACAGTTGAACCTCCCCGTGATGATCATTCGACTCCAAACCTTGTTTCTATGTTAATAAGATTCACATTAACTCTAAGATATCCAATTTGTTCAAATCTTTATTTTAGTGTTTTGTCACTGTAATACAACCATGTTCTGTCTCCTGCAGTTTAAAACGCGATTTGATTTTAATAAAATTTCATTTAGGTACATTTATAATATAAATATTCTAATATGTACGTATTTAATCTTTGTTTTTTACTAATTGTGACGGTATTTTATCGTTGTATCCATGACGCTGCATTATTTATTCCTGAGAAAACCAATTTTCACAGGCAGAATCGGAGATCGTAATGTCAAATCATAATATTGTAAAAGATCATTGTATGTAGTATAACTTGCAGCAGGCAGTCTTGTTTCTAAAACAATTTTTGAACTCCACTTTAGTATACAAGAATGTATGGAATATAATAATTCCAAATAAGACTAACTATAACTTGACATAACTCATCTCTATAAATAAACAATTTGGGTGTTGTGTAAAAACTAACCAATGAAGTTTTTGTTTGCATTTGAAATGATTCTGTGCATTCACGAGACATCCACCGTCATTACCAATGATATTAAATCAGGCTTAATGTGTTTTAGATGGAGCAATCTTTACAGATGATTTAGATGCGCTGCTAAAATACGTGGCTTAAAATAAACCAGATAAAGATTGCTAACAAGAAAACAGTGCGATAGATTGTAATGTTACTAAACTCCATACTGTAAGTATTGTGTGTGTGAACGTCAAACGGTATGTTTAGTCGTGTATATTGTATGTGGTAGACGAGCATCTCGTCCGTGCGTCTGTTGGAGCTGATTCTCGTAGTTTTTCAATTTAACTTCACTTTCCACTTTGTTTGTTCTCCGCCAGAGACACTTCACTCTACAACTTAGCTTCTAGAATTGCCTTTGATTTAGAATTTTTAAACCGAACTCTTAACTCTAGATTACTTGAGATCGCTTTTGACTTTTGGTTCATTATTATTTATACTTTATTATTAAGTATATTAACTACTTCTTATTAACAAACTAATTTCTATCTTATATCTACTAATAATATTCCTCTACTCTGATAGACCTCTCCCGTTGTATTCTAGTGTTCATTATTTTCGTCATAACCTTCATTTCTAACTATTATTTTGTTCTCTAATATATTTCAATTCGTTCAAACCTCTTCTCTAAGTCCCTCAGTCTTTCCCGTTAGCTCACAGTCGCACATCTTTGCTAATTCTACCTGTCACTCGTTAGAAATTCCCGGTATATGAAATTGAACCTTATATTATTGTAATACGTTACATTTTTCTATAAATCATTTTTAGGCCATCTCGAACATTTCAAATCGCCGATGTTTTACTTTAAATTTTATTTCAAGTATCTAAAGTCTAAACTCGTTGTGTCCGTGTAAAGGTTTGACGTAAGCCCAGTCGTTTGTTCAGGGCATGTGGTCGAATATATGCCTTATGTTTTGTGTAATAGGGTAGTATTTAGTGCGAGCAGTGTTCGCGCGTGCGTGTTCGGCCGTACCAGGCGGTACCAGTCCGTGCCAGGCTCGGTGCGCCCGAGTCGAGCACACCGCACACTACTGACTACACTCACTAACGACTCGGCCTTCTGTAAAGCGGAGTCAGTAGTGTGGAGAGGATCGTCAGGCGGCCGTCTTGTCCGTATTAACGAGAACTATCAGTTGTTCTTAATAATGTTTGTAAACAAAAATCGATTCGAGCGAATTAAATGTTCTAGGAACGTACGACTGTTAGTGGACGGTTGATTCATTTGTTCGTTATAACAATATGATATGGTCACTGGAACGTGAATCGATAGAATGTTCTCGATATTTGTTGTAGAATCTTATGTCAGACATCGTTACGCCACCGATGTTTATTTGTATTATTAAAATTACAACAATGAACTGTTTACGTACGAGTTGTCATCTTCTATCACTCATTTTGTTAGTCGTCATATAAGACATTAGTGTCAGTCATTACTGCTTTTTGTATGAGTATGCTTACTCATGTTATAATATGTTTCAGTTGAACCTCAATTAACTTCTCCGTACTATATTGTTATAGGCTGGATGTCGTCACCTCTGAAGGATATATATCGTGGAGGTCTCATTACGTGGAGGTCGACAGTTATCTTACAATGAACCAGCGCCCTTTATTGAATGGGCCAAATTAAGGTCCCCGTATGACCTCGCCCCGTCACACTATTTATATTTATTAACCCCCCCCCCTCCTCCGGGACTTGGTCGATGGATGGCTGGCAACAGGCTTTATGAGGGTTTCATGAATTAAAACTGCACACTCTCAGAGCTGAAGAACAAACTGTTCTCACGTCAATAGATATGAATATATTGTTCCATATTAGAAGTAATACCTCTTAGGATGCGGTGATCTTGTTCCATTTAGAGACATTAAAACAGGCAGGTATTTTTATATAAAATTGATACTCGGACTATTAAATTGTTTTTGGATAACAAAGCCCTTATAAGTGAGTACTAAAAGTATTCGATCATTTAAAAAGAAAGTAAGCACAGAGACGCCATAGTTTCAGGCATGCTATAAGAGAGACAAAAATATAAGTTTCCATATTAAATAACATGATGTAGTTTATTTGACCAGCGGACTGTCTTCGAGTCTGCTCCTTTTCCAGAGAGTGCACGATAGCTTAGTTTGTAATGCTATATTCCACATCACAAGTTCGATATCTGTTGGTGTTTATAAATTTTCCATTCTGTATAATAAATTATAATTGATGATCAATTAAATAGAATTTGTTAGTGGAAGTGAAGTCAAGCGGTTAGTCGGCCGATCATGAATACCTACCTAACACTTCGAGGAAAATATAATATCAAATAAATTGAAATCCCATTGAGAACAAATTCCTAATTTGTTAAGTAACCATAAGCTTCTAGAAACTTCGTCATTATACGACATTACGATCGTGTCAGCCCGTGTTGAACGTATTTTTGTTGTGAACCGTTCCATTGAATTGTTTCCGACTCGTGTTAAAGGCGAGGAATACTTCATACATTACGACTAAACAATTTACATAACTCTCAAAGCGATTCCTGTTAAGGTAAAAACGTCATACTTGACGTGCCGTCCACTGTACTGGTGGATGAACGGCTTCTATTAGCGAGGAATGTGATCTGGAGCTCCTGACTTGGACCGCTTTGTCTCTGTATTTAATATTTTTTATATATGATATAAAACATACTATATTTTTCCACGTATACGTTAGAATTCCCAAATTCTTGTTGTTTTTTATTTGAACTACTCTCGAGCTTTGTAACTTCGTGGACGACCTCTCGTCTTCAATAACACGAACAAGAGAACTTTACAAACAACATATATAACGAAAATTCTTTTCTTTCTCATAATAAAAGTTGTTAAACTCACTTCTAGAGACGTGTGCGGTGAATTAATACACTACATGTTGACTCTTCACACACTGAACATCATAAATCAAATAGATTAAATATATTTTAAATCAAAATAACCATTTCTATATATTTCTTTCTTTTATTGTAAACGTCCATGTTGTAAATGATGCTGGAGATTGGAGAATAATCATAAATTATAATTATTGTGATTTTACGATGTTTCTTTCAAAACAAAAATGTCATTAAAGTATCGCGCGTCACTTCCCGTCAAGGTCGAAGGTCGAGGGTCATTTTAAACGGTATGTACGGCAACTTTTCTTGTTGCATCTTCAACTTGAATGATTATTGATAAATTAGTCGCAGCTTAAAAAAACAAATTAACCATTTCACGCTTAATAACTCATATAAGAGTTTCTGTTGACAGAACCAACTGGAATTATACACATGAACATTCAATTGTATATTATGATGTGACAATAAATGACTTACGTGTCCTTGTACTTGACAATAGGTTTAGCGGAAATAATTTTAGTTCATAGTGACCGCGTAGTTGGCGAGCAGCGCCATCTGTTGACGCACGACGGGGTTAATGATAATGTTTTAAAATGAATTGTTCAATAGAGACGTGAATGTTAATATATGTGATTATTCAAGTTAATGACGTCAGTCTTTAAATAATATACATTTATACTATATAATATATATGTTTAAAGTAAAATTTAAAAGAATATATTCCGAGTGCGGAGTGCGGTCTAAGCGAACTACAAAACATACAAACAAGATGAAATGGAATTAGCAGACCGAGGCATATTTTTTCTTGCTCCCTTTATGTTGAACTCCGGCATTTTATTTTTTGTACCATTTATAACTCTCTAGTTTATTTATTTGTTCTTTAATTTATTACATATATCATGACACGTTGATAACCTACTAAATGTTATATATTTAGTGAAAACATATTCGCATTTTTACGTCCTGGCGATGCTCGGTTAAAAAGCAATTTCATTAGATAACGTTGTTTGTCGGCCAATGAAAACTTTTAGGTCACTTAGGATCAGCTTAACTGGTTTACAGTAAATATAACATTGATTGACATATAAGTATTTAATTGGTGTGCAGTTCATTAGTTATTTTAGAGGAGAAGTCTTACATAGTTCAATTAATAAAAATAAAATAAACGAGAAACTATTAAATCATTTAATTCTTATAGATGTTGTTACGTCTCTCTCTTTCAGAACAAGTTAATAAATTCATTGTTATACATTTCTGTAAATACATTTGCTGTATTTTCTTTATTACGCTTTAAACAGATTCAGAAAAATCTTTTTCCATTTGTAAAGTTGCGTTATAAGCAGACTCCCTCATTTAGTAATTAAATTATAATTTAAACATGGTTTAACATTTATAATTTTATGTTTAAAGCTCTAAATAAAATCCCTTTCTATATACACACATCAATTAAACTACACAGTTAGACATCATTTTGATCGAAAATAACTTCGTAAAACATTCTCTTGTTATATTTTTGTAACTTTATTTCTTTGGAGAGTCTTTGAGATCGTCTCGTACCGAGTCAACTTAAGTTTATTTTTGCACAAAGGTCGTTTAAAATTTTGAGACACTCCGATGATAGCATTATTTAATTTTTCACTTATTCGGCGCTAAAAAAAACTTATTGACATTTCAATTAAAACCTTACAATTATCATAATAAAATCTATTAAAGGGCAAGTGGGAGAGTTTATCGAAGACTGTTCATCTGACTGATATTTGATTGTTATTTATTTGTACATTCTTTAATAGAACATATTCCGAAAACTCCTGTCATCTCTCTTATCATCTTCGCATTTAATCCCACGGTGCATTCTGTGATGATCTAAAACAGCCTCTTAATCTAATTTCAAGTAAATGACTACTTCACAACCATTTATTTTTTCAAGATCATAATACTCTTAGTGTGAGTTCTCACAGTCAACGTATTACCGACAGTATCAATGTGTGTAGTGCCTGTAGATTAATAATCCTTGTAAACTTTGACAATAAAAAGTTATGAGCGGAGAGGATCGACAATAGTTATAAACTCATCCTATCAATATCATACTTTAATACTTATATATTCATTACTACTACTGTATTGAACATATAATATACTTTAAAACATCGGTTTTTAATATTGCTATGTTATTCGATATATATTTTTAATTTAAAATTATTAATATTATGATTATATTTTATTATTTTCACCCGACGTTTCCGTTCCTTCACAGCACCTGTGTTCACGACTATACTAGATGAGAGTGTCTGTCAGTTAGTCTTGTTATTTGTTGTCTAAGGCCAACTATTTCTTCATTTACTAGCATACTATTCTGGATACCTGTGAAATACGCTAACTCTTAGTCACATTGTGTATGATCACGGTTGCTATTATATAATCAAAAAGATGGGAAAATTTGAAAATAAAAATGTTGAACTTCGTAGTTATCTGAAAAAGATAGTATGTACAAGTGAATTACGTTTTGTAGTTCCGGAAGATGCAAGAAAAATCAAGTTTACTTATGAAAAAATATTATTTAAATAACAATTAAGATTGATATACAACTATACTCAAAGAGATGTCTGTAAGTCAGCTATTGACTTCAAACTCAATATATGTCAAAACCTTTTCCAGCTTTTGGTACTTCAGTAATATTTGGTACCAATGTTTCACTATAAACTTATTTCCAGCTTACGCTTGCGTTACATGCGGACATCTTACGTGTCATATTTAGTTTAAGTTAATACATTTATGTATCATTAAAAGGTTGCTATTAATAATAATGACGCTATCAAAGCAACCCTCGGAGGAGAAATATCCCGTCGAAGCATTATCTTAGTGACCTCTCACTTCTTGATACAAATTCAAGGTAGTTCTATTATAAGTTACAGTTTCTTTAAGATCCGTTGTTATTGAGTTAAAGGATTAAACTTTTTGATATTTTCTGCTGCCAAATACGTTCTCAATTCTATCCAACTATTTCCTTCAACTATTCTCACGTCGGTCCGTCTCGACACTAACTAGAGCTTATCTGTCGAAGTCTAATTTGAGATGTCGTTCAACATTGCTCCATCTTACATCACGAGACTTGTGATAATATTCACGTCTTCCAGAGATCGGCACGAGGATGCTGCATTCTTTAACGGCAGCTGTAAAAAAGTTTATATACAACCAAGTATACCGCTCTCACTAGATATTATAAATGAATGATGTACACTTGCTAAAATTACGAACATTTGAAGTGAAATTACTAAGTTTAAGAAAAAAGAGTGAAAAATAAAACATTTTTAAATATACGTCCAATAGTATTTATCCAGTTTTTATTTTTGTACAGTTCGTTCGTTACAAAGTTTAAAGCCATGTGAGTTAATTAAAAATGTAAAATACGTGACACAAATGATAATGTGGAACGACGTGTGTTTGAAGTAGTATACAGAACTTGGATTTATTGGATATTTAACATGTGCTTACACTACATTTATAAGAATTAAATACTTTTAACATAATGATCACATTTAATTGTGTTATTTCCCAGTTCAGTATGTAGTTTACACAACTCGTGTAGAGATCTTTGGAATCCATTAAAATTATATTTCGTGACAGGAAGTGTTGTTGTTCGATGTAAATAGCCAGTCGTTATACATATTTGTCTAATGGCCGGCGTGACCGTGAACAGAACAGTCAGATGATCACCTCGATCGTATCATTCGGTTTGAAATTATGGCTTTTAACGGAATGCATCTGACAGTACTAAATGTAGTTATATCTGTATGTACTTTATAGATCTATGTTTGTCATTCTAGCAAAGTATATCCGGATGTTGACTGATTTTTATACTGTTCAGTAGGAGACGAAAGCTCTCAGAATCCAATGTTATTTATCGTGCGGGTGCCTGGTCCATCGTTGCAGGGAGAGGAGCTTCAACAGTGCCTGGAACTTGCGACCCAGGTGTAGGTTTAAGGGGCTCCTGTCTAACGCGCGTTAAACGCTCACCTCCACCGTTGTTAAGAGATATAGATGTTATACTTCTCGCTTCTACTTCTACCGCGTACACATTGACAACAAACCTATTCTTAGTGACCTCTTAATAATTATTGACCTCGATGGCATGGTCTTTGGGGATGTTGGTTTCCCAAGGAACCGAAACCTCTAATAACACCACGAGCCTTAAAAGTCGAAAATACAGACATACATATGTCTGGTCTGGACGCCGACACACAAATATTCTTTGGAATTTTGTATTGTTTTTCATACGTGTCCATCATTATAGTCCAATCCGAAGCCGCTTTAAGGATGGAGTAAGGCGTTTGATTTTATTCTTTCACCAAACCTATTGACGCTCGATTACACTACTCACAGAATTTATCAAAATTTTAAGAATTAATATCAACCTTAAATCTGTTCTCGAACGATTTATGAAAGATTCATATTAATTCATATCAGATTTTATTTTCCCCCAAAAATGTCGTTCGTTGTTCCTCAGAAAATTCGCTGACATCTTGTACGATCTCATTTTATTGAAAGTAAAATTTATCATGATGTATAGAAGCCAATAATCTATCGGGGAATATTGAATGTTGAAGGATGTTCCAACGTTAACTTAGAAATTGTGAATCTAAAAACATCTAAACAGTTTTTTGTCCAGAATTTTTTTAACTTAAATATTCTCTATATTTTCCGTAGTATTTCAACTTGATCATTATAATATTGTATGTGGGTGTATTTAAACAGGCAGGATGTTGTATAACGTGGTTACATATGGCGCTGCGACGCTTTAGATATCGCAAACGACAGGTTTCTAATGAGTGTGGAACGGGAAGTGATCCCGGAACGGAACTGACGTAGCATCCTATATCCGCAGCTGAGTAGCTCCTGCATCATTAAAGAGAAAAGTTTGTTAGGAAATATATCTGGCTTTATTAAATTAAATTAGATCGTGATAATTATTGTTTGGATTCGTTAGAAACCTGTTAGCTCTCTACTAACGATTGTAATAATAAGTTCCACTCCTACAAGTTCACCTCGTGAAGTTTCATATATTTTCAGTTACCGCGGTATTTTCGTATCAATATACATAAATCATATCCATAAACCTCACTAAGCTCAGTGAGCTCACTCTAAAGATACAATATTATGAAAACGAAAGCCGTTTCTCCAATTTTTAATATCATAATAATCCTTATAAAGCCCTCTTTGTCTTGTTGGTACAGGTTCGTGTATTACTCTGAATTCAAGCTAATACCGCGTTCACATTCAAATGACTCAAAAAAAATTGAAATAAAATAAACAACGTGTTTATTACTGGAGAGTCGCTCGTGGAATAGGTTTGTTATTTTATGAGGTAGCAGACTTTTTTCCAATGAAGTAAATTTAAATTTTTCTTAATATAGCTCAGACATTTAATTTACAATACAAGTTTTAAATCTTAAACGTAGTCTCGACTGGTTTTAATTGTTTTTAATAAACAAAACACCTAAATATAGTTATATTGTCAGATACTAATGCTTTATTCGTGAAAATATTAATGTAATTGAAATTTACCGTGACACAGTAAGCCTTTAAACTGCAATAATATTAAAATATAATAGTCCGTTATAATACTTGAATGTGACGACGAAGACACTCTTAAATGTAACGATCTGTGAGAACACCGCACCTACCTCACCATCAATACTCACGACATCCCGTCGATAGGGGGCGCCTCGCAGCTTAACTTTCATATTAAATATTGACAAACACATCTAACTTTAACTATAAACACATATAGATTGACAATTTAAAAGAAAATATCTTAAATAAAAATATTTAATATTTCTTTATACAGCTTTGGATCTTTTTCAAATTTTTTAAACTTAATTTCGGTTTCGTAAATCATTAATTCAATTAAAGTTATGAGAAGTTTGACCACTTATGGAAACATTGTCATTTTTGACAATAAAATAATAGTCTGCTCCCCAAATAAAACTTTGGATAAAATTAAAAGGACGTCATATAACATAATAAATGAGTACGATTGGAGATCACACGAGGATTGAAGATAATTGATATAATTACAACAACCATATATACATAATACGGGACCGGATTGACCGAACGTAGATCCTACCTTAATACACTTATACTTTAACTTTATATTAAGAGAAAAACATATATATGTATAATATATAAAGCCACTTTATATACACTCATGAAAATAGATGCATTTAACTAGAGAGGTTTCATTAGACATTGTGAATACCTAATATAATTTTAAGGTGCTTTTAAATGATTATTCTTTGACATATAAGAAATAAAAAAATTAACCTGAATTTAATTATAATGAATTTGGTTATTTACATAATTTTAGTATTTCGTATCATAAACGGCATAACTTATTTCATAACAAATATATTTAATTCTGTATTAATATAAATATGCTGGTTAAAATGCGACGGTCAGGACCATTTACATTTATATTTTAACCTACATAAAGTAAACCTGTTTGACAAATATTTAATAATCACGTATTGATAATGACGAGGCCTACTTTATACATTTTAAATCCACCTCACTTTAACTAACAATCAGTACAAATATTTCATATAATGTTTTCTTCTTGACCTCTTTTCGTTCCTAATATCTGGTCGCGTGTACATCCTGTTATTGTTGTATGAGAGTGTTGTCGCGGCGTCTGTCACAGCTCCATATATAAATGTTAATGATTTAATTATAGGATGAAGGGATCACTCCGGCGACGAGTGACCGTAACACACCGCGCGGACCTCGGGACCAGCGATTATTGGATTATAAAATGAAACAACCCTTAAAGGTTGACTCTTACCTTTCATTAATCACCATCTAAATTACTAATCTTGCGTTATTTAATTCACAAACATAACATTCTTTTATCATGTTTTGTCACTCTTTATATGACTAATATTCTAAACAAGGGCCTGTCTGTCTCTCTGTGTATTTTGCTGAGCGTATACTTTTCGAATATGTCTTAATCTCTTAATTATTGTGGCATATTACATTAATGATGGGAGGTTCATTAAAAATAACTATGAGACATTAAAAATAATACGTTATAATGTTCTTAAAAGTTTAATAAATTCGAAATAAATCGCTGGGTTCCTGGATCAATAAGCTGGATCAATAAGTCACCGATGTATTACATGTAACGAAAACGTAATCAGTTAGATAAATATTATGTTTAAAGTTTGTTACATGAAGTCGGTGTAGTTACATCAAACAGTATAGGAAGTCAATACTACATATATACTTATGAATTATTTTCAATCCAATCACTTAATTAGAATTTCTTATATAGAAAAAGAGTCCTCTGGTTGACAGTGTGTATGAGGTTAAACTGATTGAGTTCAAAAATGCAGACATTGACCTCAATGTCACAGAAGGCAGCCGTCTTGATAAAGTAACGTGTGGGTACATGACGTTATATGTTTGAAATATATATTTTAACTTTACGCACTTATAATTCTGGTTTACTCGTTTTAAATGTCATGTCATATATTGATAAATAGTATCATGGTGCTCTCAATTAATATTAAATGAAAATAATTGATGTATATCTTAGTATATCTTTATGATGAGGCTAAGAAATGGAAAGTTTAATCCTTGGTCTTCTAGCATAAATCATTTAGTACCTAAGAAAAATAAGTAATTAATGAAACAATATATATATTGTATATCATATTATTGTTTTGTCTTAACGTCGTTTCTTCTGTAACCTTTATATTAGGTTGTTTTCTGAACCTGTATTCATTTCTTGTCTGTCTGGTGCCGGTGACGGTCGAGTAGTGTAGGTGTGGTGTTGTCTTACAATAACATGTTTATATCAACAACCTTCCTTATACTATGTACTCACTATGTACACAGAGTTTTAACTGTACATAAGGTTACTGTCCCAGGGTTCACTTATAATATATAATGTACATAGTCTAGACGACTTGTTGGGTTAATTTCAACGATTTTCTATTAAATATTATATAAATACAAAACTATTACTTCTATTGTATTATGGTCTTAGTATTGTAATCTATTTAAAGATATTTTTATCAGACGATGAATATGATGGTATTAAATTCAGACCACATCTTAAGTATCTTCTTATTTCATTTCTTTTTATCTTTTTTTTACATACATATATTTCACCTGTAATCGTAATTATCTTCTCTATTCTCTGTAATTCCTTTAATTCTTATGAGTTTAAAACAAGAACAATCTAACATGTAAGTTTGTCTGTTTGTAAAATTGCAACGAACTATTCTTAGAGAACTGTTTCCATTGTTCTGACGGACTGTTATGCACTATTATTTAAGTCATTCTTGCTTGCGGATATGCTAGAATTTATCTGTAGTATTTAATATTGTATGATTTATTCCAATAAACATTACATTTCATATATTTTAATAATTTCCACGTCATATTACCATATTAATATCAACTTCGTTACCTATATCAAGTAACATCACCGGCCATTCCTTTAACAAACCTGTTTTTCCGTGGTACAGTCGTCATGTGTCAATGGAGACGCTCCCCAGGTTCCCGGAGCGATGGCAATTTCACGTCGCAGCCTGCATTTGCATTTAATTCCTCAGTTTCATCGATAGATTGAAGCTCTGCCAAAATACGTCGCCGGATGAACACTTTAATTTATATTTACGACTGTCTATTAGAATTGAATCTAGAAAATTCTTTAGCAATTTTTGAGAGATCTGAAATTCTTTTATTAATCCATCTTTTTGGTAAAGAACACGCGAACGTTTCTTTATGTTATCGTGTAGGATATAAAAGCTATCAGCGGGAGGTGGTCGTACTTATCATAGATGAGATTCGAACCAGGCAACGAGCAATTCAAATGCACGCTTTCAGGTTTGGCTTCGCTTCAAAGACGTCGTTTAAAATAAAATTTAAACTGTCTTTAATTCCTTGAATGTAATTCTCATTTCCCTCCTACATTTACCGCATCTTCGGGAAACCAATCGCCGATGACTCAGTTCACTTTAACGGGGCTACGTAATCCATATTTGCAATCCTGGAGCCAATTTACTGAAACTAGACTTTAAACAAGAAAAAGGGGAAGGAAAGTTTTTGAGTTGATTGTATTTTAGGATTTAAATGTTGTCTCCTAAATGACAAACTGGCTAACCGAATATGATAATTTTATCTCCTTGTGTTTTTTTGGGTGACGCCAGTGTCGATAATCGAGGAAAAATACAATAGAAAAACGAATAAAATTCTAGTTTTTAAGCACTTTTCCATGTATTTTTAAGCACTTCGAATAAATTACAATAATATAACATTAAAATCATTTTAAAATAAAAGAAAATATTAAAGAATTATAACATAAAAAGTAACTTATCTGAAAAAAACATTTTTTTTTAATAATTTATTTAAGAGATTCATGTTTTCGGTTTTTTGTATTAGAATTATGAGACTACTTTATATGTACTAGCATACACCCGTGTCTTCGTCCGCGTTACTTGATATAAGTATTAACAAAGTTTTCGTATGCAAATAACTTTCATCATTACACAAGTAGTGCTTATAAACATCGTTGTTTCTTAAAATTTTAATAACTTTATAAACAGTGAGTCTTAAAAATAATATGTTTATACAAGATTATTTAATTGTATCCTTCATATAGAAGGTTAAGTCTTATCATCAATAAATCCAGTGCCATAGAGAGTCAGTGTGTCTCTGAATCCTATTATATTTTCATTAGTAACAACTAAATTACAATTATCCAGGGACCTTACGTATATATATTAGTGATGTATGAGATGAGGGCCGTCTGTCTGTCTATCACGAGTGTTAAATGGACATCATAAGTAATGTGCGTCATTATATTAATTGGCTGTTAGATGTAGATTTATGTTTAACACGCATTATATTGATGGAACAATTAATAAAATGTATATTTAAGGACAATTATAAAATTATAATTTCCATACATTTTATCAAAAAGTATTAACAATTTTCTTGTTTAGAAAGTGGAATGAAAATGAATTTAAATTAGTCTAGTAAGAATAAATACCTTAAAATTTATGTGTTTATAATAAATCGGTAACAAGATTAGTGCAACAGATTTTAACTGAAATACTGTTCCGAGATGTGGTCAGGTTTAGGAAGCTTCAAAACAACGAGTCTCTGGAACTAACGGCAGGATGAATTGAAGTTAGTCTCAATAATACATATAATTGGTCTACACTATTCTTATCGTCGTAATAACTTAAAATAGGGATGATTTATAATAAAAATATTAATATTAAAATATTCATACTTATAATTTTATTATTATAACTTTTCACCTCATTTAATAGTGCGGGTTAAACTGTAGAATAGTTGACGTTATTAAAAAACTAGTAAAGTTGTTATGAAGTTGCGACAAGTTGACGTCGCTGGACTCGCCGCGCGATGTGATGCAGATAATAATATAACATTGTTACTGAAATATCAATATAAGAAAATTGACTTTAAATATGACAGAATTAGATTAATTTTGTTCCTTACAATATGTAGTAAACACAACTGCACATTATTTCAAAAACTCTTTCTATTTCAAGGAAGTCGCGCTTTTGAAATCGAAGATATTATTTTTAACTCTTTCCTTTAAAAATGAACTTAACAAATATAGTCATTTATATTGAACATTCCCTGGGTTTGAATCCTAATTTGTCAAATTAAAACAAACACACTGTAGGTCTGTGTGTTTGTGTAGCTTTAGTGGAATCCTAAATTTATTTATCTAAGTAGTTGAGTAAAGTTATCCGTGACTGTCTGTTGGTGCTGCTCTGTGGTCGAGTTCATTTAACTTAATAAACATTACTCCAGTACACTCCTACTCCCGACTGTACGCTGTACGTGTTTTTGTTCCTGTCCCTGTCTTAATATATCAATCTGAATCATGTTATTGTTTCATTAGTGGCATCAAGTTAATTGTAATAATCGACATTTGATACACACGGCGCGGCGCGGCGGTGTTACATGCACGGCGTTAATCGGTTAGTCAATTAAGATCATTAAGTTGATGATAAATAGATGTTATTATTGTATCAAACAATATATTACTGGTAGCGAAGGTGCTCCTGAATATAACTATTGTAGTTTGTATGTTATAATATAAAGGCGAAAATAAATAGAGTATAACACATTCATAAAGCTTTACTTTTGAAGTCTTTTAAAAATTTTCAACTGAATTTGATTGATTTTTTAAGTAAATACCTACGGCCAAGTCTATGACTTTTGTTTCTGCGAACTTGCAATTTTTTTTATTTAATCCTAAATCTCATACTATCTTCTGTATGTATATTTATTTGTGTGTATGTTTGTTTGTTACTCCGTCAATCATGAACACCACCCAACCAATTATCCGAATAACCCCGCGGGGACTGTACGAGCCCGGGGGAAGAAGCAGTGTTCAATAAATAATAGACACGCGCCACCTCACATACAACACTGAAATTATAACTTTTCCAATATTAATGAAACTTGTTATGTTATGTGTTTCATTACGACCGACTTTATCTTTAAAGGAAGAAATGATGTTAAAAACTTTGATATTTAATAGTAATATAATATTCTTGTTTAATGGTAACTAATACTTTTTATAATAATACATTACAGTAGTGAATCGTTCAAAGCATATCAAAAAGCGGAGTCTGATTGAACTCACTTTGAGTAATTTGTGTTCGAGCGGTTAAAGATCCTTAGACTTCCAATCAACAGTCAGCAGTTACAGGAATTTAAACTTACTGAGTTTTATTTGATATTATTACTGGGAAGGGATTTCAACATTCAACTATATAGAATTCAATAGTATTAAAAGAGACATTATACGTCAATAGGTCCTATAGCAAATTTTTTTTTGTCATAACGAGATAATGAACTGTTAGTTTATTAACAGAAAAATGTTATAAAAAGGACAGGTGAACAATGTACAAGTAAAACAAACAAATCCAATATGAACACCGTACTCTATAATCGTTAGTAAATTCCAAAGTGCTATTGATTAAATATCAAAGTGTGGTAATCCCGGTGTGTATACCTGTATGTATGTATGTATGTACACCCATAGTTACTGTGACCGAGGACACAACACTACACGACAATATGACAAGTTGGCATTCATTTCAAATGTATTTATCGATTCATTCTGTTACACTCATGACACAGACAGACACACATTATTATTACATATTGATATTTGACTCCAAGTTAACAGAACTCGTAACATGCTAATGTAGTTAAATTGCTGAATGGAGTAGTGTGAGTTTAATACAGCAGCGGCGTGAGGGCGAGCGTAGTTTAATAAAGTTATCGGAGTATGGAGGCGGGCCGGTGTGCTGGAACTAGTTTAATTGTCTGCGGAGCACGTAAATACTGTGGAACAACACCAGATAATTGAAACACCCCACACACTACACGTATACCTAAATAAGCACGGCAACTTACCGACATCACCTTCGTATATCAAGGGTGCTAGGGACAATTGATAATAAACACATATTTTATATTTCAGTACATAGATTAAATATAATCGTGCTATATACATATAATACTGCGTATGAGTGTGTGAGTATGTGTGTATGTATGTGAGTTCATAACTCAACCATCAAATAACAGAGTCGAATTAAGTAAAACTTTGTATGGAAGTAAGATCAGTAGTGTTATGTATAACAGAGCCGGTACTATCAAACACGTACTACTAAATACTTTCTATGTTTCATCATTGACATAATTTGTAAAACTTCTAATGCTATCTTTTAAAACAAAATCTGTGTCCAGAGTCTTAAATCTCTCTTAAACAAAATTTTGATGTAATTCGAATATATTTAATTTAAATATTGATCAATTGTTGTAGTTTATTAAATTCCATTTCTTCTTAAGTTACTCTGGTAGATACTCCAGTGTGCATAGCTTACCCTTTTCTTGATAATGTTTTAAACGGATTCCGTATGGCCAAGAAACGAGCGAGATTCATCTCGGTCATTGTGTTTTGCCGATAAAAAAATATAATGCAAAATTTTAAGGCTCATATTTCTTTATTCAACTGTATTGATATGATAAAGACGGTTAAAATATTGTCTAGGGCACAATTGATTGATTTGTAAAACGAATCAGTCGAAATGTTTCAGAAGTCACAGTTTCTAATCTTGCCCTATTCTCTCAAATAGTAACATATACACATATATACATATGTATATATATTGTTCCTTGGCCCCAACTCATCAGCCACACTTCCCTTAAACCGCCAGGACTTAGTGGCAATAAATAAGTCACTTTCTTCTATTGTTTTTACCTTAATCTTTCTCTTTTAAGATTTAAACGCGAATTTCGTATTTACGATCCCCTTGGGGCTTGTTAATATATTTTTTTGTTCAACCGTTTCTGAGATGTTGAAAAATCGACATTATTTTATTTCAAGTTGAGAACAATTAAGTTGTAAAATTTTTATATAATTTTTAACTTTATAATTACTTCAAACCTTTAATAATAGTACTTATATAAGGGGTTACTAATTAATTTTATTGCAAAAATGGAACTATTTATTTCATTGATCTTCGACATATAAAAGTTCCAACTTAATATCGTACAAGTCTGTTATACAAATGCAGATATATTTATATGTCGACAAAGTAATAAACTAAGTTTGGATAATAATTTACTAAACTATTTATTATATTAGAACAATATAATGAATTCCTGCCTTTATTAGCAGCATGTGACATTTATTAATATAAGAATCTATAAACTCTTACTATATAAAATAATTTATAAATTAAATGGTCATAATTACATTTGTATGATACATGTCTCGTCCCGCGAGTTTGACCGTTGACATTAATTAGTATAATTCGTAATGTATTCTGTGTCATACAAAGTAACTAAGACACATGTTACATTATATGGATATGAAGTGTACATCGCGAGATTATCCCGGAGTGACAGTAGATTGTAGGTACGCCTTGGAAGTAGGTATTAAAAATACGGGACGCAGTAAGAAAAACTAGTTCATAATTCTTAGTGCTCGATGAGGACTAGCAATTAGTGTTAATCCGATTTCCGATAATGACGTCACCGCTTGTGTCCCGGGACAGAGAGGGCCGCTTACACTACGTTAGATGGAGAGAGTTCATAGAGTTATGAACATTACGTGAAACTAACAGTCTGTGATGACCATTCATAGGATCTGGACTGAACATAGCTAGCTACATATAACACAATAGCTGTTTCAAATGTATCGCTAACTTTATAATGGTGATGGAAACGTGTTCATAAAAATGCAGACGAGCCGACCGACCGACCGACCTCAAACGCTAATTAATTCGAGCTCATACCGACCACTCGTAAACTTGTTATAAGCCGCGTCACACAACTCAAACTCAACTCCATATAGTAAATTAAACATAACAATTAGTGAGGACAAATCGAGTTCTCAGTATAAACTGCGTTCAGTTATATTTCTAAAATAAACTTCACAGAGTGTATGAAGCGTGGTGGAGAGAAGTCTAGTGCTTTTATCTTCCGTAATATAATTCTCTTCATTATGCCGCGCTTGCGTAAATTATGCCGTGCCAATTAGTCAACGTACGGATGGACACTGTTCACTGCATTTACAATACATATTAATTGCTTATATACATAATTATGTCGCCGTTTATAAAGAGCCTTTATGGGAGAGTATTGCTTATACATTTATAATGTACATATATAGAACAATCTCGAACCTTATCCACGGCTCTCACCTTTCACGTGATTGTTTCAACAAAAATAAGAATAGAGACCGAACGAACACACTGTTTCAGGCTTACCTTGGATTTTCTCAATAGAGTGTGTATTGTGTAGCGGAAGCTGGAGGACTTGCACATATTTTACATTCAAAATATTTTATCTTCCATTTTCTATAGTTTTATAACTTACATGGAATTGAAAAGATACGTTTTATAAAGCTCAGATAGAGTAAAATAATATTTACTTTTAGTTTTTGATAAATTATTCATATTAAGATGGTTATATTGAACAGTTCCAGCGTGTTTTGATATAGTTCGTGTTTTTATAATAAAAAATTACAAAATCAATAAATATGTATGTTTTATTTAATGAAATACATACGCTTCGTTCATTATAAACGGTGTTTATGAACACATTAATAAGGTAACGGTTCAACTTGAATTCATCACGCCCCGATACAGTAATGAAGTGTAGAAAACTACATCACAAGCGGAGAACACATCAAACAATACGTACACAGGAGTATGAAACACGTTATATTTACATTACCTACGTATAATACAACACAAATATTACTTATACTGATTACCATATATATAAATAATAGTTATTTGTCATAAATGTGTCTCAAAAGTATTTCAAAATTAAACTAACATATTTTTCATCTTGTTTCAGGTAATGCAACGGTATTTACGACGCAGATCAACGCGAAAGAACTGAAAAGTCTTCAGATAATTATATTGTAGTTCCTAAATGAAATAACATTATAAAGATTCATTAATTCATTATCATAGTATAGTTGAACAATAGAACCACGAGGTTGCGGACGGTCACAAACAATCACAGCAACATCTAAGGTTTGATAATCTCCAGCCCGACTACTAATTACTGCTCTAATGATCCACGGTTGTACATTACGAACATTATACTCTGCTAACAAATGTTTAAAGCGGAACATTTTGGCTGATGATTAAATTTGCGGTTCCGTATCAGCGATTCCTTTTACTAAAATTAACTTTCCAATTTAACTGGTAATTTAAAACATTGTATATAGTCCGTATATTGTGTAACGCTGACCCCACTATACTGAACGCCTCCAGTTTAATTAAATATGCAACAGAAAAACGGTACAGCTCAGCTTAGACGAGAGACTTAATAGGATTGACTGCATCGGGATAAAACTAAGGTTGATATAAACAAATAAAATATATTAAAATGTTTAATGAACTACAATATTAACCAAAAAATATCTCTATAATAAATCTCTTGCAATTAATAATGCATAGTAAATATCTGTACTCAGGTATATTAAAATGAAACAACTGTGTCTAAAGTAACTGTCGGGACGGGAGAGCACGATGACAACGATCCGTTAACAATATTCCGTTCAAATTGTTATCATTGAATATGAAACAGAACTTGAGATCATGATTGTATACACTATACATACATTAATGTACAATTGCGACCGGGAAACGTGTTTTTATTCTCCTGAAACTAACACAAGAACAGAGAGTTGTAATATATAAATTATATTAGTATAATATTGTGGTTGTTGTTGAAGCGAGTGTCTGAGATGTGTTTGTGTCTTTCAGGACGCTCGGGGCGTATGAAGCCTCGGATCGCAAAACAATTTTTAAAAAAGTTCCGTTACAAAGGTACGTCGTAGAGGGCGCTACTTGTTGTGTGTTTGTGTGCCTTATTAATATCAGTTGTACTCTCTTCTATCAGATGTAGTTTTATAGTTATTATAGTAAAGTATCTTGTTAAATCAGCTCGTTATATCGTTTTTATCCTCTCATTATATTTATTTAAATGTGCACTTTTAAATTTTCTTTTTATTTCTGTAATATTTTAATATATTTCTTTATAACATAATAACTTCGTAGATACACTACTGTAGCCGTGTTATATCTTTGGTTTATTTTGTCTTTTCTCGACGTTTTAACTTATTACATATGCTATTCTATTCCCTACTTAAAGTGCTGTAATTTCTTTGCCGAGGGATTTAAGTGTTTGCAATATCTTTCATTTCAAAATGTGTTTTAAAAGCGTGGGTTCTAAACATTATATAAAACACGAGACGTAATAAGTATCGATCCTACTTTATGAATTCGATTAAAACATTAAATGAAGTGACTTATAATTAATTTACTGATATCAATAAATTCTAGAAGCGGCTCCGACGGCTCCTCAAATATTAGCGGCCCGTCGCGAGTGTGACTGCTGATAATAATTATGTTACACTTAACATGTTTATTATACACAACAATAACGACCACCCGCGAATGGAATTCATTTGAATATAACTGACAATGTAACTGTTATAAAAGTACACGTTTGATTTTAATTTCTTATGACTACATATACAAACCAAGGCTCGTCTCAGCAAGGCGGGTATCATATGTTTATTGAAGGTCATCTTTTTAAAAATACATCCACATCAACAAGTTCTAATACATTTCACTCTCATTATTCGCTCCGCTTGTCATTTATATTGCTGTCATTCTGATGATTGAATCTTAACAAAATATTGTTATAATAATAGGCTTTTAAACGTAAGTAATGTGGGAGATAATTTTTTTTAGTAAATTTAAAATTACTTTACAAAATTTTCTTTTTATGTAATCTGAAAAATTACACTCACGAAGGTTACTGACAAACTTTTCAGTTTGTTTTATAATTGATATATTAATTTTTATAATTATTCGATATCTCTGTTTGCTGATGTTGGAGAGCAAAAACAATTTATGATTTGTAGAGTCAACAGCTAGAGAAGAATTTGTGGACAAAATACGGCATTATAAATATATTGATCCTACAGGGATCGTCGGGAGGAATCTCAGAATTTTATATGCACGCTGAGTATTCCAACAAGAGTCCAGGGATATTTGTGAACGTTCTCAACTAGCAAAAAATTACGAACACTTTCATAGGCGACGAAGTTGTTGTCATCTCCGCTCTGTTTCCTTCAATCCATCAGTGGTTGTAATTCTCGTAAAAATGTGTTTTAAAACACATTCTTCATAAACAGCGGTCGACGTCTACACAAATGATATTTCAATCCCTCCGGTTGTAACTCGTCGTCAGCCAAAAATGCTTTTATAAATAAATTTGTTCTCATATGGAATTTAATTTGAACACGAGGCAAATTTGTAACATCACTGGCAAATAATGTTAGCCGAGTGCACCCTTGGGGCTCGCCATCTTCAAAAAATGACATGAAAATTCTATATTGGAGTAGAAATATTGTAAAAAAAACTTAACTGGCTGGCTGCATGGCGGAGAGAAAGATCTGCTTATATTTTACGACCTGCCATTCACAGGCTGGCTAAGGCTCTGTACATATTTGAAAACATCGACTTAACAAATTGTAATTTTATCTGAATAATTTTCAAATTCTAAAGGATAAAAAAGTAATACCAGTCAAAATTATATTTTGTACTTTCGTATTATTTTGTTTTTAATAACAAGAAAGGATTTTTTGAAAATACTTTGAAAAATATGTAACAATTCAAATAAAGAAATATATGTTACGAATGTTTCGTTGAATTCAAGGAAAAGACATATTATTATAAATCACAAATATCCCCGACACGTGTGTGTGTACTCAGCCTAAAAAAGTATAGTTAAGATGTATGGGCCGTAATTTAAATACTTTTTATGGGATTTTTTTGCGTTTGAGGGAGCCCTAACGTCGAACGGGGAAAGGAATCGGGCTTACTCCCCGATAACTCGTGAATAGATGGATTTTCTTTCTAAATGATGGGCCATTATCAGTTTTACATGGCCATAACACTGAAGGCTTTTATTATATTACCATCAGTCAGCAGCGTATGTCTTTATTATATTTTATTTATATTTATCCATTCACATGTATTGTGTTCTGATTTGCCTTATACTCAAAATGTATATAACATACAATACGAGAAGTAAGAGTTCAAAAGAAATTAAATGTATATTTTGAACTATTATCTATTTTAAGAAGTTTAGGTTTTATGATATATTTTTCCATAGTTTCTAACTAAAAATTATATTTTATTTCAATTTTTGTGGTCTTATCTGTACAAAATAATTATTTCTATCTATAGTTTGTCCCCAAGAGCAAGTTTCCCCATCACACAAAAAACTATTTGTTTGTTTTAAAGGCCATACAGTAAACAAGTATCTGGTGCAGTGAATATTCTTGTAAATCATAACACTTCCGATGTCAGGAGCTGTCTGTGTGCTGATTGTTCTGTCTGTCTGTACTCGATGTGTCCGCGGGCTTCGACAATTGCGAGACAATCTCGACACAACAATATAAATTGTTCCTCTGACTCGTGGGGATTGTTTTTAAATTTCGTTACGGGTCTTATGAGGCTGGCACCAGACTGAGACGGATATACGAAATAAGAATAAGATAGAGAGAGACAGCTGATAAACTTCTCCCGAGTTTTGATCGGATCCAACTAAAGTTTTACGAGTTTGGGTTATACTGTAGACCTGCAGGTTATGATGTTTCTTAATCATGAGATTTAAATTGATATCAATAAACATGATAGACGACCTTATCAATGAAATTCTTTTATTCAGGGTGACATATTTACCAATGAATATCATTTCATTTAATGTTTAACGTAGCAAATCGAAAAATAATAAAATTAGGATATCGGATCAAAAACGTTGAACGTTATCACACACGATTACATTAAAATGGCTAAAAAATACATTAAAAAGTGATTCGTTTTAATCTGTCCACTAAAACCACTTTATATTCATATTGTACACTCCCCCGAGCAGCGCGCGGTTCCTATTTTACCACTCATATATTTTTATTCTACAATCGTAATTTTTCTTAGTGGGAACATAGAGTTGATGTTATTAATACATGCTTACACGGACACGAACATTACTAGTACTCGATAATTAGAACAAGTAACATAACTAAATTTTGATACAAACATATATAATATAAAGTATAATGTTTAAATAACAATAAGTTAAGTTAGGAGAGCTGAATATTATATAATAAGTTAACGAAATTCTTCAACTTTACACTCTCCATTTTCAGATTGACGAAATAAATTATTCATATTTATGTAAAAACGAGACAGACGCTCTCATGATGGGAATTTATAAAATAATTAAACAGATACGTCTACGGATATTCATTAAAGATAAAAGATGCTCGTCATTTGTTCGTCGCCACCCATTTAAGCATTCAAAGAGGACGGTAACTACATCAGGTGTACCGTTCAGTATTTCAACAGTGGTACACACGTTCGCGCGTATATCATGAAACGCTTGCAAAACAAATATTAGATTTGCATATAATTCCCGCGGAAAGGTAAAAAGGTAAAGCCGTATAACAAATATATAACGCTTAAATAAAAAGGCAAACATTTTTATTTAACTAAAGCGTTATGCAAAGATCAATTACCTTCAGCTCGCACACACAAAAATTTAAACGATATTCACAAACATAATATCATTATACATTTTATATTGTGTCAACAGAATTTTATTGTTAACTAATTTGCCCATATAAATACGATAGCATGATATATAAGTTAGCCTTATTGAAATTAGAGCAGAAATAATCAAAGTGTCAAACTCAGTTAACCCTGTTCTCCCTCCCTAGACTCGTCACCCCCCAGTGGCCGTGTTCAGTCCTCAAGAATAGAGTTGCTCGACTTGATTCCGGTTAGAACAATAACATACATACATATATGTACTATAATATATATCTTGTAATTTGAAATAGGACTATATTTCAACCGAGCTTTATTCCCATCAAAACGAGACACTTAACATCTCATCTTTGTTTTCGGAATCAATTCCTTCTCTAAAATCTAATTTATATAATTCTTTTTATCTGATTAGCTTGTCCTGTATGGGACGGTATGGTGAAGCGGATCAAATTATCAAGTTGAAGCAAAAAGGCGACACGTCATCCTGGGGCCCGGGAGATGCCGCTCTCATCTCTTAAGAGCACTCCGCTTAACGGATGCTGCAATTTATATTACGTTCATCTATAATATACTGGATGTAGGAAAGGGACTTTGGGAAACTGTAATTATATGAAGTTGAAGTTGCCTTTGCTCAGCAGTGGGCGTCTGATAGGCTGATGATGATGATGATGATGTACAATTTATTTCTGAAGTATAAAACTTTTGATACTAAAATAAAATATCAAGCTTTTTAATATTGGAGTTATATCGAGTGAAGATTATCGATATAATAAAAATAAATACATGTGTGGGTAACATTATAAATAGTAACAGAGGTTTTATAGGATCGTACTGTTTGGTTCGGGCTCAGGCTGAATGAGTACTCCACACACATACAGACGTGAGACGTGCCCACGCCATGAATGTCCGGGCCGGGACATCGCTTCAAATACTACATCGGGATCCATCGGTATTTACATTCACAACATACAAACATCGCGCGGAATTAGTTACGGAGATATCGACAGCTGTTGGTTCCGCCTCATTACACTAACACGACAACCGTACACTCCTCATACACACACATTTACATTACCATCATCATAGCAATATTACAAGTGGAAAAGTTTAAAGATTCCCTTACATTTGTATTTTTAAATGACACAGTTGTAGACCATTACGTACGGACACATTACTCTCAAGTTATATACACTTAAAGTATCACAAACAAATGGATGTTTCTTTATTGGTTGAGTTTATTGTCAACTACAGGGAAATAGATTAATTTTTTCTACTGTTATGTTTTTCGGAAATTAAAAATAATCAATATTCAATTTAATTTGACATAGTAATATCGTAATTTATTTTATTGAGTTCTTTGTACAGCTACAGGCGTTTTGATTCCGGGAGCCATAACAACAAACGGAAAACAACATGTAATACACCAGTTGAGGGAGCTCGTAAAAATGTTTTATACAACCAAATTACCTAAACATTAAAAATACGTTTTTTTGGAGAACGCTTCTAAAGTGATTGAATGTTTTATAGTCGCTTTTACAGTTATGAGGCGACCCTTTTTATTTTATTTCATTTCTTTTTTCATTGTTTCATTACAGACGACATATCATTACATGAGTCTAAACACACACTTTGAGTGTCTTTCATATAAAGGTGTAGTAGTTTGTTTGATTTATAAAAGCTAGAACTTCTTATATTCTAAATGCAGCCTCCTCCCCCCTACCTCAGCGGATGTAATGTCGTTTATAGTTTCCTAATTTAATATTTCTCGTATCTAACCTCAGCTCAGACTTTTCTTTCCACATAACTTTTTAGTTTCAGCGACAGTTTTTAACTTCATGAATGTTTAAAAGACTCAAAATCGAATTCACTAGATAGAAGTGTTTCCGATAACAGTGACTTTAGGTTTCTTTTAGTTTAAGTAACTTTATGTAGAACTTTGGAATGTATTATAATTAATTATTAGTACACGTCCAAATCAATTTCCTGGTTGAGTCACATAGAGTAATTTAACGTCACAATTAGGCGTCATCAACGTTTCTTTATACATATATATGTGTTATATTAGTTTCTTAGTGTGTATTTTCCACAATTCCTCATCATCTCCGTCGCTCACAAAAGTCTATTACATGTTTTATTCATCACATCACAGAGTACCACCAACTTTATACGAGACTATATAATATATTACATTTCTTATATACATATATATGTACTTCTTGTAGGTATGTATGTCTTGAAACGCACTGCTACTATCGCTTGTGACTTGGGATTTCATTCCATAGTTGTTTATTAAAGAGAAAAAGTATGATTAGTGCAGTGTGTACAGTTACATGTCACAATCGTACAACAAACATATGTATGTACAATGTGTGTGTAATCTTTTTCTCTTATCTCGCTTGTTAGATGCTCGCCTGATGCTTGTTTGAGAAATATATCTTAAAGTTGTCCGGTTAAGATTCAATTAAGATATGGAAAGATTAAGTCAAGCAGCAACGAGCTTTAATAAAAACGGCTATCAGTTGAAGACGACGTCTTTTGAGCGTTCAAAGACATCTGCTGATTAAATAACAATATGATATGTTGTAACCACGGCCCGGAGACACGTGGAACAGAATGAAATCCCCTACGAGACGGAAATTAATAAATTTATCGCTTATTCCAATGAAAAATAAAACTCATCAATGCCAGTACAATTTTATAATGATTAATATTGTTTGTCAGTTTTTTTCTGACTTTATTAAATTGGTTATAAACATTGTGAAAGAAATATTCCATTTCAAAGAATCTCCCCTCATTGTAAGAATATTGTCCAGTTGAAAAACCGCCAGTTATAAGAGTCGCACTCCTTTGAAGTAATTTTCGTTATTTTGATTAAATTGTTACAATTTACATGTTAAAGACTTCTTTTGAATGACAAAGAGAAAATTCTAGAAAGTATTCTTATGTCTTTTGTGTTAAGGATGTGCTGATAAATGTCTCGGTGACAATGATTTATGAAAAATATGTTACTTTAATACAAAATACTGTAGTTTGAGGGTTTTACAGAAAAATGTAAATGTTCACCTTCGTGTAAGAACTACTTTTAACGATCAGGAACTCCTTTTGGTTTCCCAGTTTTTCTAATTTCCTGGACACATTAAATGTTTATCATGAAACTTTTTGTAATTTATTTCTATAATTACATATCAATCTATTCGATTACATATAAGAAAGAAAAAATAATACTCTTACAAACTCTTAATACGGTATATTGTGGCTGAGATTTAATAATAATTCACGATGAAAACTAACAGGCCTTGTCAGTAGCAAAGACCTGTTGAAAATAGTCTATTATATTATAAGTAGCGTAAAATGTACAATGTTGTAGTAATTAATATAAACTTAATCGGCCGTATCATATTGAAGAGCAATCAATGTATTAATTGTAACAAGAGAAGGATCGCTCCACGTAAAGAACAGCCGACACAGGCTTGTTTGTTAACTGTTTCATTAAGTTTGATTATATTGATATTGTTCCGAATCGAGTGTCGAGTGTCCTTTGAAACGGATAAAGGACCAATTACGTTTTCTTTGAATAATTTATAAAACATTGACAGTAACAAATGGATTTGACAAAAGTAAATATTGTATTAGAATGTCTCTCACGCTGCGTAATAAGGTTTGAACATTTAATTTTATTGTTTAGAGTGAGTTGTTTGTGTTCAATAGTATATTGGGTGTTCTTAACTGTACTTAATACAATTCCATATGTTATTTGTGGTTTATTTATATATGTCTGTTTGTCTGTCCGCAGGCGACACAATATGTCCGAGCGGCATGTTCCGTTGTCCCGAGGGCAAGTGTATTCCGGCTCTCTGGGTGTGCAACTATCAGAGGGACTGCGAGAAGGGAGAGGACGAGTTCCAGTCGTGTCGTGAGTACAGCAGATTAGTCCTAACAAACAAACAAACACACCGTCGCCGGTACAGTCCGCTTCATATTATTTAGTAGTATCCAGTCATCCGTTTTCAGTCCACATACAACAATAATATTATTTAAAGTCTAAACGTATTCAACATTCATTGTTCTTCTGTATCACTGGACACTGGACACACGAACAATGTGTGTAATTTCGTCAAATCCACTGCAAGACGTGACTCAGATACGAAGTTCGCTATCCTTACAACAAGTCTGCCTCGACACACTACGTACGGGACGATTTAAGAACTTACGTAGATACTATCGTGTGCTAAGAAACTTGTGATAATGGTATCACCTATATGGAGACATCGAACGGGACGATGTGATAAATATGCAAGGATAACCAACAATGTTAATAATTAATTTAATGTTATAAAGATAAAGAGAGAAAGAAACAGTTAAAATGTACAAATGTAATGTTCAATATTAACAAATGAATGAATGGTCAATGTTTTAAATACATAGTCCCTCTCACCGTTATACAAATCACAATTAAATGGAATCGTTGTGTTTAAAATTCTACCAACAACATACACGGGGGGATCATTTTAACAACACATTATTAATGATGAACTGTAGGTATGTGTGTATTTATATGTATTTACCTGAAGGGTGGTTTAAGTTAAAGATAATTATGAGGTTTTAAGACTATTTCTATTAGTGGGTATATATTGATTATATTCATACAATATATAGTACATTAATTAATATCGTATCGAGCGGAGTCGTCAATAGTCAATGTGAAACTCAGTATTTCACGTACGAACACATTCCCTCACTCCTGACTGAGCACTTTGTTCAACTAAATATAACAATTAGATTAACGGAATCGTTATTTGTTACCGATATTAAATTTATTTAACTGTACTTTGTTTTGTTCATTGTGTTGTTGTTGTTGAAAACATTATTATTAACTTATTGTTAATAATAATAGAGAACCAATGATATCTAAACTAAAAATTTTGTGAGCCTTCTTCATTTAAATATAAAAATAACTTAGTTTAATCATATTAGTATCTTCGGTAAAATTTCAATTTTCTTCACCTTTCCAGCTCCGTCTTGCCATCTCGTTATATCTCATCTCTCCACATGTGTTATGTCCGGATAATATTTAAGTCATCTACAAAAAATCAATGGATTAGAATTGTGTTCTACTTAAAATTTTACAAATCTATTCTTACTTACTTACTCCGCTTTACTGTATAATATCTTGACCATGTTTTATATTCTTGTCGGCAATTGTAAGAGAGAAATTATATTAAATATTTTTCTTTTGTCTTTTATAATAAAGTCGACTTTTCATTTAAGTGAAACATCAGTAACGTTTCCGACTGTTCGCTATCTTTCTTTATTTACCTTTTTTCGTCAATCTTCGTCTCGCATCAAACATCCACCGATATTCTACGGTTCATTATCGTAACTTATATTTTCACGAGATCCATCATTATTTCGAAACATGTCATCGGATATTTCATTAACGTAAAGAATGGAAGAAAACGACTCTGTCGGTATAAAATAAATGAAATGTTTTAAAAAACTTTCATTTAATAGATTAAAACAAAAATAAAGTAGGAGCAGCTATAACGTGAGATTGAAGAGAGAGCTGTAAAACAAAGACACATCCGGCGGTCCATGGCTGGCCGCTCGTGAATGGCCCGCTTTATCCCGCCTTTGTTGCAATGTCGCTGTAATATTTTGCGCGCATTCCTCGACACCGAAATGGCCGCTAAGCCGAGAAAAATAGGCTTAGGTGGTGTCATGTGTCAAATGGATGCTAATGGCGAGTGCAGCTTTGTAAGATTTATACTGTTATACTGCTTTTATTTTACGCTGTTTGTGTGCATACATATTGTATGAGGCAATTTCGGAAACTTTATACAGTCGTAAATCACTAGTGAATATAAAATTCAGTCGATGATTCAATACGCTGTACGTTTAGTGCTTTTATAATCAAATTTGAATGTTTTCATTCGTTATCAGCAGTCTCTAAACGTGTACACACATTGTTGGTGGAAATTTATTTAGTTTAGAATAATAGGGCATGTAATTTATAACAATGGCCGAACGAACAATAAACCGCGCCGAATCATTACCATTCATTCGATTGTGCCCGCAACTCGATAAGGAGCCTTCACACTCCCGCACGTACAGGAGGAGTCGGGAGGAGTCACGAGGAGCCGGGAGGAGGAGGAGGTTCGAGGGTTGTTGATTGATGACCGACACTGATTACAGGTCGGCTCGACCTCCGTACTAATGACGGTTGCGATAGATCCCTTCTGTGTGCTTTGAATATTTATCGAGTCCACATCCAAAGTGGCTGTGTACATTGTGTTCGTTAACCTATCTGTTATATATAATGTGTTGTTGCAGCTCCTCCGGAGTGCGAGGCTGGTCAGCTGACGTGCGGCCAGTACGTGTGGAACAAGACGTACTGCATCCCGCCTCACTACCGGTGTGACATGCACGTGGACTGTGTCGACGGAACCGACGAGGCTGACTGCAGTGAGTACCAGCACGAGCTACACCACCACACAATACATAACACGACCCCAGTAATCATCACCACATCGCAATAAAATAACACACAAATCAAATATATGTATGTAACATTTAGTTTATATAGAACTACACCCTTCCTTCTCCCGGTTAATTAAGAACGACCTTAGCGGTTTCTTTCATTTTTTTTAACAACTTCTACTACTTTGTAGAAAACTCTTACATAAATAAATCAGAAAACTGTATAGAATCTTATCTAATTGACGAAAATATTACCAACTAAATTTATTACTCTTTTTTCCATATAACGCACAGCAGTATACTCTTTACTAAGCAATTTTTGGATAACTTTAAATTTTTTGTCCATTATCCACCGAGGTCACACATCGTTTTACTTTACAAAGTTCATCTTGATATCTAAGCGCTTGTTGTCTGAATCAGAATCTCGGACTTTTCGTTATATCAATCGGCGATCGGCATTCATAACGTACAACAATCCTTTCCAAAATTCTTTTCGAAATTCATCTTTAACATGAAAACTCTATCGCGTCTAATAGTGTAATAAAGTCACTACTACTTTTAAACTTCGAATTAGATTTTAAACAATTATGTCACCAACCCTAAAATATATATATTTTTTCAATCATTATATACAAGACAAATCCAAGAGTCTGTATAAATAAATAAATGAAGAATCATCTCATGTGCGGAACATCTCTTTATTATAGTCATATATAAATATAAATTTAACCGGAATGTAATTTCGCCGATATCCGATAAACCGTGAACAGAGAAATAAACTTAGGGTCTAAAGTTATCCGACGAATCCGTTTAACGTCCTAAGAGCCTTGGGACCGAATTAAGTAGGTGCGATATTGGAGAAGTCATGAAACTTGGAATCGAACGACACACGGCACGACACGATACGGGGACGACACGACACGTCACATAACGTATTAAAAGTTTGATGTAGTTAACGAAACTAATATGTGGTGAGCCAGGAGTACTTCAACACTCGCTGTGATCCAATCTCGGACCGCTGGTAACTCTCGCTAAATGTATTCAAGTTTTTATACTATCTTACGAGATTTTGGTTGACCTTTTACCGAACTCGAAAAAGGAGATTCGTGTTCTTTAATATGGTTTGTTATTCTGTTTAAATTATAATTTTGGGGTCGTAGTGTTTTAGTTAGCAATAATGAGAGTGAGTATAAAATGATTTTAAGATATAAACTAAGACCAAATATTACTTCTTGTTTAATTATTATAACACTCTTAAAAGCACACGATTTTACTGAAAATAACTGGTAAAGAAACATATGTATCCACAACAAAATGACACAAATGTTATTCCATACTGAATGTGGCAACAAAATTCATGTACACTAATACATATATGTAGAAAACAGTAACTTTTCGTAATAAACGCTAATATTTTGCAATAAAATTGAAGTGTTGAGAGAAAGCTGAAGAAAACGTTAAGTATGCGACACAATGTATATGTACAGGAGGTACATATAATATTTATCAAATAATTCAAATATGTACTACTTAACGATTATTTTTGATAGAGAATTTTTAAGGAGTTTGGAATTGTATTGTTGTATTGGGCGAAAAGAAAATGTTGGTAATGCTTTCATTTCATCTTTAGAGATAGAAGACCTGTTAATATGTAGGTGAAAATATTTACACCGTTACAAAATATTTCAAACTATCTTAAGACGTATTTAATTGCCACATATTTCTCCAGCCAATCGTCCGTTGCTATCGACCAAGTATATCTTATAATTTTTCCTCTTTATTACACGTCAAGTGAACGTCATTCGGTTCTCGTTGGGAGTTGCGGAGAAAGTTTTAATGGAGCAATTATTGTATTATTTCTTTGAGGCGGCGACTTCACACTTTGATGTAATAACTGAGAGAATTGCCGTTGCAATGTTGCGCTATTCATTTATGAGTCGCAATAAAAACTTTACACGGTGGGAGTGATCGATCCGTCTCCTTATATCATATTAAATTATGTAAAATTTCCCCAACAGCCACTCATCATTGATAAGTTAGTTGTTAAATGTCTCATGAACGTTCCGTTCCTCGTAACGTCTAGTATAACCGTCTCTTTCCTAGCACAGTATAGTCATTGTATATTCCGCTAGTTTCCTTACATGTTATTACTCGCTTCTCATACATTTTTGTCAGCGAGGAACATCATTCCTTATATTTTATATCCGACGTTGTTTTATAGGCTATGAAAATCTTGAAACGTGAAATCCGAATTTATTTGTTTTGGTTACAAACATTATGAAAGGTGCACATAAATATACTTTTTATTTCGTAAAACATATGAAAATTAGACAATAAAAATCTGAATTGTGTCAAATTCTTATTTATAAAATAAATTACGTTTGATGTATTTAAAAAAAAACATTTGTTGGCTTTAGAGTGTTTTGAGTTCAATGTTATACAGGGTGACTGGTGAATTACTATCAATATTTAAGGAGCATACTCGGTATATGATTCTCATTCGAATTATGTAATAAAAATAGGTACTTAATTTTTGATCAAATTTCCGTATAAATAAATAAAGTGTGTACACGTTCCGAGTGTTCCATGTGTAGACGCGTGCGGCGGCGTGCTGATACAACAACGCGCCGCCGCCCGCGAGTGTGTGTTTGTATACCTAATCTGTAGGGTGTTCATACGATGTGTAATTAATTACATAACTTTTGGTTAACTTTACTTAGAAGTTTATTAATATTTATGTTATATTAATTTTTATTTTGTCATATATGATCGTCAAATATCACGTCCTCAAATATCGATAGTAATTCACCAGTCACCCTGTATATCTTAAAGTTGTATTGAGCCGTACATTTAAATTAAAAACATAATACAATTCTCGTTACCTAGGAGTGGTTAAGTCGAACACATCACACATGTATCTAGAGCCAGGTCTGAGGGAGATGTTCTTTTTAATACAAGTAGATTACAGTGTGTTAATTCGTATCTCCGGCTGGTGCAGCTACATCTTAATTAGAACGTACAGCGTGCATCTAAGTATTTTAGTGAAGATTTGCATTTAATCTCGCGCACAAAGGAACACTCGGCGTGAACACAGAATGTCTAATGAAACGGACTCGCCGCCGCTGAGCTCCTGCAGATTATATTCTATGAAGCCATTGTTTAATCATTGTTTATTAAATGTTACACTCTGGCCTTAGATACGATGTCAAATAATTACTAGGGTTTAAAATGTGATTGATTTGAAACCATTAATATGTACATTCTAGGTTTCTTCCAAGTTCTCTTTCAATAAAAAATAAACTAATCGGAGTAGCATTACAAATGATGTTAATATTATAGATTATAATCTAATAATTATCAGTACATCGATATTAATAAATTAATAAATGGATAGTTTAGAATAACATAATATTAAAATTCAGTAACTTAACTTCTGGAGAGAGATATTATTCGACATTATTGTATTTTGGCGTCGTTTAGCGAAATGAATCCCCCTTCTAATAGAAAGCCATATTAATGATAAGGTAAACCGCCGATTTCTGTATTTATTTTTTCCTATAACCCCGCATGGAGGTGTTTTAAGTGTGTGGAGGATCGTTTCCATGTTCTTCGTCAGTGATCCTCCGTGCCACGTGTTATGAGTGTTAACGTCACCAGCGGGTCACGAAGTCTTCACGGTTCAACAGTTTTATGCTGTGTCTTGGCTGCATAGCTTCACACAGTAAATGTACCATTTTATGGACTTCACTGATGGATACGAACTGAATATTTATCTTGCTTTTATATTACCGACAGATAACTCGTATTATTTCCTTAACTCAATCTTAAAATAGCTAACATTATATACACTTATAAGGTCGTAATGTATTTATCGTCTAATCCCAGAGCACACTAAGCCCTCAAAGAGCCCACGAACTTTTGAAATATTTGTGGTAGAGCTAACAAAGTGAAACCTCTTTAGAGATTTTTCTTACAATTTCTTTAAACTCATGAAGCTCTCCTCTACAAACAGCGCTCGAACCGAGCACTTCCCGTTCAAAGCCTGCCTTTATCGGGTTTTTACATAACTTTATATTAAAATCACATTATAGCTGAAACACGATGGCGCGTTTTACAATCACTTTTAAGTACAAACGAGACCTTTTGTAGTTTGTTCATTATCTTTTACTAATTTCATCAACATCATATACACTAGACATGCAGGGAAAAGTGGTTCCTAAATATAAATATTTGGATGTAACTAAAATGAATGTAATATATGATTCCAGCGTACCGCAAGTGTCAGACTGAAGACTTCCAGTGTGGTATGGAAGGGGCGGCGGCTGGCAAGATCTCCTCACAGGGACCCTGTATACCAAAAGAAAAGAAATGTGACGGGTCAGTTGGGACACACTCTTTGTTATTTCTAATATGAATGAGCTTTATATAGAACGATTAACATTTGTTGTTGGAATCACGACGAAATAAATTTGAAACCTATTCCGAAAGAGTTACTGACTCGAATTCATAATTTGATATCAGTATAAAACTTTGATATCAGTTGCATATAATCAGAGATTATTGAAGGAATTTTCATTTTAGCTTCTAATTTGTATTGAGTATATATTTACTATTAAATCGTGTTATATATGTTTCAGGTATTTAGACTGTAGGACGGGTAAGGACGAGCAGGATTGTCCGGGACAGAGCATCGCGTGTCGGTTGGATCAGTTCAAATGTGCGTCCGGAGACAAGTGTGTGGACGCGTCCGCTAAGTGTGACCACAAGGACGACTGTGGAGATAACTCGGATGAAGCACACTGCAGTGAGTAACAATATCTTATACTACTGTATATTCAGCGTGTTCTTAAAACTGTGTCAACCCTTGAAGGCATTTATACATATAAGTATAAGCTTATTATTAATAATAATATAACTTAAAAAATATCAAGCAGAGGTCAGTTACAGTGCATAGGCTAAATAAACTTTAAATCGACATTATTTGAAAAAACGTTTCAAACATCTGAGCCATAAACGGTTAAGGCGCCGTATAGTCGCGCGGGCGCACGCGCGGCCAGCCATCGCAGGCGCCGGGCCGCCGGCGTTATTATTATTATTTCGTTCGTTTTTCGAATACAGATTTGCAAGTTTAAAAATTAGGTGTATCGATAAATATTCTATCGATATTTTCAATAATGCTATAAATAGTTATGCTTTTCATATTAAAATTGTTTCATCTAAAATAAATTTTATTAATAATAAATATTATAATTTGGAACTTCTTCAGGTAAATTAACTATGTTGTATTATAAGGATAAATCGTTAATCTACTTCTGTTAAAAATGGTGTTTTACAATCAAATATAATTTTAATCTTTGATATATTAAAATAAGTACCGAAATAATATGACTATGAAATATATATTTATTGTTATGATTTTTTTAAATATCGATATTTTTTATCGAGCCCAAGCCGCCCCTTTAATAAAAAAAATTATTAGTTAGTTGCTCGTGGAACTTTCTTCCGAGTGGATTACTTTTCGGTTACAGTTTTATAAAATTGTGTTGTTTTATAAAATGTACTCCGACCAGGAATATTTCAATATTTTAATGTGTCTAGCGAAATGTGGTTGTAATTATGCGGAATCGCGTAGACTTTATGACGAACTGTTTGCTTCTTCAAGAAACATACCATTACCGACACTTAAGGTCTTTAAGCGTCTTCATATACGCATGTACAATTTCGGAAATGTCGATGGCCGTGAACAACAACGTGCTGATGCGGGAAGGCCGAGGGTTAATAATGACGATCTAGAGGAACACATGTTAGATATTTTTCGACAGGACCCTACGCAAAGCACGCGCTCGGTGGGACATCAACTCGGTGTCAACCATACTCGTGGATGGAAAGTTTTAAAAGAAAATGGCCGGCACCCGTACCATTATCGTCGAGTACAGTTATTAATTCCTACCGACTTCGAGCCTAGAATGGCATTCTGCAGATGGATTTTAAACGAAAACGATGAAGACAGTGAACTCTCGAGCCGTATACTTTTTACTAACTAAGTGTTACTTTTAAATTGATTTGTAACATAGTGATATTTTAAAAAAAGTGGTATCAGTGCATCGTTAAAGTGATTAAACAATCAAAATAATGTGAATGTACGTTCGAGTTCGTCACTAGTAGCGCAGCAGGTGTGATGGCGCCATGGAGTCCTATCGTGTTATACCAGTGGGTACAAACATTTGGTTACTCTACATATAATGATCATTTAATATTTAATTTTATTATTTTTATTGAAGAGTTTGTAAATGCAAGTTGTTTGATTGTGTTCCATTTTCGATACTGATAACGCAGTTAAGGGGGTTGATACAATTTTTCATACATACTGTACATCATATACCGTTACTTAATGTATTTTAGAAGTTCATTATCATCTTATCAGATATTTCGAACCGTTAATTAAATCAACCATACATTTCTGAGATATTAATGAGAGTTGTCTCAATTAAACAACACTTAGAGAAGCTTTCAGAGTTCAGATACGTATTGGTTTTACTTTTAAAAATGTTCAATTCGTGTTAATAAAGAGTATTGATTCAAGTTGGATCCATTACGTATAATATTTCAAACTGCGGACATTTGAAACATGTTATCTTTGATAATGTGATTATTAGGAGCCAAGTCATGTGTTGTGTTACTTACTGCAACAGTTTAATATGTTCTTATTCTGTTCCTCGCCAGGCTTCCCCCCGTGTCACATCGGTCAGTTCCGTTGCGGCACGGCTCTCTGTATCCCGGCCAGCTACCGCTGTGACGGCTACAGGGACTGCTCCGACGGTACCGATGAGAGGAACTGCAGCGCCATCGCCTGTCCCGACAACAAGTACCTGTGTCCGCGAGGCGCGCCGGGCGGCGAGCACAAGTGTATCGCGAGGTCCCAGCTGTGTGACAACAAGCGGGACTGTGAGGACGGAGCTGATGAGGAGGCTGCCTGCTGTTAGTATGACGATTATAGGATTATAGGAGTTTAAGAGTTATAGGAAATTTGCATTCAACTCATTAAAGATTACATATGGATTGTTTTAGTAAATTCTTACAATTAAAAACAAACACAATGTTTTTAATGGGCTTAAAATCAAACATTTCGGTACAATTGTTTTTCTCATTTCCAATATTGTAAAACGCTATATATACATATATAATTACTAACATTACTTAAGACTAGTGACACGATAATATGTTTGATTGTTTAACACTATTAATCTGTTTATTGTCTATCTATGTTTCAGCGACGTTGTCTTGTCCGGCGTTGGAGTGTGAGTACAAGTGTGTCGCGTCGCCGGCGGGAGGAGCGTGTGCGTGCGGCAGCGGACTGATGCTGGGCGCGGACAACAAGACGTGCGTGGACCGGGACGAGTGTCGGGAGTGGGGGCCCTGCCACCAGCTGTGTGTCAACACGCCCGGCTGTGAGTACACATACACACATACACTGATACGACGCTGCTCCATTATACACTACCCTCATACAAACTTGTTATATATGTAGAACATACTCACACTAGGAATTGTCCTCCTGTCCAATTATGTAATAAACTATTTAGGGTTAAATTTATTTTCAAGGGACGGAAGTTTAAAATATCAAACAGTCCGTGGGCTTCATCTCACACATTATAATTTACGTCACATTCCTTATACACCGCAACATTCAAGATCTGAGTAACTTATACCGTCTTCTCTACTTCAGCTTACAACTGTGCGTGTGCTCCGGGGTACACGCTGGGTACACGCGGCGACTGTCTGAGTGCTGGTGGAGCCTGGCTGGCCCTGGCTCACGAGCGAGGCGTCCTGCGCCTGGAGCTGCCCGCGCCCTCCCCGTCGCCCGCCGCCCCGCTCCGCCCTCCCTCCACACTCGCCAACGCCACCGCGACCGGCATCGACTACCACTACAGGAGGAACCTGCTTTTCTGGTCCGATGTCAAAACTAGAAAGGTCGGCAACTTTTAATAATTAAAGATTAGATAAATGATAATAGGTAGCACATAGTTACGTACCAAAATTAATTGGGACATTGTACCATCAATTGTCTATGATGGAACTCAAATTGCATATAGTGACCAAGCAACTAATCTGGGGTTAGTCATGGATTGCAATTTATCATGGAGGGCTCAGGTTAACGAAGTCAGTAAGCGTGTCCATTTCTCTTTGCACTCTCTAAAACGTTTGCAGAATTTTCTTCCTTACCAAACAAAATTTTTACTTGAACAATCCCTTCTTCTTCCTATCCTGGACTACGCCGATGTTTGCTATCTTGATGCGAATGAAGTGCTACTTGACAAACTAGATAGACTTCAAAATTGGTGCATTCGGTTCATTTACGGTCTGCGCAAATTTGATCATATTTCTCAATTTCGGCGTCAGTTAAAGTGGCTCCCTATGCGATTCCGCCGGAACTTGCACATATTATCCCTTCTTTTTAATATATTACAACATGGAAGCCCTGATTACCTACATGAGCGTTTTCTGTTTTGTCCTGCTCGTGAAAGACCAGTACGCGCATGTGTGGCATCGAAAACTCTTGAGGTACCATAATTTAAAACTACTTCCTATGGTACTTAACTCGTTTTCCGTTGTCGCCGCTCACTTAAGGAACTCTCTGCCTGATGGTATTTTCCATAATGGTGTTACAGTAAGATCGTTTAAAATCAGAGTTAAGCAACACATTCTTTCCACTTAAGTATATATATATATTTATGTATTTTTGTTTGTATGTTAATTGAATGTTTGTATGTTATGGATAAAGATATGTGTTAGTATATTTATTTGTATTTAGTGTGTAATGTATTCATTTTAAAAAAAGTCTACTTCAATTTTATGATAATAAGTATGTAGTTTGTTGATATTGTATCTACATTACACTATAAATTTGTATTGCAAATGGTCTCCACCATAATCAGGGTTTCTGGAAGAGATCTCTTGTTAGAGATAAGTTATCCCTTTGTACACATCTGTTATTAAATAATTTACTGTATACTTAGTTGGTACAAAAATCAATAAATGAATAAATGTATGGAACGTGAATAAATAATAATTGTAATCTGTAGATCCACTCGATGCAACTGAACGCGCCGGTGGGTTCCAACTACGTGGGCAGCGACATCTCCGTGGCGGGGTCGTGGGCGCCCGTGGCGCTGGCCGTGGACTGGGTCGGGGACAAGCTGTACGTAGCGGACGCGCTCGGACAGAAGATTGACGTGTTCGAGCTGGACGGACGCTGGCACGCCGTGGTGCTGGGCTCCAACCTCACCAGCCCCGCCGACCTGGCGCTCGACCCCACGCTCGGCCTCATGTTCGTGGCCGACAGCAGTCAGGTACACTTACCACCGACACATACCACGCGCTGTGTAGTTGAAGTGCGACAACATAAATATAATATTATTACTATTCCACACGCCTGATCTAAATACTAACTATGCACATAACTCTGTCCTTAATTGCGTGGTCAACAGATATAATTCACAATACTCAGAAATTGATCTGTTCAGCATGTCAAAAGTAGCTTTTAAAAAAGCTATAATTAAAAAAAGATAAAAATTCATAATAACACACACACACACACACACACACACACACACACACACACACACACACACACACACACACTCACACACACACACACACACTCACACACACACACACACACTCACACACACACACACACAATCATGCAAACACGTACCTATTGGATTCCCACCCGTAAACAGTTTTATAGTCCGGTCAATTTAGAACAAAAAATGAGAGTGAAGTTACATAAAGTCCCAACAAGCAGAATTTCTGTGAAATTGATCAAAACCTAATTATAAACGTATAGAAGTTCCCCATCATTCCCCTGTAAAGAAAAAAAAATTATTCAAGGTCAAAAGTCAAAAAATTGAGTTTTTCTCGATTTTCAGCAAAGTGGTAAGTTTTATGATAAAAGTACTTCAGACAAAAATTATAGATCATAAAATTATCCATAACAAATGTATCAATACTTTTTTTTTACGAGCCACCGTTTCTGAGATATAGCAGTTCAAAAAGTTATAAAAGTGGTTATCGTCATAATATACATGAGTACGCCACGTATATACATCTAGAGTCGTTATATTTTATATAATATATATAACAGTCAGCTGATTCGACGCCGAAAATCTGAGCATTTTCTTCTTTCGCTCTCCTCATTTAATTTCTCGCTACAAAATAAGCATAGTTCTTTGAAACAAAAAACTGATTCACTGATACGTGATGTAGTACGAGGAGGACTTACTGTGGATGTACTGGCTTCTTGTTCTTCACGTTCTCTTTTATTAGCTGCAGCAATAGAATACTTTCGAGTATAATTTTTACGGCAATTTTCATATATTTTCATGCATTGATTTCTGATTTTTGAGATATTCTGAAAAATCATCACCTCTTTCGATACTTGATTAATTAATACCACGTTCAACAGTAACAACTTCACTTTCAGTTAAAAGTTTTGCACAAATAAAACAATATTTATATACATAAATCTTCTTCTTCTACCTGGCAATTACATGTTGTGAATAGTTTTGGCTATTTGTTTTTACGACCGACCTCCTGCCTGACATCAACCCTCTTTGGGAATCAGAATTAATCTAAATATATGACTCGGAAAAATCACATCGGTACTTGCCCGGGCCAGGATCGAACCCGCACCCTCGTGCATGAGAGGCGGGCCTTTTAACCACTAGGCCACCACTGACTTATATACAGGGTGACTGGTGAATTACTATCAATATTTAAGGAGCATACTCGGTACATGATTCTCATTCGAATTATGTAAAAAAAATAGGTACTTAATTTTTGACCAAATTTCCGTATAAATAAATAAAGTGTGTACACGTTCCAAGTGTTCCAAGTGTGAACGCGTGCGGAGGCGTGCTGATACAACAACACGCCGCCGCGCGCGTACGTGTGTGTGTACCTAATACCTAATCTGTAGGGTGTTCATACGATGCGTAATTAATTACACAACTTTTGGTTAACTTTACTTAGAAGTTTATTAATATTTATGTTATATTAATTTTTATTTTGTCATATATGATCGTCAAATATCACGTCCTCAAATATTGATAGTAATTCACCAGTCACCCTGTATATATATATATATATATATATATATATATATATATATATATATATATATATATATAAAATATAACAACTATAGATGTATACAGGGTGACTGGTGAATTACTATCAATATTTGAGGACGTGATATTTGACGAACATATTATATGACAAAATAAAAATTAATCCCTACTAATAATATTATAAATGCGAAAGTAACTCTGTCTGTCTGTCTGTCTGTCTGTCTGTCTGCTACGCTTTCACGCCTAAACCACTGAACTGATTTTAATGAAATTCGGTACAGAGATAGAGTTGACCTTGAGAAAGAACATAGGATAGTTTTTATCCCAGACTTTTGAAAGGTTCTCTTGGAAACGCGATATAACCGAACTCCACGCGGCGAAGCTGCGGGCGGAAAGCTAGTATAACATAAATATTAATAAACTTCTCAGTAAAGTTAACCAAAAGTTATGTAATTAATTATGCATCGTGTGAACACCCTACAGAATAGGTATACACTCACACACACACACGGAACACTTGGAACGTATCCACACTATTTATTTATACGGAAACTTGGTCAAAAATTAAGTACCTATTTTTTTTACATAATTCGAATGAGAATCATGTACCGAGTATTCTCCTTAAATATTGATAGTAATTCACCAGTCACCCTTTACTCGTGCATATTATGACGATAACCACTTTTATAACTTTTTGAATCGTTATATATCAGAAGCGGTGGCGGTAAGTAAAAAAGTATTGATACATTTGCTATAGATAATTTTATGATCTACAATTTTTGTCATAAGCACTTTTATGATAAAACTTACCATTTTGTTGAAAATCGCGAAAAACTCATTTTTTTGACCTTTGACCTTGAATAATAATTTTACCATACAGGGGAATGATGGGGAACTTATAGAAATCGTTTATAATTATGTTCGGACAATTTCACAGAAATTCAGCTTGTTGGGACTTTATGTAACTTCGAATGTCTAAATTGACCGGACTATTACCTTTATATTACTTTTATAATAAATAAAAATAAAAATTCTTTATTTTCTTTAACAAGTTTGTACTTAAATATAAAGTTATTGGAGACTCCTTTTAAGCATATGAAAAGCCTGTGCCAGGAAATTCCGCTCTTTCATATCACGAATTAGGTACAACAATAATAAAGACACTATATAAAAGTAATAATAAGAGAAGTAATTACCAAAAAGGAAGCAAATGTGGGATTAAAACGCATGTAAGTGTATGCATGCGTGTGCGTGCCATTTGTATGTCTATGAGTGTGTGTGTGTGTGTTGTGTGAGTGTGTTGTGTATATGTTGGTGTGTGTAGGATATGAATGCTAGTTCCTATATTCAAAAAAAAAAAAACCGTTTCTTGAAAACTTAAAAATTTTATCCATTTTATTATTTTAATTTTACACTCTTTACCAGGTTTTGAATATATATCAACGTATTTATTTAATTTATTATATAAATAAGCAGATCTATTATCATACTGAATCCTAGCGACGACTGTTTTAGTAGCAGGGATAGCTGATATAACATTATATGCTATACGTTTATTGAGTAACGATATATCGTAGGTTAAAGACTTGTGTTTATTTAGAACAGTATGCACAATATACAATGCCCGTACAGTTAACAAACCACTTTCTTCATAGAGTCTTTCTGTACTAAACCGTTGTTTTTTAAAGAACATTACTTTAATCAATGCTCTTTGAGCTCGTTCAATTTCCATGAAACGTGTTTTACGTGCACCTCCCCAAATAGGTAAGCAGTATGTTATTATGGATTGCACCAAAGCTATAAAATTTTATTTAAGAGATTGTTTGAGGAGTCATTAACAATATTATTAGTTGCAATATGTCTCAGTGACTTGAACATCTACGTGAACTTCTTAATACGTGCCGCAACATGTTAAACTATAAGTTTTACTTTTATGCTACCGTCTTCTAGTTATTAATATGTTTAAGTTACCTGTGTAATCCTATTTTGGTTTTAATTTTATGTTATATAGTAGTTAATATAGAAACTTATGTATAAAAACTGTTGGATTACCAAATAAATAAAATAAAAATAAAAAATTACAGATCGTTCGCGCCAACATGGACGGCACCAACGTCAAAGCCATAGTGTCCGAAGCGACTTACAAAGCGTCCGGCATAGCCGTGGACACGATCGCTCGGCGAATATTCTGGTGCGACTCTCTCTTGGACTACATCGAAACCGTGGACTACGACGGCAACTACCGCTTCCTGGTGCTCCGCGGACAGCAGGTGCCCAGTCCCAACAGATTGGCTCTCTTCGAGGACAGAGTGTACTGGTCCGACAGCACCAAGCAGGGCGTCAGTTCCGTCAACAAGTACGAGGGGTCGTCGAGCATCCAGTCGATATACAAGACGAAGGACATAAGGGAACCCAAAGCTCTGACGGTCGTGCACTCGCTGAAGCAGACCTCGGTCAACAACCCGTGCGGCAACAACAACGGAGGCTGTTCACAGATGTGTATAGTGACCGCGCTGTTCATGGCCGGCCTGGGGTACAGGTGCGCCTGTAACGTGGGCTACAGGCTGGAAGCGGACCTGAGGAATTGTGATATTGTGAAGGAGTTCCTTATGTATTCCCAGCAGAGATTCATTAAAGGAAAAGTATTGAACCCTGTCATTGAGGGTTTCAGCGATGCGATACTGCCCGTCGTGTCGAGGAGGGCTCGCTTCGTCGGTCTCGATTTCGATGCTCGCGATGAACATATTTATTACTCCGACGTTTTACAAGATGTTATATACAGAGTCCACCGGAACGGAACCACGAGAGAAATCGTGTTAGCGTCGCAGAACGAGGGCGTTGAAGGATTGGCTGTGGATTGGGCTTCGAAGAACTTGTATTACATTGATTCCAGGAAAGGAACCCTAAATGTTTTATCTACAAGGAATTTTTCGTATAAACGGACGTTACTGAAAGATCTTAAAAGACCTCGTGCAATTGTAGTGCATCCTAATAGAGGCTATATATTCTTTTCTGAATGGGACCGACCGGCGAACATCAGCCGGGCGAATACCGACGGTACCGGGCTCTTGGTATTCGAGAACGTGACGTTAGGCTGGCCGAACGGTCTATCCATCGATTTCGAAGCTGACAGAGTTTACTGGTGCGACGCGCTCCTAGATCATGTCCAACACGCAAAATTGGACGGGACGGACGTGAAAACGGTGAACTCCAGACTGATAAGGCATCCCTTCTCGATAGTGATCCACAAAGAGTTCCTGTACATAACGGATTGGAGACTCGACGCCATCGTGCGGCTCCACAAGCTGACCGGCGAGAAAGAGGACATCATGGTGCGCGAGCCTCAGACGAACAGACTCTACGGAGTGAAGGTGTACAGCGAGGAGATCCAGAAGATAGACCCGATGCAGCCGTGCGCCCACAACAACGGCAACTGCCAGAAGTTTTGCTTCGCGGTGCCTCGCAACAACACCGAGCTGCTGACGGTGCGCTGCGGCTGTCCGTACGGCGAGCGGCCCACGGCGGACGGGCGCTGCGAGCCCGACCCGCACGCCGAGCCTCCTCAGCCCGCCTGCCCCAATGCCTGGGACTTCACCTGCGACAACCAGCGCTGTGTGCCGCGCTCCTGGCTGTGTGACGGAGACGACGACTGCCTCGACAACAGCGACGAGATGCAGAACTGTACCAGTGAGTTACGGATCCTACTCTTATTTATTTATTTATTATTAGGGAAACATACAGCATATTGTATATTACAACTTAATATAATAATCATATTTTAACACTTATGCCAGTTAAGTTTCCACTACTGTTTTTACGGGGAAGTGGACTAATTTTGGTGTTACATAAAATACAACTATGTATTTATGACAAAGTATTATTTTAACTTAATGTGGTTATGGTTAATTACTAATAATAAGTACTTTTCACAACATTATAAGATTTACCTAAACTATTTTTAAACCGATCAATATGGTTGTATTTTCTATTATGACTAATTACAAGATCTTAGAATAAAAGTACTCTTACGGATTATACGTTTTAGGATGCGGATATTGATTATTATTTATTAAAAAATATTTATTTTTCTAGAAACGACGTGCAGCGCGTCGGAGTTCATGTGCAAGTCTGGTCGATGTATACCGGCCACATTCAAGTGTGACTCCGAGAATGACTGCGGCGACTTTTCGGACGAGGTCGGGTGTGTCAACGTAACCTGCTCGGCTTCGCAGTTCCAGTGTGGAAACGGACGCTGCGTCCCCAACACTTGGAAGTGTGACTCGGAGAACGACTGCGGAGATGGAAGCGACGAGGGCTCACACTGTGCTGATAAGACGTGCGCTTACTTCCAAGTGAGTTAACATTAAACGATCCTGTAATTTTCTTCCTAACATTTAAACTTACTTTTGTTAACAACTTATAAGATTGGGATTGGAGATCGAAATAAAACATGTCGGATGCTCAAATAATACTGACTGACTGTGTATTCGTTGTTCTAATTTATAAGTTACATACATGTGTGTACATTATACGAGTACACTACACCCCCCATCGAAGGGGATAAAAAATAGTATTAATAGTAATTTTTTTTTTACATATATAAATTTCTAACATTATGTATGTAAGTATTAATTTGTTCACATTACAATTACGTATTTTATGTATACATATAATTATTATATTATTTTTTACAATACAATTTTATAAGCTATAAAATGATTAGGTGCATATCCCTTTAAAATACATTCATCGTGCAATATAAGATGAGTCACTAATCCTAAGTGTATATAAACTTACACAAGAGTTCTATCTTTATGTTATTCGTAATAAGGCTTAGTTCTATTCTTATGAATAACGTCTAATTTTCCATTAACATCGATCTCTACATTCGGTGAAATATCTCTAATTACAATGTAAGGTCCAGAGAATAAAGGTTCGATAATTAATTACCAGTTTCATTTTTAATGAGGATTTTGTCATTAGGCTTGTAGTGAAAAGTATTTGTATAAGTATCCTACCTAACTTTTCTCCTAAGCTTACTATTAATTAAATTCTTTCGCGCCTCTGTTTGCGATGCTTGCAACCTGTATTTTAGTTCAAGAGGATAATTGTCATGATTATATAATGGTTCTACAGATTTTGTAAGGTTACTTGGTAAACAACATTTCTTTCCAAAAACTAGTTCGTACGGTGTAAACTGGGTAGAGGTGTGAACAGTTGTATTGTATGCAAAACACCAAAACGGAAGCCAATAACTCCACGTTTCGGGTTTTTGCTCTACGTTAATTCTTAAAAACGAATTCAAATTTTTATGTGAATTTTCCAATTAGCCAATACTTTGATGATGATACGCTGTGCAATTTAATTTAGAAATATTTAAAAGTTTACATACCTCTTTAAAAGTGTCGGACATGAATTCCGTACCTCTGTCTGTTGCTATCTCTTTCGGAATTCCATACCTTAAAATAAAATCCGTTACAAAAGCTTGGGCTACTTTGTTTGAAGACTGACGTCAGAGGCATCGCGCATACATATTTTGACAATTCGCATTGTAACGTGAGAATATAAGTGCTATTATCATTATCCCTATCGAGTGGACCTACTAAATCTAAAAATACTTTCTCAAATGCAGAGTTTGCAGTAGAGGTGATTGTCATTGGTTCTTTCAATATAATCGTATACTTTTGTTTTTGGCACTTAGGACATTTATTCACAAACTTGGTCACGTCTTTTTCAATGCCTGGCCAAAAATAATATTTTTTAATATTATTTATCATTCTTCTAATGCCCGCGTGGCTACTCGTGGGCAATAGATGAAAATCGTTTAGTATTACTTTTCTATCGTCAATATTTTCTATACGCTCAACATCTTTTAAAATACACAAGCGAGGGCCCTCCCAATTTTTGATTGGGAGGGCCCAAACCTTATAAAATCCTTGATTTAAATTCAGATGAGAAAAATAAATGCACCCTGATAATGAGTCTAGAATTTCAGTTATATTAGGAAGAGGGAACTTATCATCTACAATACAGTTATTGAGTTTACGGTAATCTATAACTAATCTCCATTTCTTTGTTCCGTCTGAGCGTTTGGGTACCAAAAGGACCGGACTACTCCATTCACTATTGCATGGCTCTATAATACCTTCTTCAAGTAAATTACTAATTTGTTTATTAATTTCTCCCTTTCATGAATGTGGAAGTCGATAAGGCTTGGACTACACTGGAACTGTATTAGGTTTTAATGTAATAGAATGCTTATACAATGAAGTTGTAGTTAATTGATCCCCTTGGATATAGAAAACATTTAGCACATATGGATAAGATCCTACTTTTTCCTCTTTATTTAAATGATCTAATTGCAAAATAGACAATAACGAGTTCACTCTTTCTGAACTGCTTGAAGTTTTAGTAGGTTTTTCAAAAGAACAAACATAAAAATCAGTGGCCGAAAAAATAACAGGTTTAAAGTCATCATATTTTATTTGTAAATCTTGTTCAGTAGTATTCAAGATACGTATAGGTATTTGTCCATCTTTAGGCTCAACAAGAGTACTAGCAATAAAAATTCCTTTTTGTATTTCAGTTGCATTGACAACACATTCTTCAGTCATATTAGTGTGAATAAAATGTATGTACTCTGATCGTGCTGGTCTTTTTAACATGTTATCATCCATCTTTATTGGTATATCCATCCTAACACCTAGGTTCCATAAAGTTAAAGTATAAGTATTAAAGTTCAATATCGCGTCATATTTAATAAAGAAATCATGTCCCAGTATGCCACTAGCCTTACAAGGCAATGTATCAAATACATAGAATCGATGACTGAGCATTTGATTCCCTATCTTAAGATCTAGATAAACATATGCAATAGAGTTGATTTTGCCTCCAAGACCGCTGGCTACGAGATTCTCTTTATGAAGTGGAATGTTTTGATCAATTAATTATTTGTTTATACTTTATGGCGGATATTGAGGCGCCAGTGTCGAGTAACAAGTTATATGAATAATTGTTAAATGAAGTTATCTTTATATGACAAGTATTATTGCATGATAATATTAAATTTTTAGTCACGAAAAAATTCATCAGGGTTATCAAAATTAGGGTTTTTATTGTCGAATTTTGTCAAAATGCATGGTTTGCGGTTTACTAGACGTTAGGTTCTTGTTAAAATAATAATAATTATTAAAAGACTTACCCCTGTTGCTATGTGGTCTCGAAGTCCTCTGGAAAGTGCCTCATCGGAACGCTTGTCCCGCGTTTCGTTCTCTGGGAGAATTTTGGGCCTGGTAATGAAAATACATACCTCGACCACGCCAATTTCCAGATTGTCCGACATTAAAATTCTTTCGATCTCTGTAATTATAATATTGATTGTAATTTTTATAGTGATTATGGCGCATAGTTAAAATATCTCCGGTACAAGCAGATGTGGAGTCCTCGTCCAGGGCGGCCTGTACCGCATCATTCAAGGACGAGTAGTTTCTAGCTGTAACAATAGTTCCAATACGACGATTTCTAAGACCATCGGCAAAAACTTTAATAACTTGTTTCTAATTTCTGGGTTTTAAAACTTTATAATCAGATTCATTTCCGTCGGACTGAGAAATCGTTAAATTCACAAACATATTCGTTATTTGCCGACCATACTCGTCAATTGAGAGTATATTTTGCTTAAAATTGTTAAGCTTCGCCTGGATAGCTGGCGCTGACTTTTTAGGTAATAAATTAGACCTTATAGCCCTAATTAAACTATCGATACTATCATAATTACTTTCTAATTTTAATTTAGCATTTTGTGAAAGACGGTTTTTAATTACAAAATGTATTAATTTTTTCTGGGAGTCGGAATCGAGTTCTAGCGTGTAATATTCTATACTGTCAATAAGCTGTTTAACACTGACCTTATCATCAGATGCGACTGGTAATAAATTCATAGCAATCTTAAGATCGAATTAAGCAATTGTTTAGTTTGTTTCTACTGAAGACGAACTACACAATTTTATAAGTTTTTCATACAATTCGAAAAAATCAGAACTTGTTCTTTCTATACGTAAACTTTCGTCAACTTTAAATTTATCAGAAAATTTATTTAAATGTTCTAAAATCAAATTAAATCTAGCAACTATATTATCGGCCTCTTTAATCTTTCTTATAATTAATTCACCTTTTCTTCTACTTGGTCCAATTTTTACTAAATATGTTTTTATATTAAAAAGTTAATCATATAATTTTTGTAAATCCTCATACATTACTATTAATTTTTACCTATAAAAAACTACATTACACATACATATGTACCTACCCAGTTATACATTCAAAGTACATAATTGATTAGTATAATAATAATGCTATAGAGTATAATTAAAATAACTTCTATACGAAATAATCGCCGGAACAAACAGTCTCTTTCACTTTTTGATAACTAGTTGATCACAGTCAGGCATAGTCACTTGTACATGCATGAGAAAAAAAATGTCTATGTGAAAATAAAATAAGTTACTTCGCTCCCTTGGATTGTTGGTTTTCTATTTGGTTTTTCCGATAGATGCACTCCTCACAAGTATTCGTAGAGCACCACGTCGAGCTCTGGATTCGTTCATGGAACGCCCGCGCCGGAAAATATGTCTGTTTATTTCTTCACGTTTCCACGTTTCATGGCATTTCTTGTACAATTTATATAAAATATAGAGCACACCAAGAAAAACGATGCTGCATATAAATAAAAGTACGATGCTGATAGTAGATATATGCCACTTAATTTCTTCAACAGAAGCTGTGTTTTGTGCTCCGTTTTGATTTATGAAAATATCTTCTTTTTCCACTTTAGACTGACACATTATTAATTTGATATATATATTTAAAAAGAACGAATTTCGTTCTGTAATATTCCACACTCTCTAAGAATATGATCCGCGAGGCTGAACCCGCAGGGTCGCCATATAAGGTTGGAATTGGAGATCGAAATAAAACATGTCGGATGCTCAAATGATACTGACTGACTGTGTATTCGTTGTTCTAATTTATAAGTTACATACATGTGTGTACATTATACACTACAGTAGTATCATATACGTCACATACTTAGCTGTTATATTCATAACTCACTCTACGTGTTTCAGTTCACATGTCCGCGCACGGGCCACTGTATCCCGGCGTCGTGGGTGTGCGACGGAGACGACGACTGCTTCGACAAGCAGGACGAGGCGGACTGTCCTCCCGTGGCGTGCCTCGCCTCGCAGTTCAAGTGTGCGGACCTGAAGCAGTGCGTGCAGGAGGCGTACAAGTGCGACGGCATCCCGGACTGCAACGACGGCTCGGACGAGGCGGGCTGCCCCGCCCTGGCACCGCACCAGTGCGCGCCCGAGAGACAGTTCCAGTGCGTGGCGTCCGGGCTGTGCGTACCTCGCACCTGGTACTGCGACGGCACGCCCGACTGCGAGGACCTGTCAGACGAGCCGGCCGGCTGCGGGGCCAGCGCGTGCGGCGCCGGACACTTCCGCTGTGACAACGGACGGTGCGTGTTCCGCGCCGCCGTATGTGACGGACGGGACGACTGCGGGGACGGCTCCGACGAGGGACTGCAGCACGCCTGCAAGCCACCACCCTTCCGGTTAATATCTTATATATTTAAACGAGCAATTCTTGTCTATATATACATATATATAAATATATGTACATACATATTTATTGGAATCTCGGAATCCGCTCCAACGATTTTCATGAAATTTAGTAGAGGAGTAGGGGATTTCGGGGGCGATAAATCGATCTAGCTAGGAATTATTTTTAGAAAATGTTATTTTATTTTAAAAAAATACAAAAAGGAGTCGTTTAAAATATCACTCTTCCTGACATCTATATTAATACTTTTTGCTAATTGTTTTTTTCTATTGCTTTAATGAAACAACAAAAGGTGGCGTTGCTAAGTAACAGGAAATCAATGATTGTTTGTTTTGAAAGAAATTAATTGTCGATTTATGGGTGAATATACGCTATTTGAATTCCATTGGTCTATAGACAAATTTTATGTAAAACTTATTATATCATTCTCTCTTTATGCTTAAACAAAAAAGGTTAGGGTATTTTGGCCTGGCCCACAAAGACTATTCACGATAATTATATAATGTAAAATAGTTAAAAATGTATACTCCTCTGGCCTTCCCATTTATGAAATAAAATGAACTTATGGCTCAATACTTTCAAAGAGTACACAATTATGTTTTTTTTATTTAACGTGGTCATACGTTTTTAATTAAATAAATATCGAAACATATTTTAAACAAAATTAAGAGTAAAAATATTCATTAATATAAAATAATATAACTTATTTTCGAGTCATGTTACAATACTGTTACTTCATCTCGCTTAATTCAAAGACTTAAAAATTTATTAAAAAAGAGGCAAGGTAAATAATTTGAGCAAAATTAAAAAAAAAATTGGATCAGTTTTCGATAAACTTTCGGAAAGTAATTTTGTGCCAGTCGTTAGAGTATTTCCATTGGTTTATAAATATATGTATTTCATCGTTACTAAATTGTTAATTTCTATAATCAATGTTTATTGTCCGTAGATGTCATATATCAACTTAAACAGGAGAAAGAAAAACGAATTACGTTAATTTTAATACATTATGTGTGATTCTGTCACTTCCCTGGCATATTACATACATGATAGCCAGAGAAGTGACAATTTTTTTTATACATACGTAAATAGACGTTTTATTTAATATTAGTCAACTTTCTTAGCTAATAATAATCAATGGTATGACAATACTCTGCTTTGATTTGTTACTACTCTGGCAACAGTGTCGCTCTTCTGGTAACACGTTTAATTTTTCCCTCTGGTGCTTATAAAACTGAAATAAAATTGATAATCGTCTGGCCCCTGTGATTACTACTTTTAAATAGTTTGAAATAAATAAATACTGAATGGAACCTATAATATTTCCTTCTGGGACACGAAAAAACCAAACAGCGTATATTCACCCTTATATTGTTTTATGTCTTCTTAACATGTTCACTTAAAAATGCCTAAACGAAATAAAAAAAAACACAAAATAAATACTAATAATCTCTAAATCTGGTTTTAACCAGATATTGATCTCCTTAAATATGTTGAAGTGATTGAAAATCATTCATTTGTACTTAAATTAGTATATCATTAATATTAAACGATAAAATTATTTCAGGTGTCCTTCTGGTCAATGGCAGTGTCCGGGTGTATCGAATCGGTGCGTCAATATTACACAAGTTTGTGACCGTAACTTTGACTGCCCGAACGGAGCCGATGAAGGTAATTCACATACTATCACCATGTCGTGAGATTCACAATTTATATAACATATTAACAATATTTTAACCTTCTTCAGGACCAGCCTGTGATTTTGATAACTGTCAACGAGGCGCCACTCTCTGTAACGAATGTATTCAAACGCCCGAAGGCCCTCTCTGTCTGTGTCCCAGCGGAGAGGAGTTAGAGAGCAACGGGTACACGTGTAAAGACATCGATGAGTGTAACCCGCCCGGGCTGTGCTCGCAGGTGTGCACCAACACCAAGCGCTCCTACTTCTGTAGCTGTGTCGACGGGTACCAGCTGGCTCCAGACAAACACAGCTGCAAAGCCAACAATCATTCCAGTGCCTTCCTCATTATTTCAAACAGACATTCGATCCTAGTCGCAGATCTGGACGAACAAGGACTCGAAAGGGTACCGATAAATGTCGAAAACGTGGTCGCCACCGCCTCCAATATGCACACGGGAACCATATTCTGGTCCGACATGAAACTCAAGAAGATATCACGATTAGATCGCGGCAGTGAACCGCAAGTGATAATATCCACTGGACTAGACCTAGTGGAGGGACTAGCGTACGACTGGGTGGGAGGAAACATTTATTGGTTGGACAGCAAACTCAACACTATCGAAGTCGCGAAAGAAGACGGCAGCGCGAGAACAGCCTTACTGAGCGGAAACATCACTCAGCCGAGAGGCATGTGTCTCGACCCCGCGCCCACCGCGAGGTGGCTGTTCTGGACGGACTGGGGCGAGAACCCGCGCATCGAAAGAGTCGGAATGGATGGGACGCAGCGTATGGCTATCATTAACACCAAAATTTACTGGCCGAATGGTTTGACACTAGATACAGCTACGCAAAGAGTTTACTTTGCCGATTCTAAATTAGATTTTATCGATTTCTGCTATTACAACGGTACCGGTAGACAGCAAGTCTTGGCTGGAAGTCACTACTTACTACATCCACACTCGTTGACTCTGTTCGAGGACACGTTGTATTGGACTGATCGCCAACTGAACAGGGTGTTGTCGGCTCATAAGTTTAAGGGCACGAACCAAACCGTGGTGTCACATCTGATCTCTCAGCCGCTCTCCATCCACGTACATCATCCGTCGCTGCAGCCTCAGTATCCATCGCCCTGCACCAAGGACTCGTGTCAACATCTGTGCTTGTTGAGTCCAAATCAATCGATCCCTTACACCTGCATGTGCAAACCTGGATATAAATTGCTGCCTGATGGCAAATGTATCGAAGGTAACATATTTACATATTCCATTCGGAAATATGAAATAAATAAATTGTTACTTATGTTAGTTATCATTATTTACAGAGGAATCGGCGTATTTGATGGTTCTGAAGGGATCGCAAATAATAGACCTGAGTCCAGACGGTTCAGGACGAGCTGGACAGCTACCACCTGTTGTTGGTATACAAGGTAAAAGTTCTTTATACAATATTATTTAAATAATAAAATTTCATGTAAAAAAGTAACTTAATGTATTTTTTCTGTTTGATTGAACACACCTTCGCCTCGTCCGTCCGGGATGAAAGTGTATAAAAAGTACTCGAAACGTGAGATTTTATATATCATTTTACAGTACTATGTAAATATAAATTTGAACGATTCAAGTTTTCTGCACCGCGTGAAAGACCCCTTCGATCTTGTGTCTTGAATAAAGAGGGATACCCCCTTATAATGGTATTTTCTACAAAAAATCCTTTACGGTGGTTGCTGCTCAACTTTTGGAACTCTTCCAGGCTATATTATAAAAAAATTGTTATTCAGTACATACATTTAAATTCAGATTAAAAAAATATTATCTTACAGTTTCATCACAACATTAGAATTATATATATATATATATATATATATATATATATATATATATATATATGTGTGTGTATTTTATTTTGTATATGTATGTTTGTATATATTATTTCTATTTATGTAAATTAATATGTAGTTTATAATAGTTTTATGTAAATTTAAGTATGTTTATGTAAAGTAATAAATAATACGCATTTTAACTATTCTCATTGTCACCAAAATTAAAGATGTACCTATCTTACCTGTAATTTAACATAATATTACTCATACTCCAGGGTGGCTGGAAGAGATCTCTCATAGAGATAAGCTTTCCTATGTATCACTTTATTTCTTTGTTATTCTTTTTTTCTTTGTTACTTGTTTTTTGGTACATGAATAAATAAATAAATTAAAATAAATTTTGACATCTTTTTTTTCAGGAGGGATACAACTGGACTACGACCGTCAAGGACACATGCTGTACTGGCTTCAAGCTATTAACGCCGAAAATGAAGACGATGGAAATTACACTATATACAGCATGCCTTACGGCGGTGGTAATAAGGTTGAATTTACTGGACAAGACACTGGAATCGTCGGATCTCCATCAGCTATAGCCTTTGACTGGCTCGGAAGAAATCTATTCATTGCCAATAAAGCTGCCAGCAACATTGAATTAATTCGAGTCGATGGAAAAGTTAAATACAGGACTATTGTATTTGCAAATGACGGTAGCAAAACATCAATCGCTAAACCTAAAGGGTTATGTCTAGACCCGACAGAAGGGTAAGCACTTAAATAAATATCAAACAAATATCAGGAAATTGTTTAAATATAAATTTACATTTCTAAAATTGTGTTCTTGTGTGAATTTCAGAAAAATATATTGGTCGGACGAAGGTGGCTACGGTGTGCCTGCAAAGATTGGTAAAGTCAACATGGACGGAACGAATCCCGTCATTCTCGTTAACAGTATCGAGAGACCTGAAGCGGTGACCATTGACGTCGATAAGAAAATTGTCTACTTCAGTACTCAGTACCCTGCTAGCATAAATAGCGTTAATACAGAAGGCAATGACAGAAAAACTATCCTCAGTGAAGCTAACGCTATAGCCTACCCGAAGGTCATAGCGGTCCTCGATTCCCGTCTGTATGTACTGGACACACAATATGAAAAGATATTCAAAGCCGACCTTCCTAACGGCGATAACATCAAGGTTATATTGGACAACGAAAGTGACTTGAAATCCCTGACTATATTCCAAAAGAGAAAGATGATACATCATCCGTGTACGCAGAACAATGGTGGATGTGAACAAATCTGTATTCCCAGTGAGGGCAGGTCGCGAGTGTGTGGCTGCTCGATCGGATACAGAAAAGAGAACGAAGTCAACTGTGTTCCGTATAAAACGTTCGCGGTCGTATCACAACTGGATCTCATACGAGGCTACAGTCTCGAGGGCAGTGCGGAGGCCATGATCCCTGTTACTGGTCAAGGACACTACATACTGCACGTTGATGTTCATTTTGCTGAGAATTACATTTATTGGATAGAATTTAATAGAGGTCAGTGGAACGGTATTTTCCGTATTAGACCTAACGGCTCGGAACTTCAACATGTTATAAAAGATGGTATAGGCAGTAATGGAATTCGAGGCTTGGCCATAGATTGGGTAGCTGGAAACCTGTACTTCACCAACGTGTTCCCGCATGAAAATTATGTTGAAATGTCTTGGCTTGATGGCACAAATAGAAAGGTTATTGTTAAGACAACCATGGATGCTCCAAGAGAATTGGCTGTAAATCCATTAAAAAGGCTTCTGTATTGGATAGATTATGGTCAATATCCTCGCATTGGAAAAGCTTACCTCGACGGTAGCAATTGGCAGACAGTCGTTAGTTCAGGAATATCTAACCCCAGAGATCTAACCATAGACATGCTCACTCACGACGTGTATTGGGTGGATTCTAAACTAGATCAAATACAAAAAATATCTTACAATGGAGGCAATAGACAACTTATTAGATCAAACTTACCGAACGTAATGGGTATCGCTATACACACTTCTAGTGTATACTGGGTCGATAGAAATCTGCAAACTGTTTACAAAGCTTCGAAACTCCCTGGTAATATGTCAATGCCCGAAAAACTACGAACAAACTTGCCGAAGTTGCGTGATATTGTCATATTTGACATTAATAACCAACCCAACGATGAAAGTAATCCATGCCGAAAGCTTGGCAACGGAGGATGTGATCAACTCTGTTTCAGTTACCCGCCTGAAGCTAACAAAGGCTATACTCACAGATGTGACTGTGCAATCGGACAGATATCTGCAACTAATCCTAAAAAGTGTGATGTTGTTGATGAGTATTTAGTATTCACGACCAGGACTGAGATACGCTCTGTTAATTTAGATCCGAAATCTACTGGTGTGCCGTTTAAACCTATTGGAAATCTCACAAATGTTGTGGGAGTTGAATTCGATTATGCGGATAACAAGTTATTCTTTACTCAAATAAGACCCTGGGCTAGAATAGCCTGGATGCCAGCAAATGATCCGAATCCCTCGGCTATTCAAAATATTATATCTAAGAACATTAATCCAGAAGGAATATCATACGACTGGACGCAAAAGAAAGTTTACTGGACTGATAGTTCTAATAATTCTATTTACGCTATGAATTTGGATGGCTCGGAACTAGTTATGATTGCGAGAGTAGAACGACCTAGAGCAATAGTTGTTGATCCGTGCAATGGAACTTTATATTATACTGATTGGGGACGATTTGGAACATCGGGAAAAATATACAGAACCACAATGGCAGGTTCTCTTAAAAAAGCAATCATAGATAAAGACCTGTCACAACCGAGCGGATTGACCATCGATTTTGATGACAATATGTTATATTGGACTGATGCCGTAAGGGAAAAGATCGAACGTTCTAAATTAGACGGCTCAGATCGGGAAGTTCTTATTTCAGCAACTATTTATCCTTTTGCCATCACAGTATTTGGCGATTACATTTACTGGACCGATTTACAATTACGAGGCGTCTATAGAGCTGAGAAACATACCGGAGCCAACATGGTCGAAATTGTGAAGCGGTTGGAAGATTCGCCCCGAGATATACATATTTACAGTACAAGCAGACAAAAGTGTCAAAAGAATCCATGTAAAATAAGCAATGGAGGTTGTGCGCATAGTTGCCATCCTGCACCAAACAACACAGTAGAATGTAAATGCGATGACAACACAAAGTTAGTCAACGAAGGTAGAATGTGTGTTGCTAAAAATTTAACATGTGATGCTAGCAAATTCTTCTGTGCTAACGGAAAGTGTATAAGCCGAATGTGGTCTTGCGATGGTGATGACGATTGTGGTGATAATTCGGATGAGGATAAGAACTACTGCGCTTATCACTCCTGCTCTCCTAACGAATTCCGTTGCAATAACGGACGCTGCATATTTAAAACATGGAAATGCGACCATGAAAACGATTGTAAAGATGGCTCAGACGAAGAAGGCTGTGTATATCCCCCATGCGCAGATGGCGAGTTTACATGTCTTAATTCACGTTGCATACCAAAGACGCAAGTGTGTAACGGTATCAACGACTGTAAAGACAATGTTACATCGGACGAAACTCATGAAATGTGTCCCAGGAATACGACATGTCCGGCTAATCATCTGAAATGTGAAAAAACAAATATCTGTGTCGAACCTTACTGGCTGTGTGATGGTGACAACGATTGTGGCGACAATTCAGATGAAGATCCTCTACACTGTGCGCAACGAACCTGCCCACAAAACAGTTTCCGTTGTCCTAATCACAGATGCATACCGGCGACTTGGTATTGTGACGGAGATGACGACTGTGGCGATGGTGCCGATGAACCTCCAGAATATTGTCGATCTGAAGGACGAACATGCTTCGGTGATCTATTTACGTGTGATAACGGTAATTGTATTCCTAGAATTTATATCTGTGATGGTGAAAATGATTGTCTCGACAATAGTGATGAAGATAGCAGACACCAATGTAACGATAGAAAATGTGATGCGGAAACGGAATACACGTGCGAAGAAAACAAATTCTGGGGCAGAGCTCAGTGTATTCCTAAAAAATGGTTATGTGATGGAGATCCTGATTGCATAGATGGTGCAGATGAAAACTCAACCATACATCATTGCTCCACACCGACTCCCTGTTCTGAAGATCAATTCCAATGTAACAATGGACGTTGTATAAATGAAGGCTGGGTTTGTGACCACGATAATGATTGTGGTGATGGCTCGGATGAAGGAAAACAATGTAACACTCAGTACAAACAATGTTCAGCACAAGAATTCAGATGTCAAAACTTCAAATGCATAAGAACACACTTTAGGTGCGACGGTGAAGACGATTGTGGAGATCACTCTGATGAAGTTGACTGTATGAAGGAAAATAAGACCTGTCCCACGGGACAATTTAAATGTAACAACAACCAATGCATAGACAACAGACTTGTTTGTAATAAAGTTTCGGATTGTACCGACGACTCCGATGAACCAGCTCACTGTAACGTGGACGAATGTGCAAAATTAGAAATACACCAATGCGGCCATAAGTGTATTGACACACTTACCGGTTACTATTGTGAGTGTAATCAAGGTTATAAATTATTGTCTGATGGCAAAGCGTGTGCTGACATTGACGAGTGCCTTGAAACACCCGGAGTTTGTTCTCAATATTGCTCTAATACTCCTGGCTCATATTATTGTAAATGTAATGAACAATATTATGAGAGAGAAGCCGATGAACATACCTGCAAAAGGAAAGACAACACTACGGCTTGGATTATATTCACAAATAAATATTATGTAAGAAATATGTCCACAGATGCAAGTCTTTACAACCTTATGCATCAAGATTTAATGAATGTAGTTGCTATTGATTTTGATGTTAAAGAACATAAGATGTACTTTGCCGATGTATCTGCAAAAACCATATATAGGTCTGATTATACTGATCCTAACCCGACAAAAGAAATTGTAATAAGACATGACTCACATGGTTTGGAAGGTATCGCCGTTGATTGGATAGGACGGAAACTTTACTGGCTGGATCGACACTCAAAGAATTTAGATGTATCAGAATTGGACGGCACTAGAAGGAAAACGCTAAAGACCGGTATAGCTGACCCTCGAGCAATAGTTGTTCATCCGGGTACTGGATATTTGTACTATACATCCTGGCACTTACAAGCATACATTGGAAAGATGGGAATGGACGGTTCGAACTACACTGTAATATTGAATTGGGAAGACGATATTGCCTGGCCAAACGCGCTTACCATTGACTATTTTACAGATAGAATTTATTGGGCTGACGCTCATCTTGATTACATCGGTTCTGCTGACTTAGAAGGAAAACATAGGCATATAGTCCTTTCAGGAACCAAAGTCCCTCACGTTTTTGCCCTAAGTCTATTTGACGATGAAATTTATTGGACGGACTGGAATTTGAAAGCTATTAGTAAAGCAAATAAACATTCAGGTGAAAATTTAACAATACTAAGAAACACTACACATCGACCCTACGATATTCATATTGTTCACCCTCTAAGACAACTTCCTTATAATAATCCTTGCGGCACTAATAACGGAGGTTGCTCCCATCTATGTCTCATAGCTCCACCGTACATATCTAGCTACCTCAATATCGAGGGATACGGTGAAGAGGGTGCTACTACATTTAAATGCGCATGTCCTAATCAGTTTTATTTAGCACGGGACCAAAAAACTTGCATCGCTAACTGCACTAATGGACAACACAGATGTAACGGTCGGGATGAAAAATGTATTCCTTGGTTCTGGAAATGTGATGGCGAAAAAGATTGTGCAGACGGTTCTGACGAACCTGACACTTGTCCAGTAAGACATTGCCGAGCCGGCTCCTTCCAATGTAAAAATACTAACTGTACTCCAGCGGCAACAATATGTGATGGCACAGACGATTGTGGCGACGGAAGTGATGAAGCACAATGCGCTCACGAATGTCCTCTTCTAGAATTCAAGTGCAAATCAAGCGGCCGGTGTATTTTAGACAGTTGGAAATGTGACGGTGACACAGATTGTAAAGATAACAGTGATGAAGACCCAGCGATGTGTCACAATCGACCTTGTAACCCTGACACTGAATTCGCTTGCAAAAATGGTCGTTGTATACCAAAGCTGTGGATGTGTGATTTCGACAATGATTGTGGAGATGATTCTGATGAACCGGCTTATATGTGCAGACAGAAAAATTGTACCAACGGCTGGAGGCGCTGTCCGGGACAGAGTAACTATAGATGTATACCAAAATGGTTGTTCTGTGACGGCAAAGACGATTGCCGAGACGGTTCAGATGAACTTCCGCAGAATTGTCCCACATGTAATAGTGAAACCGATTTCACTTGTCAAAACAACCGATGCATACCAAAACAATGGCTGTGTGACTTTACTGATGACTGTGGAGATGGAAGCGACGAAGTCGAATCCGTGTGCCAACATAATTATAGAGAATGTTCTGAATCGGAGTTCAAATGTGGAAACGGAAAATGTATTTCATCTAGATGGCGCTGCGACCATGAAGATGATTGTGGCGATAATACTGATGAAATGGAATGTGGTGGATTTAAATGTAAAAACGGAACATTCCAGTGCAAATCGGGACATTGTATTGCAGCTTACTTTAGATGCGATGGCGACCGGGATTGTAGGGACTTGTCTGACGAAATCGGTTGTCCTCCAAGGTTCCCCGGTGGAAGATACTGTCCTGAGAGCAGGTATGTCTTGTTATTTTATTATATTTCATATTTTTCTACCTCATACATAATGTTACCGTTGTATATTGGTTTCAGATTCCAGTGCAGCAATAATCTCTGCGTGGCTCAGTCTGATTTATGTGATGGAACAGACGATTGTGGCGACGGTTCGGACGAGACACCTTCCATCTGTACAAACTTCAATTGTGACACTCTCCGACGCTTCCATTGCGATAATCATCGTTGTGTACCAAGGTACAATAATCGATACCAAATATATCCTAACAATTTACATTAAACTATTAATTTAATATTAATTATAATATATATAAACTTAGGTATCAAGTGTGTGACGGCGTGGACAACTGCGGCGATGGCTCTGATGAGAACAACATGACGTTATGCGCGGCTCGTAGTAAGCCGTGCGACCCGTTGACACAGTTCCAGTGCGCCAACCGACAGTGTGTGAATCGAGAAAAACTTTGCGACCTGGCTGACGACTGCGGGGACGGCTCTGATGAATTGGGTTGTCATCACGCGCACTCCTGCTCACTGCAAGATAAAGGTGACTATAAAGACTGCGCATTTTTATGATACTATTCCGTAACAAATAAAATTTGCAGATCTCTCAAAATAAACTTATCAAGGTCTTATTTCATATGGATTATTATACACCTACTAAGATTTATATAAAACAACTAAAATTTTATCTATTAAACAAATGTATAAATATAAATTATGTATACTTATTCGAAAAATATTAACTAACCTTACTCATTCTCAAATTACATTTAAAACCAAAACCCATACTTACCACACAAGGAACAGATATAAACTAGCAACACCTAAAACTCGAATTAAAACTATTTCATTTGAAGGAGCGCAGCTGTATAACTCTTTGCCTCTAAGTTTTGTCAATTCAAAATCTCTAAATATATTTAAAAAACGATTAAGAACCCATGCATTAGAAGATTTCACTGATCTTGTTTAATATCACTACTGTTTATTATTTGCAATTTTAATTGTAGTATAGTTTTTTAAAATGTCCTTTGTAAACGAACTTTGTTCTTTTTGGAAATAAACTTCTTTAAACCTAACACATTTTCTCATACATTTTTATATTTAGGAGGTTGTGAGCATTTCTGCACCAATCTTACACTACCGGACAGCACTGTTCCTGGCACCGGCGGGTACATCTGCACGTGCTTCCAAGGCTGGATCATATCGAAGGCGGACAGTAAACGCTGTACCGACGTCGACGAGTGCGCTACGGGCGCCCATCACTGTTCACACATCTGCACCAACCTTAACGGCAGCTATAGCTGCAGTTGCAAAGATGGCTTCAGGTATGTGGAACTCCTTATTATTCAAAATACACATACCATGTACAAGTACAGTTTTGACAATAACAAAAAGGAGGATTCTAGCGTCACGGGTGGGACACTTGTACCTCGATTTTCAGCTTGTGTGGCTTATTTACGCTAATTGTATCAATGAAATCTAATTGGTTTGTATAGAATATAATAAATTTATCCATGTACTTTTATAAGTACAATAAAGACGGGAATAACACCATGTAAAATTTAATAAAGAAGACAGTAGATGTTTGTCACGGGTGGGACAAAGTTGTGACATTCTTGTTACACATGCATCATAATTAATAAAATTCTGCTAGTTGATAAAACTTTTTAATGCAGACTACGATATTTCTTTGAGACAATAAACTAAACTTCACATTTGAATAGAAAATAATTTTATATTATTTAAACATATTTTTACAAAAAATAAATAAAGTGTGTCACGGGTGGGACTTTCAATGTCACGGGTGGGACACGTACGATTTACTTGGTACAAGAAGTCACTTATAAGTTTTTATTTCTTGATATGGATGCTAGTTTCATCATGGGTAGCTTGGGTATGCATCGAGGTATACATTTTAAACACTCAGTGTGACAGCTTTGCATCTTTTCAGATCCAAATCAGCATTAGATTCATTAATCAAGTTTGCAACTTAATAAAAAATTAAAAAGTATTAATATACTAATATTTTTTAAAGTATCGTGCAATTTTAAGTATTTTGTATCGATATATATAATAATTTAATAAAAGAAAAACTTTAAAAAATTACATCAAGGTTTACTTTCCCGTAGAATCCCCCAAAAGTATTTCTTAACTTCAGACATTTGAATTTACTTAAACCAACATTTGTTTTCCATGTTGCAGGTTGGCAGATAGCTTATCAGGAATATGCAAAGTTATGGAAGATGAAGTTGTATTGATGTTCGCCAACGGACCGGAAATTCGAGCTTTCGTCCAAGATAAAAATGAGGAATTCGATGTCATTACTTCCGAAAAGAGGATAGAAGCGATCGACTACGACCCCAAACAAGAAATGGTGTTCTGGGCCGACAGCTACGACAAGACTATCAAGAGATCATACATGGTCAACGCTCTCAACGGACAAGTTAAAAGCGGTTTCGCTCAGGACCTCAACATGAAAGGCAACTCAAAACCGACGGCCCTAGCCGTGGATTACATCGGAGAGAACTTATACTGGACCGAGACGGATAGAACTGGAGCGAAACCGAGAGGTCGAGTTATGGTGGCGAGAACAGACGGCAGATATAGGCGGGCCTTAGTATCGGCAGGCATCGAAAGTCCTACATCTTTGGCTTTAGCTCCACAGTTAGGGAAAATGTATTGGACAGACGCCGGGTCGGCGCCCAAGATCGAGATCGCTTGGATGGACGGCTCACAGAGACGACCCATCATAACTGAAAACATTCGTCACCCGACGGGCTTAGCGATCGACCAAGCCATGGACCACGCTATATACTGGGCGGACGCCAAACTTAACACCATAGAGATGATGAAGCACGATGGCACCAATCGCAAAGTTATACTGAAAGGAGACTTCTTGAAGCATCCTTTGTCCCTCGACGTGTTCGAGTCCTCGCTGTACTGGGTGACGAGAGACACAGGCGAGCTCGTGAGACAGGACAAGTTCGGACGAGGAGTGCCATTAGTCATATCGAAAGATCTAGTCAACCCGTCCGCCGTGAAAGGTAACTTAGAGTTCTTATTGTAACAATAATAATAATAATAATAATAATAATAATGTTTATTTATCTCAAACACATTACAATTGTATAGACATTAACATAATCTGATCACTATGCATAAAGGTAAAAGGTATTATATGTAATTAAAATCTACAGTCCCTGAGCTAGGTATAAACCTGTATTTCAGGCGACAGTACTCTCCTGTTGCAAAGGATTCATTTTACCAATTTTACTAAAGTGGAATAGCCAAAAAAAGTCAACACAATATAGTGTATGCTAAGCATATTATCGTTAGCTTTAACTTAGAATATATCTAGTATAGTAATGAGCATGAGTATATTTGAGATGTTTGTCTGTGTGTGTATGTGAGCGTGTGTGTATGTGTGTGTGTGTGCTTACTAGGAACCTAAGACTTTAAGTAGCTTTTCAGTTTCTTTTAATAATTTTTTACATTTTGTTCTATTAAGATGATATATATTCATAAGTTTGTTAATTGTATTGTATAATCTGGAGCTAATAATATAATAATGTCTCCCTGCAAGTTTACTTCTTTGTTTTTCAATGTGGAATATTATATCTACTCATCTTTTATCACGATTATCAATATAACATATAACAATTCTGTATGTGTACCTGTCGCCTGGACGGGTGTGATATGAGTTATCTCGTTGTGTAATGTCCTGTGTGTGTGTGTGTGTCAGTGTATCACCCTCGCCGCTACAACTCCACGGGCGCGTGTGCTCGCTCCCCGTGCTCCCACCTGTGTCTGGGCGTCCCCCGCGGCCGGCGCTGCGCCTGTCCCGACACACTCACACCACCCAAACGAGCCGCGCTGGAGCTCGTCTGTGATGCCGGTGAGAAATTAAAGTTTTGATAACGTCTTAAATATGATCGTTACTTAAAAAGATGAACTTGCATGTTGTAGTTTTTTGTTTTTACATTTCTAATAACACCCGCGTACCTTGTCTCGCCCCAGCGGTGGAGCCAAGCCGTCCCCTGCCGCGCGTGTGTCCGTGTGAGAACGGCGGCACATGTACCGAGGGTCCGGACGGCCTGCAGTGTTCGTGCCGCGCGCCCCTGCAGCCTCCGTTGTGCCTGTCAGCGGCGGCCGTGACCCGCGCCGCGCCCGCCGCCGTGTTGGTGCCGGCGCTGCTGGTGCTGGTGCTGCTGGTGGCCGTGGCCGCCGCTTGGTTCGTCATACGGAAGAGACCCTTGTGAGCACTTTCTTTGATACTTTAAACCCTTCGGCTTCAGAAACTACCACACCTCCGAGTGTTGCTATTAAAAGGATTCTCATTTATTTATTTTATTTGGATAACCAACAAAAGAAAACATTGTTACATTCATTTCATTATCAAACTATTAACAATAACTTGAATGTCCTTTTAATTATAGGCTAGATCAAGATATAATAATTATTGTAGTAAATCAAAATTTTAATTAAAAAACAATAATAATAAATTAATAAAACTTTACATAATAATCACTAAAATTGACATAACTAATAACATTATTACAGAAAATAAAATTTAACATTTCAATATAATTCAAAGTTTTAAAATGTCACAGATATATATATATATATATTATAGTTATTTAAAAAAATGCATTATGTTTATTATTTTAAAAAGGCCAAATTTTTCTTAAAGTGTACCAAATTGTCGTGGCATATGTTTAAATCATTTATTTCTTTAGAAATGTTATTTATTATATAATGTCGTCATTCTGGGTATTGGTCAGTTTTTACCTAAATGAGTCCTATACATTACAACTTGAAATAGACTTGACTCTTCACAGACAGTGTTAAGAAACTGGTCCAATATTTAATTGAGGATCTTGACTAGTCTTAAATCACATAAAATTCAACACTTAGTTCAGCCTAGCCGATGTCTTGGAGAATGTTCATTGTCCTGTAATTATTGTTCTCTTATCCACTCATGTTCCTTAAAAATTTCGATATAGAACGTGTCCTTCCAAAGTCCCTTATGGTAAATTTATACCATTTGATGATGTTTTCAGCGGTAAGGGCGGTCTGGGCAGCCTGGCGTCGTCTCAGAGCGTGTCGTTCCGCGCTGGCTCCAACGTGGAGTTCGGCGGAGTGGGGACGCCAGTGACGGCGGGCGGCGCGGGGGACGCGTACGCTCTAGACGAGCCCGCGAGGAAGGGGAGAGACTTCAGCAACCCCATGTACGAAGCGGTCACCCGCGTCGCGGCCGCCGGCGAGCCTGAACCACCGTTACGTGAGTGTGCTCATCTTATTTCAAACGGTCGTGCCCATGAGCAGTCTAATCAGTAAGGCCCGGATAAATATGTATTAAAAAATCTAAAATATGTACATAAAATATGGACGAAAAAATCAAAAATATGGAAAAAATATGAAGTATAAAATTAAATACTTTCATAATTAAACATTGTTTTACTATAAGAAAAGGGTCACTCGTGACGTACATCGTTATGTTACTTTTAAAAACCGATGAAAAAAAGTAGCGAAATATTTATTTCAACAAAAACTAAGAGTTTTAATCAACTTCCATTACACTAGCCTTATCAAATTGGTTGCAATGCAATACACAATGACGTGCTTCTTTAAATTATTAAAATTAAAAAACTGAGAATTTGGTCGAAATATAATATCTGCTGATATCTGCTTATTGGTCTCATCTCAAGTCACATGACGTGTTGGGTGCATACTTAAACATGCTTAATTCAGTAATTTTGTAAGCCATGTCTACAGCCCTCGAAACTTTCGCACAGAGTTTTGTTAATTTTTTTAGCGTATTTGGTCCTTTATTTTTATCCAAAGCATTAGTGGCGGGAACGTAAATTTTATGTATTTTTGTGAATATATGGATGATTGTGACATTTTCTTGTAAAATATGAACTTAACTTTGAAATACATAATTTTGAAAAATAGGGAAAATAAAAGTTGGTTTTTCCCAGTCTAAATATGACAGTCCATGTAAAAAACACATTCTAGACCGAAAATCACGTAAATTAAAAATACGTATTTACCTATTAATCCGGCCCCTACTAATCACTAAGGATGTTTGTTCCAGCGGGTATCTACGAAGTTCCAGAAGAGATCAAAGACAAGGTGGTGTCGGCGGTGATCTCCCCGTCGTCCACGGAGACCCGCAGCACGCGCCGGCCCCGCGCGCTCGACCCGGCCGCCGACACCGGCCAGGACACGGCGCAGCTCGTGAGGGAGGACCGACACTAGCGACCTCGCCTCACACAGCTCCTCGTATTCGACATATAACTAGTGTCACTTTTTTCTCAAACTCTTTAAAATAATTGGAGGTAGAAGGGTTTTCTATGTTATTGTACCAGAGAGGGGATCCTCACTAATTTGTGAACTATTTTCTTGTTAACTTTTTGTTATAGTTAGTATATATTTCCTTGTTATATGTGTCTGTCCTTATCGTGACGTGTCTTATTCTCCTTCTCTCTCTCTGTATGTCCCCCCCCCCCCTCCCTGTTCTCGCCGGTGGCCGGTGAGCGGTGACCGTTCGTCACGTCACATTGCCGCGTGTATTTTCTATACCTATGTTATTTGTTTTATATTTTATCCTTCTCCTGTTAGTGATCGTCTCCCGGCCGTACTTAAGCGTCAGTATCTATTGTTTTGTTATTTTCTGAAACCGGAATCATATCATCGAGTGATATCATGTCGTTAGTTATTGTGTATATTTTGATGAAACTTTAGTCTTCGGGCAAACTGTCCTTTAGAGAGCCTTAACGATCTGACATTCCATGAGTGTAAAAATTTTATTAAATTTAGTTTGTAAGTATGAAAAGAGTAACGCGACATTCCGCATTCGACCGCGTCGGCCGCGTTCTATAGGGTCTTAGATTTATTTGACAATAAGAGACGTAACTATTTAGATATTAATTTATTTATTTCGTTATAAGACTATGTAAAATATAGCTATGTTGTGTTTTATAATTGTCTAATAAAATATGCTAAAATTATATTTGATTATGGCAACACTGACGATACGCCATAAGACATGTTAGATGTTTCTGTTGTTTAATGTTAAAATAATTATCGACATATTTTTATTTTGTTATTGAAGTCTATCGATGTAAATATGTGCGTTCGAGTATGTGATGTACAATTTAAATAGAAGGTTTTAATAAATATAAAATGTTCTTTTACTGAAACTAAATACGTCGTCTCTAAGTTATGACGCGTCGTTCGTGTCCAACATGGCAGCTCAAGCCCTTGTGTGGTTGTCAGACGGCGTGTGTGAGAGCTCGAGCCAATGTACAGTAAAGTTAAGAGAAACATCACAATATAATATACTGTTACTGATACGACCACAACCACATTAGAATGAGAATTATATATAGAATTGTAAAAAGAGAATCTATCAATATTATAAGTAAGGAGATGAAATATTTTTGTATCGGGATTATATTATTATTAAATGATTGACGGAAGTCGAGAATACTGTGTAAAAAAATAAAATTACTATGAAATATAACATGTGTTTGATTCTCCTCGTATATACCTTCTACGTGCGCCTTGTTCCCGTGCATATAGAGTTTATAATCTTTATTATTTGTTTATATTTACATTACCAGAGTGAAAGTGAGATAGACATCAGTTTATACACAATGTATACATTGACCAGCGAGTAGTAACAACCTGTGTTTATCGTTATCTTATCTTCGCCACTTGCTTATTCCTGTAGATTGTGTTATCAAAGAATATAATTTTCTTATTTGATTGTCACAATCTCTGTGGTTATTAAGACGTATAGATTAGTCAAGCTATGAATTGAAACACACACACATAAATCCACTTATTTTTTATAATAACATATGTTTTGGTAAGTTTAATAATATTTTTTGATATATACTTAAGTAGCTGCGTAAAATTTATTTAATTCATCGTTTTAAGGAGGACGGTAAAAAATGTTTGGTCGTTGTGTACCTATGTGACGTTTGTGACACGCAGCCTGTCACTCAATGGACGTATGGAATAATTAAAATTTATAGTATAATTTTTTCCGATAACAAGAACTATTTTCCATAACAACTTTATTATGCAAAATGTTTTCGATGGAAATAGTTTTTAAATGTATTTGAACAGAACAAATAATTTGCATGTTTAAGAGATCTTTTAAATGGGATGACGACATTTGTGAAGGAACAGATCAAGTACCATTCCTACATTGTCAATTAAAAATATTACAAGATATTATATCTAGCGACTCCTGAGATATATGATATCCATATAACAGCAGCTTTAGAATCGGCTGTATAATAGTTCCATATCTATTAACATAGTGTACCACAAGTCATCGGAACCCTCGCAAGTATCACGAGTCTTGGTATGCAAGTTGCAACACTTAACAACATATTTTACTTTGCACCATACATTACAAGTTCATATTTTTTGTAAATAGTTTTTTCATTATGATCGCCCATTTCTTTAAGTACGAAACTTCATATAGGTGTCATGTTATTAGTAAAATACAGGTAGAATACCATCGCGAACTTTTCTGTAGACCTTTCTATTCTCTTAAACATACTATTCCACTGCACATCATTATTTTAGTTCCCAGAAATCCGTTAGAGTTTGTAATTTAAGCAATTAACTGTGTGCTGTGGCCTCTGTGTGTTCTGTTATTCAGTGATTCCTTCCAACATTATAATGTTTTTATCTTCTATATATATAAAAATGGATTGCTGTTCCTTAGTCTCGCTAAAACTCGAGAACAGCTGAACGGATTTACCTTATCTTAGTCTTGAAATATTCGTGGAGGTTCAGGGAAAGTAGAAAAGCTGAAAAAAATTAATTCATTACTGGGAAAACTATAAAAACAGCCCTTTTCTATTTCCCATACAAACGTTTTTTTTGACATTAGATTTTACCATTAACTAATATGTCATTTCTGTCGCACTTCAAAACACGGAGATTTATGGCTTACAGGTAAACTCCAAAAATATAAATAAAGATATTTCTTGATTTTAGGGCGATACGAAGTTCGCCAGGTCTTCTAGTTAGATATAAATTTGTCTTTCGTCGTAATATAAACCTTCTATAAAAAAAAACACATTAGGTAATGTCCCTTGCAAGGTTTAATGGAAGCTCTTACAGTGTATATTTTTTCCCGTTTTTGCTTCATTTTATTTCGTGGCTCCGCTCGTCTTTCAGTATGTCCATCGCCTGTGATGTTCTATAACTTTACTTGAGAAAAGATCATTTAATAAAAGATATATAATTTATTAAAATATTTTTCTTTATTCATACAGTCGAACTTGACGCTTTATAACAGTAGTCCCCAAACTTATTTTTCTCGTGGACCACTTTCAAAATTTTACTGGTTTCGGTGGACCCCCTGCTGCTACATTTCTACCACATTCTTAAAGTCGCCAAAAAATAAAAATTGTGTCACTTCTGAGTTCTGTCTCTACATTCCGATAGGTAAAATAAAATTTTAGAAATTTTGGAAACAAATGAATGAGTGTTTGCCTTTGGCATTAAGTATTTATAGTAGTGATCAAGTTCATGTCTGAACAAGCATTAAGCATTGTCGGGCGGATAGCGCTTTGCAAGTCTGTACACGAAATTGTACGTAATATCGAATACGCAAGTTTGGACAAGTAACAGTCGCTTGCCTTATTAAAATATTATCTGCTTAGTTAGGTACTTAAAACAATGTAGGTAGGCCCTTATAAAATCTATGCTTACATTTTTGCTCTTTACTATCAAAAGCAGATAAATTTTCGTGGACCCCCATTTTTTGTTCACGCCTACGTAGACCCCTGGGGGTCCACGGGACCTGGACCACTTTGGGAATCACTGCTTTATAACATCATGTAGTGTAGATTACAACTTTTAATCTACACTGTAATTTACAAGTATGAGTTCATAAGCACACTATATTTTTATAGTGTGTATTCTGTAATACTGTGCCAACTCTAGTTTCAATGTTATATGTATTCTATGGTGTGTGTATGTGATATATTCTATAAAATAGTTTTTATTTATGGTTTGCTTGAACACAATAAGCGTCCCTATAATTCCTGTTTTCTCATTTAATAAAGGTACCTATCTCAGTTCGTTCGAAATAATATATTGGTTTCATAACCAACGATCCATATTAAAACTAATAAAATGAATTAACATTAAGGTGACGTGATATTTTATATAAACAAGCTTAAAGCGTGACGCGCCCGCGGAACCATTATATTATAAACTTAATTTAAATATTAAAAGTGTCCTAAGTTCCTTCGTATTATATTAGCTGTCTGCCAGTTAAAGGCCTTTCAAAATCTATCTAGAAGTTTTCGACAATTTTTTTTGAAAAATTCCAATTAGGAATAAACAAGCAAACTGAAGAAATTTAAAAAAAGACTTATTTTGGCACTCTAACGGTGTATATACCTATCCATATTCATGCATTTTGTTAAAAGCTATTGTTTTAATGTTAGACACGGACACTCGTATTTTATTTATTTGTGTAGTTTTATAAATAGTCAGTAATTATCACATTAAAAGTGCTTAAGTTTATTGTTTCAAAAATTCAATATGTTAGATTTTTTATAATTCCTTATATTTTAAAGTATATAAAAATATACATTATATACAATTTATGTACATATTTCTAGAAAGTGACGGTAAAGTAATTAAAACTTCGACTTTGGTTTAGTGAAGATGATGACGAAAGCTAGTTTTCTGAACGAGAAATATTGTCATACAAGTGTCATTCTTTTTTCACAACAGAGACATCTCTTGGTGTAATCTGCCGAACACCATCATTAATCTCCTTTATTATATAATAGGCCTATAAGAATACAGATGGCTCTGGAGTTATTAGGTTTTAAAACTTAAGGAACATTAAACATTTTTTTTATATTTACCTTTAAGTTTAAGACTTTATCTCTTATATTTATTACTTATTATAATATTATGTTACTGAGTAATTATAAATAACTACAAAAATATTCCGTTCGTACGACTTGTAGTATATTGAAATATATATAAGAATAATGGATAAGTAGATACCTTTATAGATAATTGTTTAAGAATAATTATCAACTAAGATGTTTTATTAGTTAGTGACAACAGTCAACACATGTTTATCATGTCAAAGATAGCATGCCGACTATGAAGCTAGGAAAGGATTTCGGTCGTGGATTTTTACAATAAAGTCCTTTATTTCAACCGATTTGGGAACCTTGTACACCGAAAGCAGAAATTTGTAAACTATAACAACCTTTGATCTCTTTGCACAACTGTTAAATACTATACTATGAATAATTGACAATTATTTTAAATCTTAAGTTAATTTTCTAGGTTTCTGGGCATTTTTTATGTTAAGAATCTTCTATGATGTTAAAGAGGGCGTTGGAAAAGAGATGAACAAGATAAATTTAAAGCCGTTATTAAAAATATTTTAAGTAGAAAGAATTGGAGTTCATTTTAATTAACTATTATACACCATCGGACATCACTCATTACCATCGAGAGATTTTATTTTTGCCTATAATGTTGCCACTACCGAATATGCACCCTACTGTCTCTGTCATATGTCACAACAAAATTCAATATTCAAATCTGAATTTTTAAACCACCTTACGTAATATTCAGGGACGTGAGATGTATTCTTAATACAATACACTCATGTGACTTAGAATCCGCTCTCATTAATACCTGTAGTAAATTAAATCTAATGTCAAGCTGTTCTGTCGGAGCTCCCTCTTCCCACTACTAATAATAGATAACCCCCGAGGAGGTCAACGAAAAACGTAATCTTATCATCATATTACAATACTCAGTCATTATTTAAGTAACATCAACATCATCATCTAATTCTTTAACATCGTTTATTGATCGGTTTTCTTAACGCCATTGTACTGGTAACAATCGATGTCTTGTTATCCTGCTCTTACATAAATCACGTAATGGCATTCTCCTAAAAATATTCGTATACATATGTATATATTTTGATACGAAACTAGTGGAAAAATTGATGAGTGCAGTGATGTGGTTATAAGCGGTGACGTGTTTAGAGCAATGTAATTGATTACAGGATATGTCGATGAAGATGGTGATAAACCGCGCCGCTGCCAGTCGGGTGTTATCCGGCGTGGTGAAAAGACTGCCGGGGGAAACTTTATTGAAGGACACGACAACTAACACAAGAACGATGGCGTCTAAGGCTGTGACTCTCGAGAACTTGAACCCAAATATTATCAAATTAGAATATGCCGTGAGAGGACCTTTGGTAATACGAGCTGGAGAAATCGAAAAGGAGTTAGAAAAGGTAAGAGGTTTAATAATTTTGTTATGTGAATTTGATCGCAAATATAAAGTTTATAATTCTAAATTCACGTACTTATTTTCAAATTATTTTCGTAGTCGGTAAGTGCTGCTCTCTCCTTTATTCACTGATACAACAACAAAACGTGAGTACGAATGCCGCGATCGTGGTCTATGTGATGACAGTTACTAACAAATATTGAGCAATTATCATCAATTTACACCCAAAATAGCTACCATATGTTGTGTTACTAAAACATATTATGTGTATTAAACACGAATAAAAAAATAATGCTTGCTTTAAAGTTAAACTAATTCAATTTATCTTTTATCGTAACTTTATTGTTATTGTAAAGATATGAGAAACCACTTTTAAGTGACAGTAATGAGGTGTAGATAATAGATACCAGTACATTTCTGAAATAATATTTTTTGTTTGTGGATTGCTTTTTGATAAGTTAAGATTTTAGATTTATTATCTAGAATGTAATTTCTATAAAGAATTACATAAATTCTTATTAATAAAAATTACGAATTATAACAATCTGGTTGATTGGCGCGAAACTGAAAACCTTCGCTTTTATATTAAATTAGAAAAAAAACATACTATATGTTTTGAAATAGATGGTCAGTCAAGATAAAAAAACTTTATTGCCACAGGATACCTGTAAGGTAAAAAAATAATAATAGTGTTAGTGTTTTGGTTGTCCAGTGATATGTTAGGAAAATGCTTTTATATAACAAGCGTATGTGCTGGATGCTGACTACATATTGCTTCTAATAATAGCAACTATTGCAACATGTGTTGACATAGCAAAATGTCTCCTTATAAAACATACAGGTGCTTAAACCAATATAACAAACCTTTTTTTGCTTATTTCATCTCAATTTTATCTATTACTGACAATGTTTTCTTCAAAAACAAATAGTCATGTCAGTTTTCTTTGGTAAATACATTGGTAATGCCGACATCTATTTGGTAATTAGCATAGTTTACTATTGAAGTGATATTTTATATAATGTTCATGTTAAAAATATTTACAATGATGGATGGTGTCATCTGTTAGTGCCATGTTATTAATGAATTTCTCTCAAGGCTGTTGGTAATTTTCCCAAATAAAACTCCGGAACTATCCATCAAGCTTGCCCAATATGATATAATCTTTGCTGCATCTATAATAAACCATTTTGGTTTTTAATTTCTTGTACTGTTCCACTTATTTTATAATAGTTTGAGCAAATGATGAACAGTTTGTATTGTATGATGTTCGGCATTCATGAAGTGATTCTTAAATTTTTCAGAAACATGTTTTTGCTGTCACATATTTATTTTTAAACATTATTATAATAGGTGTATTGAATTTGAAATTAATCTTGAACCGGTTTGTTTTTAAAATACATATTAATAAAATATTTATAATAGATTTTGGAGATACAATAGAAAAATATTATTATAAAGTTGTTATTTCACAACACTATGTAATGCTTATAGATTTTTGGTAAATAGTTTGGTTTAATATTTCAAAGTTGACAAACTCTTTGGTTCTGTTAGAATTGACTGAACGAAGACTTATTGTAGAAGGCCGTGGTCACTTGTGTAATGTTCGGTGAAATTTTTGTTTCCTTCATAATGAAATATTATTTTGTTTGATATATTTAATTACATACAATTTTATGATTTTCAAGCTTGGTTTATCATATATTATGAAATATGAATTTTTTATCTACCTTGTAGTTTATTATGACTACATGTCTTATTTGATCTCACAATACAAGTTGATAAAATATATATCTGACATTGAGTTCTAATTTGTCGCGTCATTGTTATACTAACATAACCAGTTATATACTACATAATACTAATATTTACATAAAAGTTAATATATATATTAAAGGTTTTTGTGGCGTGGAAAATATAATTAAAATGATATGTATAAATTTTTATAGAAGCTGTATGTAAGAATGTCCACTATAGATAACCAAATCTCCCTGGCCACAGCTGACACACTCAGCACTAATGATTAATGTTCACTTCAAAACTCTTCAGTTGACATTCTATTACACTTGGAAACTGATAAGATTTGACTCACACTACAGAAAATTAAGTACATAGTTCCTTTCGTTCAACGGAGATCAATTGAGATATAACTTGGAGATAATGATTGTTTTTTCGCGAAAATAGTTTAACCTTATTCCTGGTCATGATTTATTTATATTAAATTTTATGTATAGGACTTTATGTATAAAAAAATCCGAACTTCAGGAGGAAAAGGCTCAAAGAAATGAATAATTATTACTAGGGCCCGGATTAATATGTAAACACATATTTTTAATTTACCCGATTTTCGGTCTAGAATGTGTTTTTTACTTGGATTGTCATAGTTAGACTGTTAAAAACCAACTTTTATTTTCCATATTTTACCATATTTCAAAGTTAAGTCCATATTTTATTAAGAAAATGTCACAATCATCCATATATTCACAAAAATACATAAAATTTTCGTTCCCGCCACTAATGTTTTGGATAAAAATAAAGGATTTAATACGCTAAAAAAAATTAACAAAATGTGAAAGTTTTTAGGGCTGTAGACATGGCTTACCCAATTACTGAATTAAGCATGTTTAGGAATGCACCCATCACGTCATGTGACGTGGAGAGATCATTCAGCATATAAGGCTATATTTCAACCAAATGGTCAGTTTTGATAATTTAAAGAAGCACGTCATTATGTATTGCAACCAATTTGATAAGGCTAGTGTAATGGAAGTTGAATAAAACTGTTATTTTTTGTTGAAATAAATATTTCGCTACTTTTTTCATCGTTTTTTAAATGTAACTTAACGATGTACGTCACGAGTGACCCTTTTCTTATAGTAAAACAATGTTTAATTATGAAAGTATTTGATTTTATACTCCATATTTTTTCCATATTTTTTTTTTTCGCCCATACTTTGTGTACATATTTTAGATTTTTTAATACATATTTATCCGGGCTCTAATTATTACATACTACATATATATATATACTTACCCATGTTATGTATGCTAGGAACGAATTGTCCTTAAATATATTACGCAAGAATATTATAATATACCTGTTTAGTTGAATTTATTACACGGACAAATTATAACGAGGAAATCTGAAGATAGGAAGTTTATAGAAACGTATAACGAATATTTATATTGTAATGTGTCAATCTAATACACTAGTTTTTGCTCGCGGCTTCGTCTTCCTGATCGTTGGAAGTGGGTTCAGAATGAAATGTGTGTTAAAACATTTGACGTGACATCCCACCAGTGATATGAACAGTGTGTCTGCCACGTGACTTTATAAATGATACAACTGTTACGCTTTGATCCCGCGGGACCTAGGAGAAATACTGGGATGAATAATATTCTGATGTCTGTTCAGGTTATATAATTGTAAATTTTAAATTCAACCCATTATTTGATACGTCCTTGAAAAGTAACATCAACACGTCAATCGATTTTTTATTAATTATACTAGCTGCGCCCCGCGGTGTTACCCGCGGATTTACAGGATGTGAAGTAGCCTATGTGTTATTCCTGGACGACAGCTTCCTGTATACAAAATTTTATCAAAATCGGTTCAGCCGTTTGAGCGTGAAGAAGTAACAAACATACACACACACAAACTTTCGCGATTATAATAATAGTACGATAATATGAAAGAATTAAATTGCGTTCATTCGTTACATTTATACTGTACAGATACATAGTTGGTTCATTTAAAATTATCAGAATGAAGACAAATTGTATGAAAGATATGAATCTGAAGAGAAAATTATACATATGAGGTTTGTGTACGCAGGATGTGTTATGATTATCAGAACAACAACATTTAATGTTTCACGATTAAATATAAGCATTATGCTATTAACAACAAGGATCATTTTACTATAACACACAGTCGCCAGTCTGTATGTACATGCAACAAGATATTATTTTTCTTATACGCCTGTGAATGAGCTAATTGAAAACGATAAACATTTCTATCAAAGGCATAAATATGCGTTTACTATGACAATGTGAATAATGATTGGACTTTAACTAGGAGGTAGACTTAAGACTTCTATGAAGACATGTATGAAGGAAATACTAGGTTCGTGACGATTTTAGAGTGTATTGTATTATTAGTACAAATTTTCATCGTATTTTATACTACACGTTCCTCGTTTTATAACCCACGTTATTACTGCAGTGATTTATATATGTGTAAAACTTTTATGCACTGTGACGTCTCAAAACTTGCTTATCGATTGCTCACGTCCGCACGGACAAGCTGGTCGTTTACGAAATTATATGTCTAATACACGGCTTACTGAGACGCACATATACATATACTAGCTTTTGCCGCGACTTCGTCTGCGTGGAATAGTGATTTCCGGCAGATGTTTGGTTCTTCCCACATAGTTCCCGTTCTTGCGGGGTTTTCGGAATGGTCGAGTTCCCGTAGAATTTTCCCGTAGAAGTACTCTTAACCAACAACATATTTATTTGAATAAAGATTAATATTATTATGTTGATCAGCTTAAATAAATTATTTCGACCAAATTAGATACCATAAAAACGGTTTTTGTGAGTTAATCTTAAAAGATAGACATATACTGTCGCGGACTGTTTTTTAGATCATTAAAAGAGCTATTATTCTTTAATACATATTTTTTGTGTATCTTGAACCGTTTTCACGGCACACGCAACGGAAGGCTTCAAAGATGAAATAATTTCTCCCGTTTTTTACACATTTACCACTATATCTTTGCTCTTATTGGTCGTAGCGTGATGTTATCTAGCCTGCAGCCTTCCTCGATAACTGGACTATCCAACACAAAAAGAATTATTCAATTCGAACCAGTAGTTTCGGAGATAAGCGCTTTCAAACAAACAAACACACAAACAAACAAACAAACAAACTCTTCAGCTTTATAATATTAGTATAGATAATTCAATGTGATCTACATATACCTGTTATATTACTCGCCAAATTCTCCCACTCAGTTATTGTATTATTATATTTTGTATTGTTTACAGTTGTCATCTGTATGTGTGAATAATGTATGTTATGGGAACTGTTTCCATCACTAAGTTTCATTGTTTTCATCGATCGAAACATTGCAACGTTTTTAAGAGTTATGTTTCAGGACGGTCATTTTGTTTGATGTGTAAAATTAACACGAACACATTAGTCATTAGCCATAATTTGTTATAGATAGCATATGTAGTATATTTGGATAATCTTCTTCTTCTATATATATAAAAATGGATTGCTGTTCCTTAGTCTCGCTAAAACTCGAGAACAGCTGAACGGATTTGTCTTATCTTAGTCTTGAAATGTTCGTGGAGGTTCAGGGAAGGTATAAAAGGTGAGAAAAATTGGAATAATTGCCGGGAAAACCCTAAAAACAGCCCTTTTCTATTTCCCATACAAACGCTTTTTTTGACATTAGATTTGACAACTAACTAATATGTCAATCATTCTGTTTGATTGAAACAGGAAAAACCTGATTATTTATGGCCTCTAAGACGGAATAGAGATCGCCCGATCAGCTATACATATATTACTAATGACGAAACTAAGGCGGACGAAGTCGCTGGCAAAAACTAGTACAAAATATATCAGACTATTATTATAGTTAGACGGTCGTTCTAACTTTATTGTAAATATAAATTACAGGTTGACTAAAATATGTAACATCTCGTTGTATTATATAATGATTAATAACTATATATGGCGAACGTGAAAATAATATTTGGTCCATGAAAAATTTAATTTGATATATTTTCTTTAGTAACAATAATCTTATATATAACGTATATAGTAGGTAACTGTCGTCAATGTAATGTATCTGTGACCGCACTGCGGGCCCGGGCCTGTGTTTATCGTGTACCACATATGTGTAAAACGTCACCTCACTCACCCAGAAACATTTTAACTTGACCATCTATATATTATTTTTTTTCGTTAGAAGTAATACATATGCAGATCACGGACAGAAGTTCACGGAAAATTAGGAGACACAAAGTATATTATAATGAAGACTAACGACGTATATCTGAGTATATACGTTCGTCCTCGATGTTATGACAACAATACTATCACACAGCTCGTATGGTCTGATTCAGGCTGGGTCAGGTTCACACATTCGAGGTGATGCTGAGGCGGACTCAGCTACGTCACTCGCTATATGATATTTTACCAAAACAGCAGTGTTGCTCTGGCAGCGATAGATCGTTCGTTCCATACAAAACGAGCACAATATATACGATACACAAAACGAGTACGAGGTATGACTTTCTAATAGCTTTTGTTTTTAACCCCAGTCGAATATAGAGAGATGTTAAATATTTGTCGTAGGTTTTTGTATCTCTGCCTGCATTGATACCGATACGGTTTTTTTTAAGTTCCTAGTTATATTTGGTTGAAATCTGTCCAGCAGGGCAAGAAAACCGGCTCTTTTCGGAATGATTTATATATTTTTGGTGTATGTTTATGGCCTCCCTAGTTCCAGTATAATATTTAAATGACAATAACCGGGTTAGGTGTTTTAATTGAACAGTGTATAAATATATCAATTCATCCGCGACTGCCGCCAGGTAGCGACACTGTTTCGTTAGTTTCCGTTCGTACGGTCTTCGTTAGTAATTTTTAGAACAGCCTTGTACAATAACCACAGTATGAGTCACGTTATTAGGTTGTAATGTAAATGTAATTACAGTTTAAATGAAACCTACTTTATGTGTTTAGTTTTTATTCTTTATTTCTTTTTAACACGAGAATTGTTAAGATAAAATTTGATATTTTTATAGTAGCAGCTGTTGTGTTGTCAGTCTCACGTGTGTGTGTGTGTAAGTGAGGTCGTTTGTATGTAATGACGCGTTAATTGTTATCACTACAGTTCATTTCAATACAATTCGACAATCTTGTAAACATAGCAATTGACCAAGATTACTCCGTACGTAAAAAATGAATATCAGTCCTGATAATTATTACTTATCAATGAACCCACCACTGTGTTTTAAATAATGCTTTCGTCAATAACGACTGTGTACATATTTTTATTTCATAACATTAATTTGAATACGAAAATTTATTGCATTTGTCAAATTGACACGAACAGTTTTTACTGATCAAAGTTTATTTGTCATTGAAAAGTGAGTGAGGCTGTTATGAAAATAAGCTGAAACAAAGTAGTAAAATTGCATTTTTTTAGTAATTAACTCGTGAATCAAAATACAGGTAGCCCTGAAAAGTACAAAATTGTTTTTTTATCATTAGTACGCTCGTAACACTTATTGACTTTGGGGATATTGGTTTCCTAAGGAACCGTAAGCTCTATTAACACAACGCGCTTTAAATCCTTAGACTGACTTTTGAATTTGTGCCTTCTCTCAAAACCTATTGATCGGTCGTTTGTTGTAATTTCTTTTTGCTCTCTGACTACCGCAAGATTAACCACTTTACGTATAATTTCTAATACCCTATCTTGACTACGCGAGTTGTGACCGCTATCGAGGAGTACCTTGCTTAACGAGTACTCACACCACTAGAGGCATACACAAGTGTCTGTCAACATCAGCTGATCACGTTTGTTTACAACATAGCTGAATTCTATTGAAATGAACTATACACATAAACAGACACGTCTCACGTGATCGTTTGTTTCCTTTAACTTACTGATCGTTCGACACAATGGAATCGTGAGATAAAATATACACTAACATCATTGAAGTTAGTTAACAGCTTAGTTCAATATAACACAGACATAGAAAAAGAAACAGGTTTTGTACTGGACCGGTGACGACAGTGATCAGTACAAAATGTAACTATATAAATGTATAAAGTGATAAATGTACAATTTGAATATAATAAGAGTGTATCTGTTTCCAGGGAGCGTCCAAACCCTTCCAGAAGGTCATCAGGGCCAACATCGGCGATGCTCACGCCATGGGCCAGCGACCCATCACCTTCATCAGACAGGTGAACACTACGGAGAACAACACATACATACACAATACATATACAGGGTGACTGGTGAATTACTATCGATATTTGAGGACGTGATATTTGACGATCATATATGACAAAATAAAAATTAATATAACGTAAATATTAATAAACTTCTAAGTAAAGTTAACCAAAAGTTATGTAATTAGGTAATTACGCATCGTATGAACACCCTACAGATTAGGTATACACACACACACACACTCGCGCGCGGCGGCGTGTTGTTGTATCAGCACGCGGCCGCGCGCGTCCACACTTGGAACACTTGGAACGTGTCAACACTTTATTTATTTATACGGAAGTTTTGTCAAAAATTAAGTGCCTATTTTTTTTTACATAATTCTAATGAGAATCATGTATCGAGTATGCTCCTTAAATATTGATAGTAATTCACCAGTCACCCTGTATACATGCACACACACACACACACAGATGACATGACACATAGACATAGATACTGAACGGAAATGGTTTTGCATCGTTTACTTCACTGATTTTCTGTGTAAGAAAAATAAAAATTATTAAGTCATTTATTATTGTGACGAATAACTTGTTCTCGTATATGATGTTTGTTATATTCAACTGACGCATATCTTTATCGGCCAGGTGTTGTCATGTATAGCGAATACGGAGCTATTGGAAAAAGGCGACTTCCCCGAGGACGTGAAGGAAAGAGCGAGAGAGATCCTCTGTGGCTGCGGGTGAGTGAGATGCAGCATGCTGCTAGGGTGGACTTAGCTGTATACAAGTCATCTCCCCCTGTGTTCAACAGAGGCGGCTCCGTGGGGGCGTACTCAGCGTCGCAGGGTATCGAGCACATCAGACGACACGTGGCGGAGTACATCGAAAAGAGAGACGGCCACCCGGCCCGCTGGCAGGACATCTGCCTCTCGGCCGGCGCCTCCACCGCCATCAAGAACTGTCTGCAGCTGCTCTGCAACGACATCGACGGCAAGAAGAGCGGTCAGTACACACACACACACACACACACACACACACACACACACACACACAAACACACACATAAAGACAGATATTGAAAACCATTGAAATGTATCTTGATATATTTGTCCATGATTTATGATGTATTATTAATCAGTAATCCAATGCGTCGTTTCCAGGCGTGATGATCCCCATCCCGCAGTACCCTCTGTACTCTGCGTCGCTGGCGGAGTACGGGCTGGCGCAGGTCGGCTACTACCTGGACGAGGACTGTGGCTGGGGACTCAGCATCGACGAGCTCGAGAGGAGCCTCACAGACGCGCAGAAGAACTGTAACTGTAACGTGCGGGCGCTGGTCGTCATCAACCCCGGGAACCCCACGGGGCAGGTGGGGGACTCTTACACTATATACACCTTGTATACTAACGAAGGATCATGTTATGGTCCGTTAGACTAAAGCTGAGCTTGAGCATTGGTGTGAGTGAAAGTAAATGTAGAGTTACCCAAAAAACTTGTAGAATTAAATTTTATTATATTTTAAATAGATACATAACATAAGTGCTATAAAATAAGCAAAACATGTAAAAGGCCGGATGGAAATATTATAAAAAAATATTGATTAATAAAAATTTTGAAAAAAATATACAAATTCTTATTCACAACATTACGTTTTCAACATTTCATTTTGCTACCGGTACAAAAAGTGCAGTGAGGAAGGTGCGGGGCGGAGTAAAAGCAAAATAAACCGGTTAAAAACTAGAAAAGAACGTGGTATTCAAAAATTTGACATCACACACTATCCGTGTGCACTCACACAAATGCAAAGCTCAGCTTAAATCAAACGCACTATAACATTAGTTATTTTCCGCGTTGTTGTGTTGTGTTCGGAGAGTAGTCTTGTGATTTCCCTACTTCCGTCCACGTAATATAATAAACACGCGGAAAAATGCATTCAGCGACATCTATCGTCTGTGTCACGGAACTGTGTACAACTATTAAGAGCAAGTCATACGGAATTATAAGACAAAACAAAAAAATCCGCTCAAATAATAATGTCAAAAAGCATAAAAAATTCTCCCCTTCTTAGTAATATAAAATAATGTGATCCATCCGTGACTGTTCCAGGTGTTGACTCGAGAGAACATCGAGCAGGTGATCAAGTTCGCTCACAAACACAGTCTGTTCATCTTCGCGGACGAGGTGTACCAGGACAACGTGTACGCCGAGGGCAGCGCCTTCCACTCCTTCAAGAAGGTAAAGTAACAAACGAAAGTAGAACTTATATTAAACTTCATAGAGTTCAATCTCGTGGTCTAGCTCACGCAGACTATTCGCTCCCGAATGTACTGTGTATTGATAGGGTTATACAGAAATAAAAGTATACTGATCGAGGGAATAGGTATAATATAGTTCAACTAACCAGTGGTAATATAACACCGTAGAACCTTGACCCAATCTGTTCATACAATATATTTATTGTAAAACACCCTAAAAATCGCATGATTTTTTTAATAAAAAGCAGTGTCTGACACCACTATAAGAATAGAGAAGAAAGATAAAAAGAACAAATAGACTAGGAACACATAAAAGCTTATTAAATATTCTATTTGAAATAAAGTTCCTCAAAGTAAAAACGTTAAAAAAAACTTCTTTGGCCGACAAAGTAATTTTTTAACTTTACATTTATGGTTCCTAACTCAAACTTAAACTGTTTTAATGTTACAAGCACTTAATAAGAAAAGGGACGTTTAGTAGAAAAGAGTCTAAAACAAATGTATGTCACATTTCATAAAACAATATAAGACTGAGTAGTGAAGCTAGCACACATGACAACACATATTTAAAAGTAATATAATTCAAACTGAATCTATAACTGAGTATTTAAAAACAAAATTAATTATTATTTTAATAAATACGAAATACGAGTCTGTAAAGTCTTAGTGTATTTAATAATAATAGAAAGAAAGTAACGCCAAATACAGTTTTGAAATTCGAACCCGCATTTTATACATCTAACCGCGCCGCGGCCGCAGGCAGCTGTCTTTAATAATTTAAATGTACATTTCCCTTCCTTTTTCACGGCTCTTTCGGCGGGAAACTCCGCCGGCCATTACGGAACACAGAATAAAAAAAAGAAATTGTATTATACTTTTAAAACTGTGGCACTCGTCCGTGATAATAAATAAAATAAAGCTATTGCGTGGATCCGTCGATTTATATCGATGACAACTAGTGACCATTCATAATTTTAGGTTTTTTTGATTCACATCTTGATTGAACACATTGTAGAGTGATTTTGAAATGAATGTTCTGTGCTACAAAGAGAATTAGTAGGGTCGATGTTATAATGAATAACTTTTTGCCTCTAAGTGTTGTCAATTCAAAATCTCTAAATATATTTATAAACGATTAAGAACAGATATATTAGATGATTTCACTGATCTTGTTTAATATCACTACTGTTTATTATTTGTAATCTTAATTGTAGTTATAATTTTTAAAATGTCCTTTGTAAGCGAACTTTGTTCTTTTTGGAAATAAACTTCTTTAAACCTAAAGCTAATGAAGCAGTGATTCATTCATTCTCGTGTGTATATAGGTGTTGATGGAGCTGGGCGCGGAGTACAGTTCTCAGGAGCTGGCGTCGTTCATGACCATCAGTAAGGGCTACATGGGTGAGTGCGGTCTGCGCGGCGGCTGGGTGGAGCTGGTGCACATGTTGCCCGAGGTGCAGGCCCAGCTGTACAAGTGTATGTCGGCCATGTTGTGTCCCTCCGTGCTGGGGCAGGCGGTCGTCGACTGCGTGGCCAAGCCGCCCGCGCCCGGCGAGCCCTCCTACGAGCTCTGGATCAAGGAGAAGACCGACATACTCACCTCGCTCAAGGACCGCGCGAAGCTCATCGCAGACACATTCAACACCTTCGAGGGCTTCAAGTGTAACTTGGTGCAGGTGAGAGGGTAGACAGTGTCGTGTGAACATGTGACGTCTATATATATTATATGTTTGGAACTGTCACTTTTGTTTTTGTTTACTTTCAATTTTGATTTAATTTAGTTCAATTTGTTATTTTTTTTTAATTTTTTTGTGTATTGGCTTTAAGTGGTAACTATTGATTTATGTTTTTTGTTATTTTTATTTTACAGTGTTTCTAAATTGTTTGTTTCCCAAATAAAATAAAATAAATAAATAAATAAACTCCTCGTGTGTCCAGGGAGCGATGTACGCCTTCCCCAGGATCACGCTGCCTCCGAAGGCGATCCAGGCGGCCAAGGACAAGAACATGGCGCCCGACGTGTTCTACGCCTTCAGACTGCTGGAGGAGACAGGTGAGACACCTCCTTAACACGAGGCAGAATAATAAAAACAAAACAGTTCCCAGTTGAGTCGTTCATACACGGTCTGACAATTCGTCTCGAAGTCGTGGTCTTTATAAAGAACTACTAACCGTCTGCATTTAGTGTTCTATCCTGACTCGTGGTTTGGATTCTGACTCCGTTTTGATCAAAGCCCGATTGACGTTCTAGTTAATGATCCATATAATATGTTCTCTCTGTTCCAGGCGTGTGTATAGTCCCCGGGAGCGGGTTCGGTCAGAAGCCAGGCACGTATCACTTCCGCACCACCATCCTGCCGCAGCCCGACCTCCTCAACACCATGCTACAGAACTTCAGGAACTTCCACCAGAAGTTCACTCAGGAGTACGCCTAGGACACGAACACACAAACACACACACACTACACGACCGCTGACTACAGTTGTCATACATGAACCGTCGCTCACAGTAGGAACAGTGACACTGAATGTAGTGTGGGGTGAGGTACGGAACCAGCTCGTGTGACAACAGTAGAGAGGCTCGTGTGGTGACTCACTAACTGTTCCTACTATTAGAGTCAGGTATCGACCGCATCTGGTCAGTCTTGGCAAGTGTTCACCGACTAGAGATTATATATTTTTAAAAAGTTCAAACATATTCTGGACACTGTTAAGTTGTTTATTCTGTACAAATGTCCCTAGTATCAATTCGACGGGACCTTAGTATTATTTCTATCAGTTATTCAGTTTATATCCACCCTGTATAATATTTGTTTGTATAAATATCTGTTACTGAAATTAAATTATTGTTGTAAGGCTGTATATATTGTATTTTTATTATATTTTTCGTGATATTTTGAGTTTTTTTCTTGTTTTCGATGTCACCTCACTACTCTCCGTGCCATAAATCATCGCGAGGCGTGAGGTGACTGTTTGTTTCATCGCTCGTGTACAGATGTATGTATGTTTGTAACATTCCCGTTATACACCAGTCGCGTCGCAGGACGAGCGGACCGCTTGTTGTTTTATTAAATTATTGTTATGTATTATATACGAGTTTTATTTTATTCGTGTGTCGACCCTGGACTTGTGTTTCATTTACATATAAGTTTTTTTTTCTAGCTTTCATTTAATATGAAAGTATTGAACTTAATGCTTGTGAACTGTATCAACACCAAAGTTCATGTGTTTTATTGCACGTTTATATTAATGAAGTTACAATAAACCATCAAAAACATGGAAGTTGAGTTTTTTTGGTATTGTTACTACGTTCCGTTTTGATAACAAATTTAATTGACAAATATAATTTACCTAATAATACCTATAAACATACACAATTTGTTGCCCAGAATTTTCCTCTTCTCGGCACAATAAATATGTATTATGCTCACTTCACCTGCTCAAAATCTGCATCCTCTTTAGATACAGAGCGTTGACGAATTATCATTTTATTTTTTTTTCATTGATGAGTGATCGCACATATAGTATTTACATGTAATTTGCTCTCAAATATTAAAGAAGGTAAATAACATTTACCTCTCATTTTTCCTCCAAAGGTAACATTATTGCATTCCCAAATATTCTCAACATAAATAATATTTTATTAAAACAATATAAATAACTTTTTTCTATTCAGAGGACCTTAAAAATAATTTCCTTAGAGATACTAGTGGCGCCATCTATTGAGTATGCACTGTAGTTATCAACCATGGTAATGTAGCTAGTTTCCGTGCATTCTCAACAACTAAAACAAATAAATCTACAATACTGAAGATAACTACATTTATCTCGATAGTTTTCAACTGAATATCATCCTCTTTCTTCGTGTGTATTTAATTTGTTCTTCTATGTATAGATGTCACTGCTTGTAGCAGACGGGATCCAAGGTGTAACGTAATACTAAAAAACTTTATTATGAATACCATCTGAATAACTTATTCGAAAATAAGAATAAAAGATACGAACGAGATTAAACTAGAATAGACTCCGATAGCTTGCGCTAATGACTTTAGTTTCTAACTTTATAGAATTAATGCTTGATATATACCTACCTATATATTTTCTGTAAGTGACTTGTAATCCACATATTATCGAAACCTTAGAATTTAATAGTAAACTTTTGGTATTCGAAAAGCAATTTATATCAACGGAAGAAAATCGCGAGTAATTGAATACATCGGACCGGGGACCCGGCGCTGTGACAGCTTGCAACTATAAGTAATGTGTTTCTGGTGACTTAAGACAAGTTTCAGTGTACCGCTATTATTTCAGCTTTTCTCTGTTTATTGGAATTAACGATTCGTAAATTTATTATTTTTTATGGACAACACATTTATTTTATATAAATCCATACATATGAATTCTACAATTACTTTAATATTACCTATTTCAAATGGATCGTCAGTCCGAACTAAGAACCAGTTTTCAAATACCTATATCATTACATTATGAAGTTTAAAATTCAGTATTTTAGGCCAAATCACCAGAAAGGGTTTCTACCCGGGATTTCTGGATGCCTAGAACACAACACCTTGCTGTCGGAGAGTTTGAAAGATGCTAGGAAAAGCGAGCGGCAAATTACAGTTTGTTGGATAGACTTAGAGAACGCGTTCGGGTCGATACAACACGAGTTGATGCTATTCGCGCTTAGATGGTATAACTTTCCACCCTTAGTTAGCGATATGATTGCGTCGTATTACTCAAAATTAAAGTTTTCTATTATAACTAAAGAAGGCCCTTCAAAAAGTTTGAGTTACAATGTAGGACTATTCCAAGGGTGCTGTTTATCTCCAATAGTATTTAATATTGTAATCAATATCCTAGTAGATAAACTTATCAGCAATGAGAAAAAATGGGGGTATCGGTTTAAGTTCAATAACAAATACACGGAATCCATTTTAGCCTTCGCTGACGATCTCGCAATACTGACACGTCACCCCAAACACTGTCAAGTACTATTGGATGAAGTGGATAAATTCTGTGAGTGGACGGATGGATTGAGGACAAAACCAAGTAAATGTCACTGTCTGTGTCTTGGTAGGCGGAATACAAGATACACCTCATACGATCCGGGACTATCGATAGGCGGTCAATGCGTTTCTACGGTTACGGAAAATGCACCATTCAAGTTTCTCGGTCGTAAGATTGATAATATAGGTCGTACTCCATCTTTAGAAGGAATAGTAGATAGCTTTTTAAATGATCTCAACAAGGTAGATAGCCAGCAGATCAGTAACGTAAAAAAAGCATGGATCTACGATAATTACTTAACTTCACGTTTGAATTGGCCTTTCCTCGTCTATGATTTTAGTAAAACCCTTTTATCTAAATTAGATGCAGGCGTCATAAAGATGTTGAAGTTGTGGCTCGGGCTCGCGCTAACGGCTGATTCATCGGCTTTATTCAGGGATCGTAATAGTTTTGGGATGAATCTAAAAAGACCATCGGAGCTCTACAAACACCTAAGAGTTTCCAAGAGACATATCCTGGGAAAATCCCATGATGACGTCGTTACATCACTCCCAAAAGACAATGATGCCCCAGAGCTAGAGTCACGACTTCAATTCCATAAACAATTTATGATCGGAGCGCAAAATAACAGAGTAGGGTTAGGATCAAGTAGGAAAGTCCAAGATACGGATATATTGAAGTCTTTTATTCGGCAAGACGAGAACGATAAATACAAGATCCATGCAATGAGTTTAGAAATGCAGAACGAGTGGTTAGACATAGGAGATTTTTGCATTCCACTAGCACTAAAATGGCGCACCCTAATTCATGACTGGTCGCCAGCCTTGCTAAAATTTTATCTCAATGCGTTCCAGATGACTCTCCCAGATCAGAGTAATTTAGTAAGATGGGGTAAAGGTACCGAAAAAACTTGCTATATCTGCGGAAAGGCAGTTGGAACTGCCAAGCATTTGCTGGTGGGATGTAAGGTTCTCCTGGACAGCGGTCAATACTCGCGTCGTCACGATAGGGTTTTAGAGATCATACGTGAAGCGGTTAGTCTTTCGGTAGCCAGAGCGCAAAGGGAAATAACCACAAACGAGCGATCAATAGGTTTTGTGAGAGAGGGCACCAGGGCTATAAAATCAAACGTCAAGCCTTACTCTATCCTTAAAGCGGCTTCGGATTGGACTATCATGATGGATACGTATGAGAAACAATACAATATCCCCGAGGATATTTGTGCGTCGGTCTCCAGACCAGACATATTTCTATATTCGCGTATTTTAAAGCGCGTTGTGATGATAGAGCTTACGGTGCCTTGGGAAACCAACATCCCCAAAGACCATGCCATCAAGGTCAATAAGTATTACGAGCTCACTAACGAACTAACTCGAAATAGGTTCGTCGTTGATTTGTACGCGGTAGAGGTGGGAGCGAGAGGTATAACAGCTAAATCTCTCTATAACCTACTAAAAGACTTGGGCCTGTCCAGAAGTAACATTAATTCATTCTTAGAACGTACGTCGAAGGCAGCCCTAGTAGGTTCTTTTCAAATTTGGTTAGGTAGGGAGAGGAACTTGGACAGTGGAGGTGAGCGTATAACGCGCGTTAGTTAAGGGGCCCCTTAAACCTACACCTGGGTCGCAAGTCCCAGGCACTGTTGAAGCTCCTCTCCCTGCAACGCGATGGACCCGGCACCCGCACGGTGAATCCATCGAATGCTAAGAGGTTTCGTCTCATATAAAACGACTGCCCGGAGAGTCGGGCTGACTCTGGAAAGACAGATGACTGCCGGAAAGACGGATGACTGCCGGAAAGACGGATGACTGCTGGAAAGACAGCCGAGGGCAACGGCCTAGCAAGCCCAGCCCGGGATTTATTAAGCTAAAAGTCCTATAAAGAAAAATACCCCTGGGACAGTCCGAGAGGGGGGGCGGAAGATCTGTCCACCGGTCGATTTAAACGGCGAAAACGGCGCGAATACGGACTTGAAATGCCCTACGTGCGGGAAAAATTACAAGAGACGAGCCTGGTACATTAAACACCTAAAAACACATAATGGTGTTGAAGCACGACAATCGTTGGTAAGTTCTTCAATTATCACTTCGGATAGAGTTGACCCTCACGTATCCCATGGTGAACCATTAACTGGAAACCACCAGGAGTCCATTAACATCCGGACACGTCTTAGCATTCCAAACATGAAACAATCGACTTGGAAAGTTCACGACGACAATTTAGCGGTCCTGTTAGAGCATCCGGGCTCGAAGCAGGAATTCAACTCGCAGGTAGAAACTTTCCAGAATACCGTTTATGACTACTTCAACGAGCAATATCCACCACGTAATCATTACGCTCGCAAAAATAAAGAAAATTCCTTCAAGATAAAAATGAGGAAGAAAAAACGGGAGTTAGTAAAAAATCTACGTATAGCCAAAGCTCTAGGCGACAACCACCTTAGTCATCAGCTAGCTAGGGCGTTAAGGTCAATCCTTAAATTAATTCAAGGAATATCGGCACAAACTGCAGAATATCGCGGTAATTTTGACCGGGCCAAACAGGAAGTAGATTTTGATAAAAAACCCTTTTGAGTATTCGAAAACCATTTTTAAGAAAGAACGCGGACAGCTTCTCTTGACCAACGATCAAATTTACGACCATTTCAAGAGCACATACGAAGTGCCTAAAAGTGTAAGGCTCTATACGGATCCAAACGAACAAAAACCGGAAATTCCTCATATCGATTTTCACGGCATACCACCAACGTTAGACGAAATAAGTAGTCACATAAAGAGGAAATCTACTAAATCTGCACCGGGCCCCGATGGTATCCCATATATAGTCTTTAAAAAATGTCCATCGGTTCGTAAACACCTCATAAATATATACGGCAAAATCTGGTCAAGGAAGCAAATCCCGGAGTGTTTCGGGAAAGCAATGTTTGTCCTCATTCCCAAAAAAGATCGAGTTACCGATCCGAAAGATACTAGACCGATAGCCTTAACAAATACAATATCTAAAATCTTTTTCTCGGTCCTACAAACGAGAATGACGCGATTCATGCTCAGCAATAAGTATTTTAGGCCAAATCACCAGAAAGGGTTTCTACCCGGGATTTCTGGATGCCTAGAACACAACACCTTGCTGTCGAAGAGTTTGAAAGATGCTAGGAAAAGCGAGCGGCAAATTACAGTTTGTTGGATAGACTTAGAGAACGCGTTCGGGTCGATACAACACGAGTTGATGCTATTCGCGCTTAGATGGTATAACTTTACACCCTTAGTTAGCGATATGATTGCGTCGTATTACTCAAAATTAAAGTTTTCTATTATAACTAAAGAAGGCCCTTCAAAAAGTTTGAGTTACAATGTAGGACTATTCCAAGGGTGCTGTTTATCTCCAATAGTATTTAATATTGTAATCAATATCCTAGTAGATAAACTTATCAGCAATGAGAAAAAATGGGGGTATCGGTTTAAGTTCAATAACAAATACACGGAATCCATTTTAGCCTTCGCTGACGATCTCGCAATACTGACACGTCACCCCAAACACTGTCAAGTACTATTGGATGAAGTGGATAAATTCTGTGAGTGGACGGATGGATTGAGGACAAAACCAAGTAAATGTCACTGTCTGTGTCTTGGTAGGCGGAATACAAGATACACCTCATACGATCCGGGACTATCGATAGGCGGTCAATGCGTTTCTACGGTTACGGAAAATGCACCATTCAAGTTTCTCGGTCGTAAGATTGATAATATAGGTCGTACTCCATCTTTAGAAGGAATAGTAGATAGCTTTTTAAATGATCTCAACAAGGTAGATAGCCAGCAGATCAGTAACGTAAAAAAAGCATGGATCTACGATAATTACTTAACTTCACGTTTGAATTGGCCTTTCCTCGTCTATGATTTTAGTAAAACCCTTTTATCTAAATTAGATGCAGGCGTCATAAAGATGTTGAAGTTGTGGCTCGGGCTCGCGCTAACGGCTGATTCATCGGCTTTATTCAGGGATCGTAATAGTTTTGGGATGAATCTAAAAAGACCATCGGAGCTCTACAAACACCTAAGAGTTTCCAAGAGACATATCCTGGGAAAATCCCATGATGACGTCGTTACATCACTCCCAAAAGACAATGATGCCCCAGAGCTAGAGTCACGACTTCAATTCCATAAACAATTTATGATCGGAGCGCAAAATAACAGAGTAGGGTTAGGATCAAGTAGGAAAGTCCAAGATACGGATATATTGAAGTCTTTTATTCGGCAAGACGAGAACGATAAATACAAGATCCATGCAATGAGTTTAGAAATGCAGAACGAGTGGTTAGACATAGGAGATTTTTGCATTCCACTAGCACTAAAATGGCGCACCCTAATTCATGACTGGTCGCCAGCCTTGCTAAAATTTTATCTCAATGCGTTCCAGATGACTCTCCCAGATCAGAGTAATTTAGTAAGATGGGGTAAAGGTACCGAAAAAACTTGCTATATCTGCGGAAAGGCAGTTGGAACTGCCAAGCATTTGCTGGTGGGATGTAAGGTTCTCCTGGACAGCGGTCAATACTCGCGTCGTCACGATAGGGTTTTAGAGATCATACGTGAAGCGGTTAGTCTTTCGGTAGCCAGAGCGCAAAGGGAAATAACCACAAACGAGCGATCAATAGGTTTTGTGAGAGAGGGCACCAGGGCTATAAAATCAAACGTCAAGCCTTACTCTATCCTTAAAGCGGCTTCGGATTGGACTATCATGATGGATACGTATGAGAAACAATACAATATCCCCGAGGATATTTGTGCGTCGGTCTCCAGACCAGACATATTTCTATATTCGCGTATTTTAAAGCGCGTTGTGATGATAGAGCTTACGGTGCCTTGGGAAACCAACATCCCCAAAGACCATGCCATCAAGGTCAATAAGTATTACGAGCTCACTAACGAACTAACTCGAAATAGGTTCGTCGTTGATTTGTACGCGGTAGAGGTGGGAGCGAGAGGTATAACAGCTAAATCTCTCTATAACCTACTAAAAGACTTGGGCCTGTCCAGAAGTAACATTAATTCATTCTTAGAACGTACGTCGAAGGCAGCCCTAGTAGGTTCTTTTCAAATTTGGTTAGGTAGGGAGAGGAACTTGGACAGTGGAGGTGAGCGTATAACGCGCGTTAGTTAAGGGGCCCCTTAAACCTACACCTGGGTCGCAAGTCCCAGGCACTGTTGAAGCTCCTCTCCCTGCAACGCGATGGACCCGGCACCCGCACGGTGAATCCATCGAATGCTAAGAGGTTTCGTCTCATATAAAACGACTGCCCGGAGAGTCGGGCTGACTCTGGAAAGACAGATGACTGCCGGAAAGACGGATGACTGCCGGAAAGACGGATGACTGCTGGAAAGACAGCCGAGGGCAACGGCCTAGCAAGCCCAGCCCGGGATTTATTAAGCTAAAAGTCCTATAAAGAAAAATACCCCTGGGACAGTCCGAGAGGGGGGGCGGAAGATCTGTCCACCGGTCGATTTAAACGGCGAAAACGGCGCGAATACGGACTTGAAATGCCCTACGTGCGGGAAAAATTACAAGAGACGAGCCTGGTACATTAAACACCTAAAAACACATAATGGTGTTGAAGCACGACAATCGTTGGTAAGTTCTTCAATTATCACTTCGGATAGAGTTGACCCTCACGTATCCCATGGTGAACCATTAACTGGAAACCACCAGGAGTCCATTAACATCCGGACACGTCTTAGCATTCCAAACATGAAACAATCGACTTGGAAAGTTCACGACGACAATTTAGCGGTCCTGTTAGAGCATCCGGGCTCGAAGCAGGAATTCAACTCGCAGGTAGAAACTTTCCAGAATACCGTTTATGACTACTTCAACGAGCAATATCCACCACGTAATCATTACGCTCGCAAAAATAAAGAAAATTCCTTCAAGATAAAAATGAAGAAGAAAAAACGGGAGTTAGTAAAAAATCTACGTATAGCCAAAGCTCTAGGCGACAACCACCTTAGTCATCAGCTAGCTAGGGCGTTAAGGTCAATCCTTAAATTAATTCAAGGAATATCGGCACAAACTGCAGAATATCGCGGTAATTTTGACCGGGCCAAACAGGAAGTAGATTTTGATAAAAACCCTTTTGAGTATTCGAAAACCATTTTTAAGAAAGAACGCGGACAGCTTCTCTTGACCAACGATCAAATTTACGACCATTTCAAGAGCACATACGAAGTGCCTAAAAGTGTAAGGCTCTATACGGATCCAAACGAACAAAAACCGGAAATTCCTCATATCGATTTTCACGGCATACCACCAACGTTAGACGAAATAAGTAGTCACATAAAGAGGAAATCTACTAAATCTGCACCGGGCCCCGATGGTATCCCATATATAGTCTTTAAAAAATGTCCATCGGTTCGTAAACACCTCATAAATATATACGGCAAAATCTGGTCAAGGAAGCAAATCCCGGAGTGTTTCGGGAAAGCAATGTTTGTCCTCATTCCCAAAAAAGATCGAGTTACCGATCCGAAAGATACTAGACCGATAGCCTTAACAAATACAATATCTAAAATCTTTTTCTTGGTCCTACAAACGAGAATGACGCGATTCATGCTCAGCAATAAGTATTTTAGGCCAAATCACCAGAAAGGGTTTCTACCCGGGATTTCTGGATGCCTAGAACACAACACCTTGCTGTCGGAGAGTTTGAAAGATGCTAGGAAAAGCGAGCGGCAAATTACAGTTTGTTGGATAGACTTAGAGAACGCGTTCGGGTCGATACAACACGAGTTGATGCTATTCGCGCTTAGATGGTATAACTTTCCACCCTTAGTTAGCGATATGATTGCGTCGTATTACTCAAAATTAAAGTTTTCTATTATAACTAAAGAAGGCCCTTCAAAAAGTTTGAGTTACAATGTAGGACTATTCCAAGGGTGCTGTTTATCTCCAATAGTATTTAATATTGTAATCAATATCCTAGTAGATAAACTTATCAGCAATGAGAAAAAATGGGGGTATCGGTTTAAGTTCAATAACAAATACACGGAATCCATTTTAGCCTTCGCTGACGATCTCGCAATACTGACACGTCACCCCAAACACTGTCAAGTACTATTGGATGAAGTGGATAAATTCTGTGAGTGGACGGATGGATTGAGGACAAAACCAAGTAAATGTCACTGTCTGTGTCTTGGTAGGCGGAATACAAGATACACCTCATACGATCCGGGACTATCGATAGGCGGTCAATGCGTTTCTACGGTTACGGAAAATGCACCATTCAAGTTTCTCGGTCGTAAGATTGATAATATAGGTCGTACTCCATCTTTAGAAGGAATAGTAGATAGCTTTTTAAATGATCTCAACAAGGTAGATAGCCAGCAGATCAGTAACGTAAAAAAAGCATGGATCTACGATAATTACTTAACTTCACGTTTGAATTGGCCTTTCCTCGTCTATGATTTTAGTAAAACCCTTTTATCTAAATTAGATGCAGGCGTCATAAAGATGTTGAAGTTGTGGCTCGGGCTCGCGCTAACGGCTGATTCATCGGCTTTATTCAGGGATCGTAATAGTTTTGGGATGAATCTAAAAAGACCATCGGAGCTCTACAAACACCTAAGAGTTTCCAAGAGACATATCCTGGGAAAATCCCATGATGACGTCGTTACATCACTCCCAAAAGACAATGATGCCCCAGAGCTAGAGTCACGACTTCAATTCCATAAACAATTTATGATCGGAGCGCAAAATAACAGAGTAGGGTTAGGATCAAGTAGGAAAGTCCAAGATACGGATATATTGAAGTCTTTTATTCGGCAAGACGAGAACGATAAATACAAGATCCATGCAATGAGTTTAGAAATGCAGAACGAGTGGTTAGACATAGGAGATTTTTGCATTCCACTAGCACTAAAATGGCGCACCCTAATTCATGACTGGTCGCCAGCCTTGCTAAAATTTTATCTCAATGCGTTCCAGATGACTCTCCCAGATCAGAGTAATTTAGTAAGATGGGGTAAAGGTACCGAAAAAACTTGCTATATCTGCGGAAAGGCAGTTGGAACTGCCAAGCATTTGCTGGTGGGATGTAAGGTTCTCCTGGACAGCGGTCAATACTCGCGTCGTCACGATAGGGTTTTAGAGATCATACGTGAAGCGGTTAGTCTTTCGGTAGCCAGAGCGCAAAGGGAAATAACCACAAACGAGCGATCAATAGGTTTTGTGAGAGAGGGCACCAGGGCTATAAAATCAAACGTCAAGCCTTACTCTATCCTTAAAGCGGCTTCGGATTGGACTATCATGATGGATACGTATGAGAAACAATACAATATCCCCGAGGATATTTGTGCGTCGGTCTCCAGACCAGACATATTTCTATATTCGCGTATTTTAAAGCGCGTTGTGATGATAGAGCTTACGGTGCCTTGGGAAACCAACATCCCCAAAGACCATGCCATCAAGGTCAATAAGTATTACGAGCTCACTAACGAACTAACTCGAAATAGGTTCGTCGTTGATTTGTACGCGGTAGAGGTGGGAGCGAGAGGTATAACAGCTAAATCTCTCTATAACCTACTAAAAGACTTGGGCCTGTCCAGAAGTAACATTAATTCATTCTTAGAACGTACGTCGAAGGCAGCCCTAGTAGGTTCTTTTCAAATTTGGTTAGGTAGGGAGAGGAACTTGGACAGTGGAGGTGAGCGTATAACGCGCGTTAGTTAAGGGGCCCCTTAAACCTACACCTGGGTCGCAAGTCCCAGGCACTGTTGAAGCTCCTCTCCCTGCAACGCGATGGACCCGGCACCCGCACGGTGAATCCATCGAATGCTAAGAGGTTTCGTCTGTCTGTTTTAAGTTTTCTTATAGTCGTAGTCATTATAGTAAGATATATTAAACAAACACAACTCGTGTGTGTGATAATCTTTAGTACGTGTCACCTTCAATCACAATCCATTCTCGTTTATTGTCAAACTTGTAAGAGTCTTATTACGAAAGTTGAAGTGTTCGTGTGTTAACCCGAGCGAGTGCTTTTTAATTACAAAACTTATATAACAGTTATTATAAATAGTTATTTCGAAGAAAAATACAAATAAACGATCTTTTCACTTGTCTCTTTGAAAATTCCTTTTATTTATAAGTTTTCTTAGCGTTAATAAAACACCTGAAGGCATTTTCCGGTTAAAAGTACGTTTGAGGTAATTCACGATTCAAATATTTGTATTTCGTCCTGGAGAATAAAAATACATATGTATATTTTGCCAAAACTTTTCTGAGTTGCAATTGATAAATATAAAGCATGTCTGTATAAATTCTTCTTCAAATCTCCTATAGGTAAATAAAGTCTCAAAGTAATCGTGTTTATTTAGTTATTACATTTCAGGTTAAAGGTCAATCTCAAAGTTTATAAAAAATCACTAGGGATTTGTAAAAAGATTAACAGAATTAGTTACAGCTAAACTTCCTATTAAAAATACGTTATTTTTTAATCTAAAATTAAAAATGTAAGTAAATTTGTATAATTCAATTTCAACATTTTAATTTTTATCCTATTCAGATCGACAAGAGGAGATTTATGAATATTTTAATGTATTATTATGCGAGCCACAGTTAGAATTATCTATAAATCAAACCTAATCCAACTTCATTATGTCGTATAATTTTATTCCGTACGCTTCAGATACAATAAAAGGCGCGTCAGTAAGGCGTGAATTGTGGGGGTCGTGTTTATGGTTCATAACAGTCGTGATTATAACATATTTACGAGGAAATGTTTGATGGTTTCGGTTTATTGTGACCCGGAGCCCGGAGCCCGCCGACCACCGACCTCCGACACCACCCTGGGATTAACGGACCCAAAGAAAACACACTAATGAAATAATAAAACAAACATCGCGGTTTTGTATTACATGACCTGATCGATAATATTTAAAGTATAACTTTCAATACTTCTGTGTTCCGTGTGAGGCATGCTGTATGTGAATCAGTTCTCGTGTATGTATGTGTGTGTGTCATTATTGTAACAGTTCGTCATAACATAGTTGGAACCGATCACACAGTTGGTCGAGGTGTTGTGAGCGCGCGGTGTCCACCAGCCTGGCGACCGTCTCCTCCAGCCTCCTCTGTGCCTGGGAGTCTATCGCTCTCTGTACTCGCTGCACGCTGGCCGCCGCCGCTCGCTGCAACATGTTCTGTGACTCCGCCAGCAGACTCTGCCAGGTCTGTTTGATCTCATCCTGCCGCAGACACGGGTCGCCCGTCCGGTTCAGTTTGTTGAGAGTCGCCTCGTAGAACTCTCTGAAATCATAGAACAGATATCAGTAGAAGTGTTTTTAGCCACTGGTCGGTTATTAGGCGTTATTAGTCCGAGGTTATCAAGACATACAAGCAAGTCCTAAATAATATCCAAACGACCTAGTGTATATAAATAAACGACGGGTGTATCTTATTAGAGTCACGTGTAAGAGGTGTCCCAGTCGTTGGATCACTCACTTGTATTCTCGCGTCATATTCTTAAAGACGCCTTCGAATTCTCCCGACTCCTGTTTCCGGATCACTCGGTATCGCTTCACCCAGCGATTGTTTCCCTTTTGATCGAACTCTTGTGTTCGAACAAATATCTGATAAAAACAATGTAAAAAAATATGTGGATTAATATTATAAAGTTCATTGAATGACACACTTTCAATAAATGGAAACTGCCAACGTATGCGAGCCATCACTTTTATCTTAATAAATTAAATCAAAAATGCTTATGACAGGTGTTAGGCTGGCAATGCATACATTATATCAAAATATGAACTAGGCAATGCTTAATGGTCAAAAGTTATGCATAAATATATGAACATCGAGGTGCACAACGTGTATTAGAGATGATATCGTGTATGAGGGGCAGGTTAATGACCTGTGCGAGCTGGTTCATCATGTCGCTGAGGAGCGCCTGCAGCTGTTGTCTCTCAGGGTACTGGTACTCACACTCCAGGATGGCGCCGGCCGTCACTCTCCCCTCCCCAGCACCACCACCCTCCCTCAAGGCCGCCTCCACTGGATCCTTAGACCGTGTGTTGTTGACGACGTTCGGACCTCTACCGTCCTCATCGTTCAGTATTTGTACGTCGAAAGAAAGCTCGCCCTCGATCTGAACGTACGAGTGACTCGAACACAACAATGTAGAGACGACAGTTACAACACAGACATACATTATATACAGATATTACGACGAGAACTGAACTAAGAAGACACTTGGAATATATATACCAGATCGACTTTAATGTAGGGATCTCAGAATCATTTTAAAATATACGTAATATTAATTTTGTCACAATATAAAAATATAACAAACAATTGTGTTATTTATATGATAAAAACAATATAAGTTATATAAATCTTAGGCAAATTTGACAAAACTATCGTAAAAACACAGTGCAATTTGAACAATCCAAAAACTGTGCATCGGAAATGGCTTTCAAACAGCTCACTCAATAAAATTACTTTACATTTTATTTGAATATAAATCGAAATTTATTTAAAGCGAACGCTATTTTATTCCAAACAAATATTACTGAAATAAAGTGCTCTTTTTATACAAAAACAACAACAAACAATTAGGCTACTACAGAAACATTTAAAAAGTTTGTAGAAACAGATACGTCAAATGAAGTGAGGCCATTGACCGAATTTTGATGTTATTCCATATAGAGAAGTTTTATTGGAAATAAAATGATAACAAGCCATTCCTGTAATAAAAAAAAAATTATATTTGTATATGAAAAAACTTGAAAATAAACCAATGTGTGAGAAAAGGTGTTGTATTGTACGTGTTTGTGTTGAGAGCTCACCGTACACCGGGCGTGTGACGCCCACACGCTGAACATAATATTAAGAAAATAGTTCGTGTGATAACGATAGAGTTGAAGTTGAATTCATATTGTTATGTTGCGAATGATTAGAATATAACATTGTAAGTTAGTTTGAGTATAATAATACATATATTAAAGAGAATTAGATCTATGATAAATACCGTTTAGGTTTCACTGTTAACTATTTTTGAAGTTTTTGACGTGTGAACATCAAACAGTCCGTGTTATACATACATAATTATTTATCGAAAATAACAATTTCAAATGGCCCATCAATATGACAGCTATTTTAATTAGAAATAAAAAAGATACAAAAGATTAAAAAGAAAAACTCAAACATTGTTTACGATATGTGTGTGGGTAAAAGCCTCATGTTAATAAGACGGTGTGTAAAATATAATCCGTATAATGATTTATCAAAAACATATGATTCCGGCCAGGATCGAACTGGCGGCCTTCTGCGTGTAAAGCAGATGTGATAACCACTACACCACGGAACCTGTTGAGTGAGATAGCAAAAGTAACGATATATTTAAATAAAAAAGGTGTAGTTTGTGAAAGTTGTTTTTCCTTATTAATATTTATTTATAGATTTCAATAAAATACTTTAATGTTTCCAACGCCACTAGTGATAGAAACACGAATGTCGAGTATTACTGAAATTCAAGTTTATAATATAGTTTAAATTCATAGTAAACGGTTATAAAATGATTTGTATAGTTACAATCCATAATAAAATTACTAAGAAATTCTATGTAATAAGTAAATTTTGATTATTCTAATGCTGAATTATGAAACTGATTTTGAAAGTAATTATTTTGAATGTACAAGTGGTATAAACGAATATTAAGTGTAACAGTCTCTGTAATGTGAGGTAGGTGACATTATTCTATGTAAGTATATGTAATATATCCTACGAGCAACGGCGCACAACTGTCTCATGTAAAATAAAATGTATGCAGCATAACAATAAATTGACAGATACAATAAAAACATTCATAAGGTGAATATTGACTGAGCGACGAGTAAACAAAAAGTTTGGACACAGGAGGGTCCAAAAAAAGTTTGATTCATTGAAATGCAGTCAGGATTTATCTACATTTAGTAAATAATGATAAAAGCAGTTGTGTCTACTACCTATAAGTTAAGCTAACTCCTAGTAAAATTATAAATATTAGTTGAATTTATAATAAGTTGTCTTTTTTTACATTTTCCTCGCGGACTTGTTGACATAACTTCTTTTTAAATTTCATGACTCCAGATCGACAGGAAGTCCTATGAATTTCGATTCCCTCGGGAGTCGGGAGCGACAAAATATAAGAAATAAATGGAGCATAAAGGATCTTATCTTTAGATTGCTTTCTACTTAGAAGTTTAAATTTATAAGGGATCTGTAGAGCGGCGAAAGTGAGTTTTAATAATTATTATAATATAATGATACCTCATCCATGAGTTCCTGACGAAAATTGTTTGAACAGGAAAAACAGCAATCCGGCATAAATGTAGTTGAAATTATGATATTCTCTAAAATATTTGATGCCACAGAAACCTAGCCATATAATAATGTCATATACTTATTTATTACATTTTTGTTTTAAGTAATATTTCATTAGTCTTGGTACTATATAAATCCTCAACTCAGTAACAACAATAATCAGTGTATACTCGGTTAACTTGACTTGATCAAGTTAATCTTGACTTTAGTTTTACCCAATATTTTCTATATATGAATTCAATGAGATGAACTGACCGGACAGTCCAGCTTGCGTTTGTAGTTTTTCTTTTAAATTTCGTTTGGTTAGTGCTTGCTTGACTGTCTCTTCAAATTCCACTGGCTAGTATATTGAGATGAAGTCATTAGCTGCATCAAATTAATTGTATGTTATCTTCTTGGGGCACCGAGTTTAATTAATGCAGGTGTGACAAAATCTTACTTTCAATCCAGATATTTATTTAAAAATATCTTTATTGATAGATATGTAAAGACTTGTTTCAGTATGGCAACTACTATATGAAGTACAAAGTTCATTCTAGCATAAAATTTTCCTATTTTTACTATAATTATTTCGGCCTGAAATAACTTTTACCGCAACTCAACAGTAATTGTACGTTTGAAATGTTAACCGCGACCTGTCGACGCCAAGCCCCGCGCTGTCGACTTCTGTAACGATTTAATTCCAGAGCAAAAATATCATGCAAATATATTTATTATTTTATATATCTCTATAAAATTATTTTATATTTATAATATATGAACGCCCCATGTTGCGGAAAAACGACTTCAAAATGTATTATATTGTTTTTCACGATGAAAATAACAGACATTGAAAATAAAGAAATATTCCGCTCAAAGAGTTTTTATTAAAACACTTCCACGTATTCCTTTGAGATATTTTTATAGCGAATTATGTTCACTATCACTAATAAAACCTTATTCGAGACGCAATAAACGGGAGACGTCAAATATTATGACCTCGTAAATATAATGTCTACGGAATGATGTCTCGTAACAATTGATACCAATGTACGAGCATAAACATAAACCTGAATTCACTCGTAAACGAAAACTTCTTACATTTAGATTGGTTCATGATGAAATGTTTTTGTTGCAAGGTAACAGGTTATCATTTTACATATGTATATGAAAGATTATAATAGGTCAAACCGGAAGCAATATTTCACTAATGTTTCTACTAGTACTCTTTAACCAGAAGTTACGGATAAGAGAAGTAGTGAGAAGATTATTACTGTCTAATGTTAAAAGGAATCCTCCCCCCCTTTCCCCCCGGTCTCCAAGGAATTTCATGAGAGTTTTCGAGTCACTCAGTTTCTTAGGAACAATCTTTCTGAGCTGGGATTCTTTGCCTGAGACGTTTGATGAACTAAAAGTTCAAAGTCCATTGAAGGCTTCAGTTGTTACTCTAAGACCTAAGTTTTTATTTACACTGGTAGCTAATTAGTTTAGTACAGAGGTCAGCACAACTGTGCTCTGTGTTAAATTAATATATATTTTAGGGATAATAAACGAAGGTAAGAATATTCAGTAAATATTTTTTTTAATATAGGGATATCATACTTGTGTAGAAAAGTACGATAAACATGAGTGTAGTAATTAAAAGGTACATATTATTATTTATTAGAAAGTAACTATAATGATAAGTAGTTTTTTTCTTAAAGAAATAGTTCTTTCTAAACTGCCATTTAAATATTAGGTTATCAATCCAAAGTTGAAAGTATTCATTTTGGATCAGTTGGTACACATGTACGAGTATGAACTTGCTCCTCAGGCCTTGGTCTGGTGTCTGACTGATACCTTCATTAAGGATCAAGCGGAGAGCCTCCCTGATGACTCACTTGTTGAGTTGGCAAGTATTTTTTTAATAATCTGAACTTGAAAGTTAAATAAGAAACCAATTTGTCGTAAACTTTGGTCTGTAACATCCAAGAAATTTCTAGGTTTAATTTAGATTTTCTTTCCCGACGTGATTGGACGTTTCTTTAAATATAAATGACACTTCACATAAAATAACCAGTTTCTTCTAAATAACTTTTAATATTTTTTTTATAATAATACATATATCTTTAAAGTACATCAAAAATTTTGATGAACTTTAAAAGCAGTAATACATACAGTTCATAACTGAATTGAAATTTACGGAAGATTATTTATCGATTAGAGAGGTGACCACCCATACGGAGGAGATAAAAACATAGACAACTTATAGATAACGAAGCAAGTAAAAACTAGAACAGTTGTGATTGTGGTGAGAGACTGTGTTCTTCTTATTTATTTCCTAGTTTACTTGAAATTTACTAAATTCTTTATTAAATATTTCGGTGAAGATCCTGACGTGAGTGACTTATTTGTTTATCGTTTACCTTACGTTCATTCCTCTGCACCGAGCTGTTTTTTATTTTGTTTTAATTAATCGTATCTAATATTCTGATCCGGGTTTTTATCTCAAACTCTGAAGAAGCCTTCCGGAGTAGGTACTTTTGGAATACTCTGAACAAGTGAATAATTAAGTATCCGTAACTAGGGAAAGGTTTATATTCTTTTCGAAGATAAATGCTCTATTTACATGGTTCATATATTTTCAATATAATTCTCGTTCTGGTACTAAAGCAGCTAGATATTAGGTACGAAGTAAGTAAGAATAAATAAATGGTAAATTGATTTTTATGTCATCTTTGTGTTTTCAAATTTGATCAAAATAACAAACACAATAACTCGACTTGTTTAAAATATATGTTTCAAAAAAAATATGTTTTCATTATCATCATCGTATAAATAATGAATCTTTGTTTGTATAATTTAATATAATATTCGTATTGAAAAAAT